CGCCGGCCGGTTAGTAGTTGGGTGGGTGACCACCAGCGAATCCCGGCTGTTGTATGTTTTTGCAAACTTTTTATTGCTCCTTTTAAGAATATATATACTTATTTTTTAAAGTATCCCGCAGATACTGTGGAAGTTGGCTTAAATTCTCAGCACTGCAGCAATAACAAAAACGATTACCAGGCGGTATACTGTACTACTGATACTGATAGCATAAAACTTTACTCGCAGTGTGACTGGGCTGGTAAAGCTCCAAGATATGATGATGGTGAATGTGAAAGTGATTAGTCTCTGCTTGTGTCGTTGACTACCGGGAGCGGTGGCAATCTATGTAAGGTGAGAAGGAACACCTTCCATTTTACTCTAACTAGCCAGAAAGCCAATTATCAGGAGCGTAAATACGTAAATACTGCTGTAGTGACAACTCCAACAGCAAGTGAACAGATTATCAGTGGTATGTCAATGTTGGCATGGCAGCCGCTGAAGGCTTGGTAGATAGATTCTGCTACAGCGGCTACCCGAATGATCGAGTTCGCGTGGCCCTGGATCAACATGGAGGTGGATGTGAAGGTAATGGTGGCTAAGCAAAATGCTGTTTGGCCAAGTATATCACAAAAAGCAAGAGAGCCTACACGGATACAGAAAGCCGATTAAGGTCCAGTGTGAAGGCCTTTATGGACGATCCAAGCTGTGGCGTTGATAAATTTAACCTGAGGCAGGATTTAGCCAGCATTAATCTTATCTTTGGAAATATATCTTCTAATATATTTGTCTACTTGTCATCCCTTCAACGCCGCGCGAGTAGCAAGGCGTAAGGTGGAGAAGCTTCTCTATGATCTTGTCATCACTGTGTCTGCAACGGCAGTTTCCCAAGAGATATGGGAAACCCTGGTAGTATCCTAGTACCCTAATCTTACCGTGCAGAAGATCGCGCATATCTGAATGCTGCCCGAGACTGGGTTTGACTGGGGTTGACAAAGATTATTGAGCTCATTATTTACAGCATGGCTATTTATAAGAACAAAATAGGAGGTCAAGAAGTGATCAGCTGCACCTATATAACGTCTAACTGCTGTAACCCAAGTAAACCCAGCCTCTATGGTGGTGAAGATCTGGATCTTCTTATAAGAGACCTGGAGAGAAGAGCTACACGGCAACAATTTTCCGTCGTATTGGCCAGTGGATTAGTTGAGTGGTGAACTCTGAGTGTATGTCAATAAATCCCTCGCTTAGTGTGGTCAAATGCTAAAAATGGAATACAGTATAGAAGCAGGGGTGACTGGCCTTTGAGTAATCCTATCTGGAACCAGGCATATGGATATACAAACAATGCAGACTGTCTGGATATTGATATTGGAACGATACAGGTCACTACATCCGCAGGAAGAAATGATTATGATGGTACTCCCCTCCTTTTTCTGTGGCTTCTCTCTTCTCCTTCCACGACTTCTTGATGAAAGCCACACGGTCACGGCCCCGCTAACTTATATAGTGGAACATGTCGTGGAACTCAATACAATTCACGGGTTTATACTTGACGCCTTCTCTGGTACAATGCCAACTGGGGTGGATCCAAGGAATACCCACTTGCCTAATACATTCATCTAAGCGCTGAATACTCCAATGATCCTCAACGCACGCCCAATGGCAGGTGGGGCTGTATCCGCTGTTCCATTTACCAGGCTCATGAATGCCCTTGGAAGCAGAAGAAATGGCGCGGAATTTGCTGTCCTTATTTCGGGCCATAACAGTTGCAAGTCTCGAGTACGAATCGTCTTTCTTTCCCATTCTCGTTCTTCTTAGTGTATTTGTGCTAATGTATCTCTCCAGATCTGGAGGGCTGTCAGCCCCTTTGAGAATGGCGAAATGTTAGGTGCAGTCCAGGCAGATGATCCTCTGGATGTATTGAGAAACATCAGGGCGGCTATCGCTGTCATTCATTATCTCAACGACTCCAGAATCCATCCTGGTTTAGTGACAGCCGCAAATAAAGTCCGCCAAGAGCTCGGCCTGGCAGATGAAGCGTGGGAAATGCAGGGTAATGCCCCAGTCGAAGCTCGGGATTGGTGGGATCAATGGATTCGAGAGAGACTGAGGTTTATAGGATCTCAAACTAGAGCTTGGGTTGTACAGTGGGTGAGAGAAATGCGAAATAGATGGGCAGTCAGGGAAGGGCAACAGGCTGTGGAGGTGCTCGACGCTTTGAGCAGGTATACAAGTCTTGCCTCTGACATGGAGGTCAGCCTGGAGGGTCTGGAGTAAGTGTAGTACTTCATCGGCGGCTACGGATGTAACCAGTTCTATATAGAGATATAGAGAGGTCTAGTTTTAAATTATAGAGAAAGATACAAGCTGCGGACAGTCTTGACTGTAGATATTCAGCCGATAGACTCTAGAGAGCACATCTAGTCAATATAGCCAAGAAGGCTTTAAAAGGAAGGAGAAAGAATAGTACAACCGTCAACCAAAATTACCACTAAAGCTCCCGTTATCTGCCACACCATTTACCACTTATCTAGGCCACGATAACACCATACCGCCATGATATTGCATGATTTGACTATCATTTCTAGGCTTCTAAATATTGCTCGTTCCATCAGTAGATCATAAACCAGACCTCTCTATTTCATGACTGCATGCCTTAGAATTCAGTGGTAGATTGCTAGGTATTAGGGAATCCCGCATTTCCGATAGAAACTCTAGAACTTTACAAGCGGTAACAAAGCCAAGACACTAGCTGTTGTTTTCAATATTAGCGCTAATTAATAAATTATAAGTTCAACTGCAGGTCTAAGTGATAAATAAATCTAGGACACCTCTTCAACCCCTCTACTGTACCCCCCCCCAAAAATGGCCTTTGCGTACCCTTGGCTACCAAGCCATCTAAGAGGCCTCTACGACTTTCTCAGATTCCAAGAATCAACCTGGGGCTTCACAATCTACCGTACCACATATACTCAACAGTCCGATGCTGCATTTCCGCAAATAATCGACCTAATCACTTCATATATCAAATATAAATTTTACCGTGAATTTTCTGACCTACAAGAGAGAAACCCGGACAAAGTGGACAAAACTGTCTTTGACGAATTATGGGCCTGCTATCGTCCACGTATTATTGATGATACTCAATTTAATGATGCTTCAATAGACTTTCTTCGATCTCATTTCGAGTCCTGGGTTGAGAAGCGGAATATGCGGGATCGATTTCCAAGCTACAGAATGTTTATTGTGATTGATGAAGAGTCTTTCCAGACATTGCTAGATGCGCCAAATGCGGAGGAATCTGTGGCCTGGCAGAGGACTAATCACTTTGTGAAGGTTGTTGAGGCTTGGCCAGATAATGATCCGCCATTTGAGGGGTGGATGAAATGTTCTTTGAGCGGTTTGTGGGATTTGTGGCCGGTGATGCAGGATGGAGATTACATGCGGATGAGTTATATGATGATGAGAGGGGTTCGTGATGTGTATTAAGTTGTGGAGGATATTTTTATTTTTTATTTTTTTATTTTGTACATGTGAGGATCTATGAAAACATTCGTGCTGATAATGAGATCCATAACTTCCAAAAGCTGTAGAGCCATTGAGGCGTGCCACTGGGTAGATGTCTGGGATGAGTATAGAGCAGAAACCTACGTCTACTCATCTGGATGGAATCGAAGGTATAGTATACAGCTGAAGGCTCCAATTTTCCAAACCACCCTATAACCCAGTGAAGGAGAGTATCCGATCAAACTCATAACAGATTGCACTGTTCAATTTCTGTTCTAGCTGTGAAAGATAGCCACTTTTTTCTTAGGGTAAGTCTTGCTCTCCATTTCTTAGCCTGAACATCATCGTTCCTCTTTTCATAAAATTGAATATTACAATAGATATTTTCATCGCTGAAATTCAGCTCGTGAGAATACTCCTCTCTATAGACTGTTTTGTTAACTCCTGCAGGTCTAGGTCTATATATACCATTAGTTGATATCTTGGATTCTGTAGCTTGCTATACGTGACGTATAAAGAACAACCACCCACCATCACTCTGTAGGCTCTAAGATTTACTCCGCTACCCTAAGTCAGTGTTCACTATACAGAACTATAATCCGGACTCCTTCGGGTATACTAAAAAAGGTTGGTTCTTCTTCCTGTGTCAGGAACTATCGCCGTAATTAGGAATGAGAAATAGATTGATCCAAGTCCGCTACACTAGTCAGAACGGGAATATAGTGCCCAGAATTATGTAGGCGAATACAACCTTCGTTTTTAAAGACAGAGACTAGATGCTTTATATGTTTCTCGTCTATCTTTCTACGACTTGAGGTCCCTGAGTACTGAAGATGATTTAGAAAGACTTCGCCCGACCACGAAAGCACATTCTCTTGTCCCGAAGAACAGCATTATCCAATATGCCCCATATAATGACTGCGCTTATACAATACTTTAGGGGGATGAGAGAGATATATATGTCTTAAATCTTGACTAGTCACGCAACAAGTGTAGTTTACCGCGTTTTTAATTTGCGTATTGTGGTTATTCCCTCGGCACTTAATCAATTTCACTGCCTATGGCTCAAGTATATGCCTTCCAAATTAATCTTGTTCCTCTCTGCTATCCACACCAACAATGCGAGGTCTGGCTGGCTTATCGTGGTGCTAAGAAACGAATGCAGCTTTTGTTAGAGAGATCCATTCTAGGCCGAGCCACATAACATACGCTCAAGAGGTCTTCGATTGACGGACTCCTGGTTTCTTCCAAAAATTGAACTAGCAAGGTACTCCATTCGCTGGGATTCTTTAGTATTTCCTTATTCGGATTCTGTAGTGTGGCACTAGGCTGTACTAGGTGTAGTATCAACTTTCCAACAGAGCCAATATCACTCTGGTTTTCATCGTCTATATTCAGAATCATACTTATTCCGATATTACCTTGCACATTAGTATAGTTTAGTACCAGGAAGCAAACCCGACTTCACACCAATTTTAATGCCTCCAGAAATTGTCAGGTGCATAATTTTATAAAGCGATCTTTATAATGTAATTTTGAGTTCTGCATGCACGTACAGTAAACCAGACAAGACTTAAACTGCATTTAGTTTCGAGCTCCTAATGTATTGTATAGAGTGTACTGACCTCCTGACAGATAATTACGATACGCATCTCCTTTAGTTCGATGCAGGATCTGAACTGCTCCAATAAAACGTTCATCCGTTCATAAACCATATATACTATGTCTGCAGGTATAAAGGCATCCTTAAGATTCGCCGGATTTTTATGGCTTGCACGTATCAATCTTCGACTATCCTTGATATCTGGAGCTCTTTGGGATCTGACAACTACAATCTCAGGGGATATATATATCCTTCAAGGGACCAACGGCCAGAGATGTAGTTTATGACCGACCTAGACTGGCAGATTTATCGTAAAATCTTCATGGTGAGTCCTCTCTGCATAGGGAAGATAGCATTCGTTTGCTTCTAGTGTTTTCATTCTCCCACGGTCTCTTACTAGGCAGGTTAGTGGGCTTTCGTAATCGATCGGACGTTTCTGACGGCAGTTGAGGCTGTGATGTCATGACCAGATCCAAAATAGTGATCATCATCTCATGGGAATAGAGAATAATGTTTGTCCACGTCGGCTGGCATAGTGCTCTTGCTCCTTACTGCATAAAAGCATCCTTATCCCCGCTAATACCCTGTCTGAATTGGTTTGTAATCACTAAGTGGGGGCTTCCCATGGCCTCCTGCGGCAAGTAAATTAATATGATAGGCAGCGCGTTATCTTACAAAGTGGCAGAACGCTTTCATCGGAATGCGAAATCTGGCAACAGAAAAAGTGCTTTTAAGCCTCTGTCCAGTTTACTTTCCCTATTTTCTTATACAGATTTAAACTAGATGACGGCAAATGGGCTGCCCAAAACGGGCCGCAGTCGACGCTGTTTTTGGCCGTTAATCTGCCAACTCTTCCGCCACTCACTCAGGCATTGGTGTCCACGCACTGACCTGCAAGTTAGCCGTCGAAGCTAACATTGGGGCATTCGTAGCCAATTGACCACCAACACTCAGTACCCGAGGAACAAAATAAGTGTTTGGCTGAGATAGGATTGACCCCCCAGATCCCCATCTATTGGAAATGCATTTGTGACGGCTAAGTGAGAGGTGGGTGGATGGCGCGAATAACTTTGGTATTGCAAATCACCGGCCCCATGAGCCGGCGAGATCCCACTCATGCTCTATCAGTCTGATGCGCCAGAGCCTAGGCTCAGTGCATAACTCAAGGTCATGATTGGTATTTATTATTCGATTTATCATGGAATGGAAGCAGACATCGGCAGTTGAGGCCGAACAGAATTCAGGCGCAAAGGGAACGAGTTTTAGGAAATTAACTAAAAATGCTGTCTCATGATAACGTTGTATTTCTTAGTGATGGGAGTCAAGATACAAGCCTTTTTTGCCTGCAACTACTTAACATTTGATGAGTCCTCAGCTAACCCTCTTCACCCTCCTTAGCCAAGTCCCCAGATCAAAGGTACCGTCACTCAAGTCTCTGACATTGCCGACAAATTTAAAAACATAACCAAAGTCATCCACGGGCTCATTCCCGTCGGTATAGTTGATACGACACGGATCGGCCCGATAGTTGTCCGTTTCATAGCTGGCAAGCCTCTCCCCATGCTCTTCTGTTTCGACATGGTAGACAGCCCCATGAACAACCTTTTCTGGGGCATCTAGGAGAGCTGGATACTGGCCCCATAGCTTGCATTTGTAGCCTGTAATGGTGGCGGGTCGAAGTTGTGGCTCGATTTCCAAGCCAAGGACCTCGCGGAGCGTAGCGAGATCAGACAGGGTGCCGTAGAAGAAATAAGGGCCGGTGGGCGCAGCAAATGGATCTCTATGAGGTGGTGGCCTTTCCGGTTGAAAGAAATAGCCAGGAGGAGCAGACCTCAGCTTCCTGACGAATGGGGAGACTTTCGAGCTTGGATCTTCGGGCGGAGGAGGTGGAGGAGGGGAAGAGGCAGAGCCAGCGACTCCCTCGTCTCCTTGGTTGCCAGACATTTCTTCAGTTGACGGCCAACAGGGTGCCTACAGGGCGGAGGTGAGAACCAGCTGAAGGATGAAAATTCGATAGAAGCTTCGGTCTTCCAACTCGGTGTTTGTGTTTCTATCATTGCCCAGTGCGTGTATTATGTAACCGCCACCAAGCCACCAACCTGGTGCAGGCGTCAACATGCATAATAATGCATAAATGTGGTGCATTTCTTTAAGCGCTGGCCCTGTAATTACTATAATAGGCAGTATATCAACTATACATAGTACTATACTAGAAGACCCACCAAGGTAATTCCCTGGTTTTTGATATGAATCTATAGGAGACACGTGATCGCCTAGCGGCTTGGCCGGATCACCAACTCCTTCAGCCCCTGAAGGCTTTACCGATTAGTAGAGAAGAGAAGAAGCAGTCAAGATAGTTGATATAGTCGTCCATAGAATTGAGTATCTATCGGAATGGCATCCGGTCCTCAGTAGGCTACGTAAGTGTAGCTGATACAGCCTCATCCTGCCCATCTTTCCCCTGAGATCACAACAGTTTTAAATAAGAGATTCTTATATTATTTAATTTATAACAGTAAACCACTCGCGGTACAGAATAATAAGAATAGAGAGATTATTATTGGAAAAGATATTTAATTTATAAGAATATAGCTTATCTTAAGAGTGTGGGAGTAGATACAAACCAGGCTATAGTCTGGCAGAATTCTTAAATTCCTAGCAATGCTATTAGCCTATTATTACTCTCCATCTCCCCAGCCTCCTTGCTGAGGCTATTCTGCACCACATTGACCGTGGACGAAATTAAATATACACTCCCATTACAATGGCATGAAAGCCTGTGTTACAGACCCTTGCCTAGTGTGCCTTATCGGGGAAAGCGGACGCGCAAGGCAGAAAGTGATAGGACTACAGTGAAGGAAGAACGGATCATGGCTACCCGAAGATAAGATAAGAAGGATCTCCAGGTCACGTGATACATACTCCGTCACCTACCCCCAGAGGAGTATATGAAGGAGTATACGAGACTACGCACAGTGATTGGATATACTCCAAAACCTACCCCCAAAGGAGTCACTACGGGAGTAGCCAAACAGAGGATATATAAGGACACTCATTCATGTACCTAGTTTAGTTCTTCGTGATCAATCAATCAAGTTACTAAGGACCTACATTCAACATTGTTACTCAGGATACACCTTTGGTATCAAGTTAGTAATCGACTCATTCGCACTTCCTTAACTACTGAGTATACGTACTTAGTAGCTCAAACACTTTTAACATTTCTTTACAATCACGGCTCGCATGCAACATCCTGTCGAGTAGTATGGGATGAAATTGCTGCTTTATCAGCAGGCATTAGACGAAACAGGGACGGCATCTTTAGGTAGGAATGACGCTAAGCGTGGTAGTGTAAAGGTATGATTATATTGCATTTGCCGTGTTTTATTGTTCCCCAATCCAAGGAATACTCCTTCAGCATTATATCCTGAATCTCTTCCTGTTGCGGCCCAGATGCGTTCAGAATGTGAAATTTATTGATATATTATTCTGCAGCGGAGAAACGCATTGGAAAAGAAGATACTTGATTTCTTAATCTCAGATTCAGTATACTTCTCTACGTATGCCCTATATAATCACAAAGAGGTGTCTTTGTAAATTACACAGTTGACATCTCTAATCCCTACCGTGGCGAGGGGATCGTGGTGAAGTGGCGGAGGCCTTATCGAGGGATGCTAGTGATGATACTTACGATTTATGGCTTGCGGTTAATTCGCGACTATGAATCGCGGAGATCTTTCATCGATCCTCTGACGCACATCTTGTGATAAATAGAATGTAAGGCAATGTTATTCGTAGTATCAGAAATGAGAAACTCGAGAGAACAAAGAGTAGATGAAAGGTGGACATTGAGCTAAGCTGACATGTAGTGATAATGAGATTGTGATACAAGGGTTGTTCCCTTCAGATTCAAGACATTGGATATAAAACAGATATGCTTAGGAGATATCTAGTTAATAATATTTGATCGTGTTAAAGTTGATACTCGTCCGACCAATTGTTTGCCCCTGAGTAACAGCCTCAAATTTCAGAACACCCTCCTGTGCGCCGAAGATTACCTTGACATCGTAACTCAGGCTATATATTCGCCTGCCATCTTTCATTTTTGAATCGAATATTTCCAAGTCCACACCCGTAAAGTCTACAACTATGTCACCTACTTCATAAACATCTGATTCCTCGTCAGATCGATCGGCACATTTGGAAACCTCAGCAGACAAACCTTTGCAGTTCACCCGCTCAGGAGCGCTAGTTTGATCGCATGCGTAGAGAGTTATAGACTTCTTTCTACCCCATGATGCAGTATGGGGCCGAAGAAGAGTTATGCTGTCTGTATAATCCTCCTCGTACTTGTCACCCTATTTAATTCCATATCAGGAGAATGCCCGAGACTAGCGCCTAGCAGAGTCGATCCGGAAAGACTCACCTTGGCAACCATCCATTTCATAATGCCAGAGACCATTTTTGTGCCACTGTAAGGGTGTACATAAGAGTCGCCCTCATCGTCTATCCCGTCCCGGAATGGGATGCTGTAGGTGAAGCCGTAATGCCGACGGCACCTTTTGGTGGTGGACCGGAGGCCTTCCAACCCTCGCAGCGCAGCCCCTTGTACAATAGCAGCTTGTCTAGAAATACTTAGTGACTGGGACGTAGATTATTTCACCAGATCCAAAAATGGATAATACTTACGGCGCATCGGGAATTGTGACAGTAATCTTGTCTTGAACCTCAAAGGATGACCGGAAAGATTTGCGGAGGTATTCGGAGTCGCCAAATCCACCTACCAAAATGATTCTCTGAAGAAGGGTCAGGAGGAGCCCATAAGGCGGAAGAAAACAAGATGAATTAGGAAAATGAGGTCAAGTGAAATCCGAAAGCCGTACATTGATAATATCTTTGCCTGTCTCTTCACGGGCATCTTCAATTTGCTGTCGCACTAGACTAGTAATCTTATCTATGACAGGATCAAAGATGGTGTGCAGATCATCACTAAGTCAGCTATTAGTACTTTGCTATGAAAAGTGAGCGAATGGATAAGGTGTTTTCCTTGCCTTGAAATAATAACCATCCGTTCTTCATTATCAAAGTGTTTTGGATCTGGGTCAGAGACTGTCATATTGAGAGGCAGCTCAAATGTGGTCGACTCATCAGAGCTGCCAAAATCCCTCTTGATAGTCTCAAACTGTTTCATGAACTCGCTTCCAGGGCTCTTCCGCCTCATGGGCAAATTATTGAATGCATCGCCGAACCTGTCTGACATGAGCTTGTAGAAATTACGGTCCACTGCTGTGGAACCGCACTTGCCCCCTAGAGTTTCGTTAAGGATATGTCTAAAAGGATAAGAACGCCGATGTAAAAGACATACCAATCCCCGTGCACAGTTCCTCGAATTCTAAGGATGGAGAGACCCGATTCACAACGTAGGTGGTAATGTCCTGAGATATAAGCATTCAAACATTGCGCAGCCTCCAGAAAAATCTTACTACAGTACCACCACCGCAGTCGCAGACAAGCACCCCATCTCCGACCTAGAACCCGTGTTAGGCAGAGACTTGCAGACAGAAACATAACCTACCCTGACAGAACCTCCTATACTGTTTGTAGTATATTTCTTTAGCGCTGTGATTGCCGCTGCTTCTGGCTCGCTGATCAGGAAAACCTTATCGCTTGGCCGGAGAAGACTACCTCCAAACCCCGCCCGTCGAGCAGCAGTTCTTGTGGCATCCCGAGCTTTGTCTGACCAAATAGCCGGGACAGTGAACCAGAACTCTATTGGGGTGATATACAGCTCTTGGTCCGTGATTTGCTTGGCAATTGCTTTCAAGATATGCTTATAAATCTCGGACAGATAGTCAGAAACGACATCGACCGCAGTCTTCCCCTCTGGAACACGCAGTATACCGGCCTGAGAAGCATTTTCAAGGGACGAATCGTCATAATTGGACAATGGTGTGCCTTGATCCAGCAGCAACTTTGTCCACGAGTACGCTACCATCCCGGGCTCAACCTGGTAACCCCAGCGCTGTGTAGAGATACGTGGATTATCGGAGGCATATGCGATGCGAGACGGTGCTTTGAAGACGGCATCGGTATTTTTAGAGGGGCCAGGCCAGGTGTTGATGAGTATAATATCGCTCAAGCCGGACGCTTTGGAGCTCACATAACTGGCTCCTTTCATAGCCCTCCGTCAGTTATATTTCCAGTGGCGGCGAATGAGACAATAGGGAATACCTGTAAATGTAGTACCATAATCGACTCCCACAATGATCTTGCGGTTAGAAGATAGGGCAAGGGAACTAAAACTAGCAGAGAGGTTCGGATCAAACGTCATTATTCCGCTGTATGTCCTGGGGTGAAGGCAGTAATGAACTCTGGCTGTACTTTAACGATGACTCTTGTTAACTCCTGATCCGGTGAACCACGCACAGCCGCTCAAGAGGAACAAGAACTAGAACTCTCCGCCGCGACTCCTGGATATAATGACAAGGGGCTAATTTAGACCATAGAAGCTAACCTTAGCGTGGCTGCGGGTAGCTTAACATAGTAAGTCCTTGAGTCTGAACCGGATAGGGATGTTCGAAGCATAAGCGCCCGTGCTCACAGCTGCTGCGGGAGAGGAAATTCTTAGGGATGGGTTCAGGCTTAATTTCCAGAGTCCTCGAAACAGGGGCGCAAATTATCTTTCCGTTACTGACCAAGCCATCGTCGAATATCACCCTTGGGTAATCATGGCCGAAGGTAGGGGAACGTCCAAAGATACTCCGGCTCAGGTAAGAGTGTCTAACGAAATTCCTGACTACCTTTGTTTGCTTCATGCACTAGCTCACTCGCTGATTATATAGACAACCACCCATGGTCCACCATCTGGCAACAATAGACGCCGTACAAGGACCGAAAGAAACGATGAGAGCTCTTGCCATTCACCATCTACTTCTCAGAGAGCGATGCATGGAATTTTGGGAGGTGTCACACGGGTGTGCTCCCATTCAGCTCCCAATAACTGGGTTTCCAGAGCTATTAATAATAATTGGACAGATGTTGTCTGGGCGAAAGCCGGAGGAACCGATACACTCATCCTCAGACTCAATAGAGAACCCGGCTAAGGCACGAGATTCGCGACCACAAAAAGCCCATGAAGCTTCGGCAACAAGGGCCGGTGCAGAGGCCCACGGTGCTCACGTTAATAATAGAGCCCATAAAAGAGACACCGGATACCTCCACGAGATAAAACAGAGGGATGTGCAAATCGAGGAATGTAAGGCGAAATGCATACGATTACGCCAGGAATCCGAGGCTCAGTCCCAACGTCTAGCAGAGGAATCACGCCAACATGAAAAGGATCGTCAACAACAACAGGCCGCGTACGAAGACCATCTGCAACAATGTGAGACACAAATTCGAAAGCTCAACAAAATCCTTTCTCAGCTGTTGGAGGATAATGAGCAACTGCGGACTATAGTTATAGCGCGTCAAGAAAATGCTCTCCAGTCGATGGTGTCGAACAACGGACGGGCTCCTAAGGAGGACCGGGTTGTTAGGGATGAGTTTACCAAATTAGATGGGAAGATGCGCTCCTGGGCAAGAAATTACGGTGTCAAGTCTCTCTCTGATTTAGAGGGTGTCCCAGATAATGAGAAGGACAAGGTCATTAAGGAGTTGGGCGAATACTGTCGGGAACAGGATTGGGCATCGCTGATGTGCAAAGTATCGTTTTCCCCCGATAAAGTCCCGGGAGTCCTTCTACAAGCCTTGTTAGCCAAGGATGTGTTTGAGAGGATTTTTGTGGACCCATTCTTTGCCTTTGGTAAGATCGGTGATGATAACACTCTCCCCGAGTCGGTAGAATTGAACAGGATTTACGGGTGCATGAAACAGGGTAAGAAGATCATAGCACAGAAGCTCACCAATGCTAACCGAAACTCCAACGCAGTTCATGAGGCAGAAGCGCACACTTGGCGCTCACAGACATTACGAATTCTTTCCACTGCGACTGACCCGAACACCAAACCTATCTTACAGGAGAGGATTGAGGAGCTTAGCAGTGGGCTTGTGACAAACCTCCTCGGTAGTTCAGCCCGCACTCTTCTTCAATCCCGAAATACAGAGGATGCCAAGAAAATGAATCAAGAGCTACAATCGCTGTACGCCGGGGCTGCGCATCTCGCATTGTCGCTTTGGAGTCAGCCGACCTTTATGGTCTGTAGGAGCCAGCAACATCTGCCAGTCTTCACCATCACCAATCCAATGATGACTGCACACCGTTTGCATCATCTGGATGAAGACGATTGCAAATTGGATGGTAAACAGGTGCTCCTTGTTATTCGACCGGTTGTCCTGGCCTTTGGTACGGTAAATGCTGAGCACTATGACCTATCGAAGGTGTGGGCCCGAGCAACCGTGTTGGTAAATGAAAAATCTTGAGTAGTATTTTCTTATTAGATCAAAGGAGTTTAGCACGTCATTTTAAGTCAATAATGGGAGTTCAACCGTTCAGGGGTCTATCATAGGCAACGGAAGGAGGCGGTACAGATGCCCAATGGATTAACTGGAGAACCCCACTTGGAGCACCGCACTTGCGATTTTCTAGCGCCGAGGACAGAAGTAGGAAAGGATTAGCATTGATCAGGTCCATACGCCCCTTTAGCGTCGGGAAGCGCTCTTGATCGTTGAGTGGTTTTCGGTCCTCCGTGGTGGGCCCCCTGCAAGATGACTGCGCCGCATGGGTCGCCGAAAGCCAATTGCCTCTCTCTTGCCGTAGCACTTGCTATTGGACGGGGTACCTGCCGTGGAGGATAATTATCGAGCTTCTTCATTGAGGAGGGATATATTTCAGTGCTAGGAGGTCAGAGACCATGACTGGTAGTTTTGAGCACTTTGTCTTTACTGTTCTCTCCCGTGGGAACCGTCTCCCTCAAATTAATAGCTGTCAGATGTGTCCTGAGGAAACAAGTTCAGTTATCCGAACCTACGAAGTCTTGTTCTGCCCAAAGCAGTTCTTACGTTCCGGATGGAAGCTTCGATCTAGGAGCAGGTGGCTAGAGCTTGGATAGGTACTCGGCTACGGTCTATATATATATATACTCTGTGCGACTGTACAGCGGCCTCATCCGTTAGCCAGCCGTCACCCGGTGGGGTCAGGATCCTTGGGGACCAAGAGAAAAACAATTACTTGAGATTGATACGAGATTTGCTTTATTAGGAACTACAAGGAACCCTGTTCATCGTGCAGCATTCTCTGTGCATGTCCACATGATCATATGGCCCCATCTAACTAATTGATCTCCCCGAATCCCTAGATATATGAGATCTTGTGATTCCGATAGTAGAAGAGCAAGAGTCAATCTCTGTACATAGGATCCTAGTGTTTTCGAATACCTTCTTTGCCTACGTATCCTTATCTAGTTGACAGGCCATCTACCTTTCCCAGTAGATATCCCTTACATCCGTCTAATTCGTTGGAATCAATTAAGCAGTAAATATATTAACAGAGTTCGGTCCCTGTACGGCAAGGGATTGGCTGATCCACTCCGCCAAAATTTTTCGCTGTTTTTCCGCCATCAGGATTAACCTAGTATGATATTTTGTTTTTCTTTTTCATCCTGTCCTGCAAAGCAGACAAGAAGAACTTTGGTGAGCTGTCAAGCCATAGAGACCACCTGCTGTGTCGGAGGATTTCTCTCCCCCACGGGTCAACTAACTTATGATCCGGGATAACAGCTTTAATCATCCGTAGTTGAGGCCATAACGCAAGCTATGGATTCCCTAATCCTACGAAGTGTTTGAACGGCAGATTTTCGTTGTAGGAAAGATCTGCTTATCACGGTGCGCTCGTCACGCACTTATTCCTTGTTTTGCTTTGAAATTTGTGTATACAGGACGCCGTTTTCCACTGTATAGTCGTTTGCGAACCAACTTTACCACTAAAGTACCCATATCGGCTACCACCATACTAATCTAGATTAGCGATCCCGGTATCGGATAATAATCATATTAAGGCCTATAAATATTGCTCATTTTATCATTAGGTCAAGGAATTAGACCTCGCCATTTCTTCATTGCACTTCTTAGGTAATACAGAATCCCGTAGTTATTCGTGCCAAATTGCCCCTTTCTACTATTCCTCCCCTTTGCTTTCTGCTTCTACTAGCTCTAGGCCTCTAATCCTCAAAGAGCCGGCATTCTGAGCTATTTCTCCCTGTATAGGTGGTGGCACTCCTTCCTTGACTAAGGCCCTGTACAAGGCCCACCTCTGGTGGCGCCATTGTCCACATTCAACCTGTAGATGGCCTGTTGTTCCCTGTGGAACCTGGCAGCTCTGACCTCTAGGTGAGTCTTGAACCCCTATCTTACTGAGGTAGGTCGGTATTGCGGCGTGCCCAACCTTTAGCTGTAGTATCGGTGAGCGAGCTGTTTTAGTGCTGCTCCTGCTACCAGATCTAGTTTCTATCCTTTCTGGGATTGATAGCATTGTTGGGTCCTGTAGCATTGTTTCTCCAGAGCCTATACAAGCCATTATTGTATCTGCGGCTGGTTTGCCTCAGTATATGCTCTGTGTAGATAGGCTAGACTAAGGCTTCTGTCTATGTCCCTGGGGGCCTTTTCAGCAGCTATTTTAGCAGCTTGATTTGTCTTCTAATTTTCTAGTATACCTTGCTGGTCTGGGGCGCATTGGATAGTAATTTGATATCCTTGATTCTCGAGCCTTCGGGCTATATCTTAGACTTGATTTGCTCAGCCTTGCCCTGGGCCAGCTCTATTGTCTTGCTGCGGAGCTATAGTAGCCTAGGACCCTGGTAGGGTCTTTATATCCCAGCTGCTCAGCTATTTCAAGTGCTTTGCAAGCACCTGCTAGCTCTGCATCAAAAACCTCTTTCCCCTTCCCTGCTTGAGGGCTTCTTCTTCTATGGGCACGTATAGTACCTGGAAATGTCTTGGGAAAAATCTCTACTACCTCTTCAAATCCTCTATCTTTAAGAGGTTGCTATCTTAGCTGCTATAGACTGACCTAGGTTCCATGGACCTTGTGCCCTAGGGCCTTCCGCCCATAGCCGATCATTAATAGGCTGTTCCCCAGGTTGTGCGTAGCAGTCACCCTTGCGGATCGTACCCTCTTTGTGAAGGGGTTTCAAGGTAGAAGTAACTGATAAGCACGCTGAAAGTTTATTCGCAGTCTGTCTTTGCTGTAGTATCAACAAGAACAAGTACAAGAAGTCCAATATCCCTTCAGCAAATAATTGATATTAACATAAAAGTATCTTTGAGGCGCCTAAAAGAACACTAATGAAGAAAACTGATATTGCGGGTAAACATACTTTAATATCATGTCAAAAGTTGTACTAACCTAAGCATCCATAAATAAGGATTTCAGTGAAGCCAGCCCTAGCCTTAACTGAGTTCTCCATAACATGATCTACCTGATCTAGGATTCATCCTAAATTGCCTACCAAGACTCTAAACTAAAGATATATATGACAATGGAGATATTTTACTAACAGCATAATTATACCTAAATAACTCTCTATAATATATTACTTTAATTCTTTCTTATTTTAATTACAATATATCACTTAAAGGATAGTAAGAATCCTACTTACTTAATTATCCTTTTAGACAAAGTTTTATTAGACACTAATATATAAGATAGTTCACTAACTGGGCAAAATATAATACTTATACTAATATATCTCTATATCAGTATTCTTAAATCTCTTAATCTTGCCAACTACCCCATCTTATCTAATCTCTACTTACCAGTCTCTACTATCTGTGCCTAGTGTAGTTATACTTTGTCTAACTGAACTATACCGCGATTACTAAAGCTATTAAATCTAGACTAGTAAAGACTTTAGTTATCTTCTTTAAAGTAGGATTTAATTTCTTCTATTATTACTCTAGTTTAAGTACTATCACTAGTGCATGTCTATCTACTTTTCCTAATTTTAAAAGATAAAAGAAGATAACATAAGTTTAAAAAAATATAGTTTATTCTTGAATAAATACTTTCTATATATAATCCTGCTGGGAGTTCCAGAGTATTACCAGGCAGTGAATAGAATGGTAAAGAGAGATAAGCAGATCTAGATTAGACTAAGGATTATAGAAGTTAGCTGCTTTATAGACTGGTTGGCAGGCCTTAATAGTATCAAGCAGTCTCTACATAGCAGATAAGGCTTTATCTATATCAACTTTAGTATATGGATAGAGAACCCATGGCTTTATAACCCCAGGCCAGTGTGGAGGGTTAGGGCACATCAGGGTGACTTTGCCTTCATCAATCATGTCAAGATATGCATCAAGAATGACCTCCAGTGGCTTGAATCCCCAGCCATGAATACACATTGGAGACTCCTCAAATATATGGCCTATGAAGGCTGCTAGAGATTCTTCCTGGTCATACCTAGTATCATCATTGATTAGCTATATTGTATATTATGATAACAGGGTGTCTTCTCTCTTACACAATGACCCTCTCATCACCCATGAGATACCCTGTGGAGAATAGAGCCATACAAACCGACCGGGGTACAATTTCTCTACAAGAGTCTTGAAGAAGCTGTTAGGGGTATTGAGACCACAGATCCAGTAAAAGAGAGCAGGTCTGTCTAACAGATCCTTAGGTATATTTTTAGATTTGAAAAAGGCCAATTTTAAGAACTTAATAAGAGAAGGATCTAAAGTTTCTATAATCTTATACAAAGACAGAAAATACTTTTACCAGGTAATATATAGTAATAGATAATATTCTCTCCATAACAGGCAATAGATCTCATTATGTAACGCTGTGCACCGCTTATAATCCATACAGCCTAGTTTCTGCACTGGGTTGGACGGGATGATATGTGGTTCCACTGACATCTTTAATAATCTGACAGTAGGGTTAGATAGGCAATATATAAGTAATTATGTCCTACTTCTTGGTAAAGACCACACTATTCTGTGGAGTGTTATATTATAATTTATTTACTTTTACTACCCATTTAATGGAAACCCCCATGCGTCCCGTGTTTGTATCCGTGTTCCATGGATTAGGTGAAAATTGGGTACTATAGACTGTACCTATGTTCTAAAATCTCTTAATGCTTAATACCGACAAGAAGTATTTATAATCTGCATGTCAGCTACTGAGTATTCTTAACATGAAGCCCAATATACCACTGCTGTTGACTGGATATATTCACTGCTTCGGACAATCGCCATAATAACAGGAACCTCGACTACAATACTCCTCCTCCTCCGTACTTCCGCAACATCCAGATACCAAGCAATATATTACCAAATTGAGTGTGAGTGCATATCTTGTTCCCGGCAAAGCTGGGCCTGCATTCGCTGTTAACACTCGGACCACCATTATCATCATTACAATCTCCCGAGAAACATAGACCAGGTCCGCAAAATCCTGGTCCACTCACACAATAACCATGGATAGAACAGCATCTACGTGATTGATTCAGTTAGCATCGAATCGAATTATAAACAGCGGTAGGCAAGGATAAAACACCGATGCTTAGACAGGGGGATTCCCACAAGCCGAATCTTGGATTGGTACACGTCACTACAGTAGTCTGAGGTGTTGTTATAATATGCGCCCATTGAGCAGCATCTACTCATAGAGTAGTGCGTCAGCGATGGTGGCCTTGCACTGTGATGGGTCTAGCTTTCTGTATAGTTAACTCACCTTCCAAATGAGCTTCCTTAACAAGCGGCGTTATCATGGGATAGGCTGCATGTGCCATCTTCTGATATTGTAGTTTTGGTAACTGGAGCAACACAAATATCATTATTCCGCCTTAGGTTGGGGCAGTTACCCCACAGCTAGAGAAAACGGCCCCAGTCTGTTTCCTAGATTTCTTTTATCCGGGCATGGATAAAACTCACGTAGTTATTTCTAGTCTAGAATTCAGTAAATATTATCTCACTTTAGCCAGTTAGTACAGTTAGCGAGAATAAGTCACAAATAGAATATACTTAGAAGTAAAGAGCCAACATGTTACACTAGTATAGTAATCAGATTTAGTATATTCATGATACTAGGATAGGGTACTTACTTTATTACCAGTAACAACTTTATAATACTGGCTGCAGTGTTAGAATAGTGTCAGGGTGTATTAGCTCTGCCAATATTTCTGAGCACAAAGAAAGTTATAAGGCTTATAAGAGAAGTAAGTTACTGGTTATGATAGTACTACCAGTTGTATACTAAGAACCCGCAGTAGTAGCCGCGTAGACCACACCCAAAGCCTTGGAAAGCCACCTAGTGGACTGAAAGAAAGCCATTAGAATGGCCCTTGTCTATCAAGGAGGCAAAATAAAATAAAGAATCCTATACCCTTTATAAACATATTGCGAGTTGTGTATCCTGCTATAATCCCCTAAAATATTTAGGATTCCAGCTTAAGGATTGCGTCTTGGAGATAAGGAGCTCATCAGTGGAGTAGTGAGCTAGCTCTTCACTAAAATGGTGTTAGCAGGGAAAAAAAAGACAAATCATAAGTAGCCCCATGGTTGCAGTACCACCAGCATTCTTTGGCTTACCAGGTTGCTTTACCCTAAATAGTGTGGATTTCAGAAGGCTTAGGAATCAAATTGACAGTCTTGATCCTGTGTAGCATAAACCACTGTCCCTGAACTCACATTATACTTATCGGAGATTTATTAGCAACTCATCCAGGAATTAGATGGTTAAATCAACGGCCCGGGACAGCTCGTTGGTGATGGGACAGGGTTGTTACGGTGGCAGTAACTGGCACGGTGCGAGTTGAAGCAAACAAGGTAGTTTCGTAGGTAGTCTCGGGCAGCTTGACGGAACAATACTCCTGTATCGGGGGGGGGGGGGGGGTATTGATCGGGAAGGTAGTCAGTGCGTATGTTCGCTGGAGGGGAGCAGGGCCGACATAAGTCACTGTCTCCTCATTTTGATGAAAGTATTCGCTACATAGCTAGACAATACCTTGTCAGTTTTTATCATCGGTGGGTAGATTGTCAACAACAGTAACATACGAGATCTTTCTTGTAAAGCTTGGTTATATCCATTCATATCCTTTGTTATCTGGGTTATAGAGAAGTCCCGGTCTAAGCTTTCTAGGGTTTTATTATCCTCATACTTATAATACTCTTCAGGATCCTATCTAGGCAAGTTTAGCTGCTCATTAAGAGATTCATAGCTCAGCTGTTCCTGTTCCTACTGGATATAATTACTGCCAAGTCTGCAAATTTACAAAGCACCAATTTGATAAGCTGAATGTAGGTATTTTAATAGCTCTAAATCAATGTTAATAGAGTGAGTATTTCTTCACCTATTCTCTAAATATACTAGATCATGTTCTTCCTTCCATGCGGTTGGAACAATCTTCGCAAGCATGTAGACGTCCCTAACAAACACTGTCTGCAGATCACAATCATGATCCACAGCATTCAACCAAGAGCATAGAGATGTCGCACATTCCTGGGTACACAACTTTGTTGTGTTCTCTGTAGTCCAATCTAGGTTCAAACTAGATCACTCATGATATTACGTTCAGCAGAATACTGCTGAATAATAACAAAACTTGCAGTATTGGTTGGAGTTCGAGACCGCCATGCTTCCTGTCGCTTCACTTATATAGGGCTGTGCTGTTTCTAAAAAGGGACGAGGTTTGCGGTAAGCTTTAAAAGTTCAGAATTAAGTACAATGACTTCAGGCATTTTTTAGAAAGCTTGAGCTCTTCCTTTAAAAGCTGACTATCCGGTCTAGTATGTATATTGAAGGATCCTTGCACCACATGAAGAAGACTTAGACAGATGAAGCATAGTCCCATGATTCTAGTGGCCTTGTCCTGGTATACCATAGTGTGAGGAAGGGGACTTGCCGTCAGTTACTCCTTTGACTTGGGCTGAGGCAACAACACAGGGTCAGACTTTAGAAGCTGAAAGCAAAGATATTATATAGAAAGGGGTAACAGAAGTAAAATTCAGAAGTTCCTCAGCAGTTCTTTATACAAGATATCATGACTCAATTACTCAATTTCAGGTATCTATATAGAACTGAATCTGCTGATAAGAAGGTTTATTAATTCACTCATACAATATTGACATCTAGACCTCTAAAGTAGCAAATTTGATACCTTAGTACAATGACCCCAATACTCGCTAACAGGGGAAGGGGCCAATAGTTGCAAGGGGTACCTGGATGAAGCTATAATACTATATTATTTCTATTGGGAAAAAAGCTGACAGTAAAAGAAACAGATCAAATAGAACTAATTAATATAGTACTTTAAATGGAATTTATAGATTTATCTCGTAGGTTTCACAGCCGCGGACCCAGGGAGGCTGGTAAGACAGGAAACCAAAGCAAATAGGCCACCACAAGCCGTAATGAGGCTCTAAGATTATCCGCTTGAAATAGTATATTGCAAATAGACATACAAGGATAGTTACATTTATAGTAGCCTGCATATCGCTAGTTTTGCGGGAGTCAGGGTAAATGAAACAACCAACCAGCCAACCTAGTGTACTAATTATTATAATGTGGATCTGCGAGTTATATATGTCTTAGTTTGCAAAGACGTAACAAGATGTTGGTACACGGTTGAGGTGAGATCCGCGACGGAGCTATGCCAAAAAGGATTCCTGGACTATAATGCTCCACCCGGTCGCCTAACTGAGTTAAAAATAATTTGGAATAGAGCTATCTCTCTATGTACGGAGTGGAGCGTTGTGCGCGGAAGAACTCCCTAAAACGACTATCTTAGTAGCTACTGTAGAGGATTTTCTTATTAGGAAATAGGGCACCTGCAGGTCTCACGATTGGTCAGGAGGTGGATCCAGCCTCGGCTCCTGGCCCTAAACCATACTCTTGATAGTGTCCTGTTATATACCGCTGTGATTATTTTATATCTTATATAAGTATTAGAAAAGCTTTATAATATATATTTAGTATAAAATCCTATCTTTTGCTAAGCCTTTGTCAAGACTAAGGACCTTCTTAGATCTGGAATCCTGCTAAGTCCTGCTAAGCCCTTTGGACAATTTTACCGAGATGAAGTGAGACCTGCAGAAATAGAACCCTACCTCACCCAATGTGATCGGCTTTCACCACAACATCTACTGCAGAGTTCATTGTGTGTATTGATTATGAGACTAGTTAGGATAGTCGTCGGTGGCATAGCTCGGCCGGGCTCCACTATATAAGGGACGAGGATTCCCACCAGATTCCGATACAACAACCTGTTCAATTCCTTAAAATGTCCGCCGAAAAATACCAAAAGAAAAAAAAGGGAAAAGAGTGAGAGAAATAGCTTTATTTGTAGTCGGAATGGAGCACACAATACTAGCATACATAATTGTTTGCGTCATCGGAGTTGATCATATACAAGTAGAAGGAACCAGTTGACTTTTTATTACAGCTCCATGACCAAACTGCTTTCACACTGTTGTAATTTTGTGTCAGCACTTACCATTGCATGCTGCTAGACACTGGGACCAACGCTAGGGGTCAGATCTTCTCGCCTGAAAGTGTAGTTACAGTAATATAGCTACTAGTTTTGAAAACATGATTCCGGGGGTCTTTATATTGCAAGGTTATCTCCATTAATAATAGGATTAGACGTGTCTTTGTCTCTATTCCTCTTATATATAATTTGGTAATTTAAATCCCATCTCTTCTAGCTATACCCGCAGATTATATAACTAAAGAACCAAGCCTTGCTGAAGCTTCTTAGTAAGAGATATCTACTACCAAGTTAAGTTAGAGGTATTGACATATCATTATCCTTCTCTACTGAGCTCCGACATGTGGATTCGCTTTCTTGGCAATCTGAAAATAGATGACTATTAAATCTAGAGATAATGTCTTTTAAGTTTTCCTTGATTGATGCTGGAAAATATTCATCCGATTTTTTTATTAAATGGAAGTTGATGTGGAAAACAGATGCCACATTATCTACTAATGGGTAAAGCCTTCAGGGGTTGGAGTGATCCGGCCAAGCCCCTAGGCGATCACGTGTCTCGTATAGATTCGATTCATATCATATGCTATTGAGGCTTGTGGAAATTTAAGAAGAGCCAAAATTTGATATCTTTATTGCACTAGCATTTCTGAAACACATCCCCAAAGAGAGACCTCAATCTTGGCTTGTTTAAGAACTAAAAAGAGAGGGCTCCAGAAACCCTTTCGACCATAATAAGAAGTAGGCCGGTTAGCACAACAGATTCGGCTGTTGCAGGAGCACCTAATTATTTGGTCAGCCTTAGTGTCCTAGATATCTATGACGCAGTTTATAGGATGCCAGCGTTGAAGGGAGTAAGTAGTAAGAGGGAAAGGGGTAGAGCATACGCAAACGCTTAGTCCTGACATTCACTTGCTGCATGTAGATGGAGGCATTCCCTGTAGGCATCGTGTGAAGGCGTTCGAATCGCACACTTAACGGCAGCCCTTCCACAGTTTGGGTCACCATAGAGACTGTGAGAAGGAATTGCATTGGCAATATACGCCATCGATGCAATGGCAATCATGAAAGTGAAGATATTCTTCATTATGAATGTTAACTTGTGCGTGTTGGACCTTTTCTGAGAAAGAAGAGTAGGATACTTGGGAAGAAAGCTCTGGAGAATGATTGATAGACTCTAAGATAGAGACTATGACTTATCTTATATAAAGGCTCTCTAGACTAGTAAAGCCTTGATGACGCATATGACTTAGGACATGGCATCTTTCAATTATTTCATTATAGTGGAACAACATGGGATGAGAACATGATTCTGTAGCTAGTTATTACACTTACATATCTTGAACTTAAAAGGTCCGTAGGATATCTGTCAACGAGAAAAAGTCTAGTACATCACAACTTTTGCCGCTTGCGGCTGACGTTGTATTCAAAAACCACACTTCGGTACGTCCCACAACTGTATGGTCTTTTACATCAGCTCGGCAGACGTAGCGATATCTATGACATATGACAAACTTAACGTTTGCCTAGTGTACTCAGTAGGTAGCAGAAAATTATAAGGTCCTGGGATCTAGCAGTTCTGGCACTAGGCCACGCCACGGTTCGGTTTGGACACTGGACCCAAAACCCAAACCTGCGAACCCATGGGTTGGGTATAATCTGCGGGTTACCCGCCAAGAACCCATTTCAGCATAAAACTCCCAGTTAGGCTATGCCAAGATACATAAAAGTACTGATTTATTCAGATACTCAGTAAGCTTGTCCTTGCAGTGAATGTATTCATCCTGATAGAGTAGCAAAGAATCTAACTTAGTTGGATTTCTTACTCACGTAGGCTTAAGTCAGGCCCTGGTCTTCGGCTGCTTTTTGTCACAGATCGAATAGCGATTCGGCCTGATGACTGTACAGGATACCCTACGTATATTTCACTAGTGAGCGCCGCACCTCCACTCCGATTCCTGCCCATGGGCTACATACTAGAACTGTTTATCAAACAAACAATTGCATTCTATACAAAAAACTAATTACTAAGTGGATTAGGACATCTAACTCTAGTATGTCCTCGAACATGACAATTAGAACACGTTGGAGGTGGGGGGAAATCATACGCGCGGCCCAACTATAGAAAGCGCCGGATCTATAGGTGTTGTGAACCAAGGCTCGATCAAGTAAACTATAGAGCTTCATCTACGGAATAAATTCCGTATGGAAATAGATTGATTGGAAACCAATCTGATGATCATGTTGTATATAAACCCTCAAGTTTATGATGAGAAAATGCAACAATTAATCTTCTTCTGAATCACAACAGGCACATCTGAATGCGCTGTTGGTAATCAAGAACGGGTTATAGTACTTTCCGTCTCCCCGAATACGCTCCCAGAGGACAAGAGCTTAGACTGAACAGCTACTTTACTTCATGATACTCGCGCTCAGGCCCTGTTGAAGGTATGTTCAGCGGCGCTTTTGTTTCGTCAAGTCCAGAAAAGTCGTGTCAAGGAAGGAATGGGCAGGTCAAGACCATAGTCAAGTATCCCCCTTCCCAGACCCTTAGGCTGAGAGACACTCAGAACCATATCAACAAAGGCCAACCTCATTGAACCAACTCTAGATGTTGGCGGCACGTTTCTCGACCGTACAGCTCGGCGAGGATGTCGATTTGCCGGAGTTCTTGCTGACGGTAGTCGTTATTGCGCATGTCTCTGGTCTCCTGTTCTTTCGTGCTTTCGAGCAACGGCAACACGGGTCTGGGATCATGCCAGTACAGGCGCTGACCATCCTTGTTGCCATCGATGTAGACACGGCGCGGCATGTACAGCTGCATGAGGGTGGGGCAGACAAGCTGGTCGGTGCTCCTGGACAGCCTAAGAAAGAGGCTGTGAGCCTGCGAATAAATCTTGCGCTCTGCCCGATCATCAAGGCTGATGATGAGTGGATGGTGCGTTTGACGTTGCTTCTTCCCGCGACGCCAGCTGAACGGTGGCTGTGCGTGGCCCGTGGCTAGACAAGGGCTGCTCGCATGCAGACACTTTATAGCTCGGCGGTTCCTGGCGAGGAATGGACGCTAGCAACGCCGGGCGGATCACTTGAAATACATCATCATCCCGTCCTTTGATATGGTAACTATCCATCCATCTGTAGTATGGCGGACCAAATATCCTTCAGTCCTCTACAGCTGAAGTAGGTGGCAGCAGCGGCATGTTATTTTAGTGCGATCATGACTGGAGTGGCCCCAGCTGATCCCAGTGCTTTGACACTTGTCCACATCCAAGATGTTGCCGAGGCGCATGTTAGAGCATTGAGTCTCAGCGTACCAGCTGGGAGATACTTAATCAGTTCTCCCTGGGGGTTACTCGCCGGTCCGACATAGTTGCCATACTTAGGGAGAAATTTCTGGATGTACGCTGGAAGCTCAGTGGAGACACCGAAGGTCAAGGATGGGTCGTGGACACGACGAAGGCAGAGGAAGGACTTGGTTTTAAGCCACGGGGATTGGAGGAGATCGTTCGTGACACGGTGGATTTTTCAACTACGGTTGATTAAAGGAAACGGAAAATTAGACACGCCGTCAAAAGCTCTCAGCCTTGAGACCCTATGGCAGATACTATCCAAACCCGGCAGTCATTGTTAGTTACACTTGATTACAGAGACCGGTGCACGTTGCAGTATTGGATTGTTTCTCAAGTTTTACTGCCCAGAGGGACCAAACTGAATGTAAGAATGCCTAGATAGCTGAGAGCAGTGATCTTGTCTTCAGTGATGTATGTCTGTAAATTACAATTGGGTTGCAGCAAATCTACGTGTGCCCTACCTACTCATAGTATGCGCCATACGCAGGTGGCTGGAACAGTGGATACATCTGCAGGCAAGCAAACCTACTGTGGGGGCTCTTCCTGGCCACGATCCAACCGGCTAAATGCCTACCGCGAAACGCAATTACGCTCTAATCTTGTAAAATCTACAGTAGATTTAGTTACTCTAAGAGGCGACTAATTTAGCATGGCGTAATATGCAATAGAAGCCACTCGCATACAGCTTTATTTGTTCAGTACTTGCCCCTCATTCATATCCTGCTGCTTTGTAACTATTTACGTTTCTTCAGACCATATTTGCCTGGAATCATTGGGAACAATTGATAGGTCGTAGATCTTCGTCGCAAGCTACATAGTCATGGGACAAATAATTAGTGCTGGAGAGCTGTCTTCTTTTTCCTCCTTCCTCTCTGCTAACCGCTCATATGTAAAAGCGTCTTTCTGCTGGCCAAGGTATGGACGGTATGGTTATCTAATCAATTAATGCCCCACCGCCTGAACGGCACTTAAAACTCCTATTTATCGGGACCTCCCACGGGTTCTCAAGAAACAAGTTGAGGTCAGACCATTAATTTTCGCCATAGAGCGAACTACTTCACTTCTACTAATGCCTAGACGACATTGTCAGTCTAGGTCCCATCATGGGTGTCAACAATGTAAACGCCGGAGTGTCAAGGTACAGTAGGCTGTGGCCATTCCTCACTACGTGAGTGTTCGAGTTTTAACACAGAACGCTACTCGAACTCAGTGCGATGAGCATCGACCGAAGTGCAAAAATTGTGAGCGCCAACGGAGTACCTGTGATTACGCTTCGTCTGGCCCCTGGCAATGGAGGGTCGACATCCGAGGAAGCCGTGGCGAGGCATCTATTCCAGAACACAGACGACTTGACAACACTGCCCTGGATCAACCCCGAGCTCAGAATCTGCAGCGAGAACATCAAGCACAGGAGGTGAATACCCAACATTGCAGGTTGCTCATACATTGGACGACTGCAGTGTATCAATCGGTATCTCGGAGCACGGATGTGGAGTGGATTTGGCAAGTTGTGATTCCCAACCTATCCTTAACGCAGCCATGCCTACTGCGTGGGATATTTGCACTCTCCTCTCTTCACCTTAGCCTCTCCGCAGCAAATCCTACAGATCGTGAAGATCTGCTGCAGAGTGCGTTGAATTATCACAGCCAATCATTACAGCTCTTCGCTCCAACCCTGGAGGACTTGACGCGTTCGGATTGTAACGCAGCATTTTCTCTATCACTCATCTTGATCCTCTTCTCGTTCGCTGCCCCCTTATTGGTGGTTGGAGATTCCGACTTGGACGCTATATATGAATTGCACCAGGTTTGCGTATTCGTCAAAAAGATGATGAATTTCTCGGTGGGTATCTATGAGACTGTCAAGAGTGGGGTTCTGGGCCCGCTCGTGCACATAGATGACTCCGTCTCTGAGTTGTCTGGCTCTCCTCTTACTGCCATTGCCTGTCTGAGTGACCTAAATTCTAGGGCTTACGACAGGAATCCCAGTCATGAATTCCAGATGTACCAAGAATCAATCGATCGTCTAGTAGACCCTTTTGGGCAATTAGGCGATCCCGGAAATCATCGACTATCAGGGGTCTTTATGTGGGTCTTCCACGTTCCTGATCGGTTCTTTGAGCTAGTCCAAAAGAGGGATGCTTTTGCTCTCATCATTCTCGCTCACTTCTGTGTCCTATTGCACGACTTACGCAATCATTGGTGGATGTCTTCTTGGGGATACAAAGTGATTGTGGCCATCTACCAGACCTTAGACGCAGACCTCAGGTATTCGCTGTCATGGGCTTTGTTACAGATCGGGTACACGGGCGACATTTGATAGAATGTTTTCTTGCATCAGAATCACAATGTTATAAGTTCGCCCACAACTGAAGGGGTCGAAACTGTCAGTTTATCTATATTCCTCAGACGCTCTTGCGCTTAGCCTCGCTTTCATTTTCATCCCATCGATGGGTTTTGCTGTTACCTGTAATGTCTTTCACGGAAGAAGTCAGCCAACAAAATGCGAATGCAGGTCGAGGTACAGGAAGTGATATAATTACATTGTAGAGCTTGGATTTGGTCTCATACTGGCCATGAGAATTAAGAGTTGGCTGCCCATTTTCATCCATGGCGATCTCCCCGAGTCCCACTTTGGCAAAGTCATACCGCCTGACCACTGACGCCAGGATCAGACGAGCCTCTATCATGGCCAATTCTTGCCCAATGCAATTGCGTGGACCTCGTTCAAAAGGGCGCCAGGCGCTTGGTGGTCCAACAAATCTTGCCTCGTGGTAACGATCATGATATTCGTTTTGACTCAAGTGCATATTCAATTCATCATCTTGCAACCAGCGCTCTGGTGCAAACTCGTCCTTGGACTCGCCGTACACGGTCTCATCTCGTTGAATGATTGTCGCACAATTATATAGGACCAATCCGTCCACGCAGCAAACTCTCCCATTCGGCAGCCTCAATGTGAGCCCCGGTCCTCGTTCAGCGTATCGCGCGCTCCCAGACGGGGGGTAGAGGCGGAGTGTTTCTTTAATGACAGCGGAGGTGTACCGCATTTTAGAAAGCAGGGCTTTACCATCCTCCGACAGCAGGATATTGCCCACAGATCTGGGGGAGGTATCTGGTCCAAAAATATAATCGAGCTCACGCCGGACCGCATTCAATGCCCTGGGAGTTCGGCTGAGTTCATATAAGGCCCACTGTAGCAGAATACTGGTCGTATCATGGCCCGCGAAAAGGAAAGATTTGAGTTGGTCACAGGTCCGATCCATAATAGCTGGTGTCAGTTCATTTGCATCTTGCAGGATCAGTGTCAGAATGCTGAACGACCCCAGACGTGCCGTCGCATTGGTCTGAGAGGTTCTTTTCGCCTCTTCAAATGTCTCAGAAATAAAACCTCGAAGAAGGACATTCAATTTGCGGGCCAGCTTTCGTCGGCGTAGCCTAACTAGCGGCGCGGCCCAGATGCCCCTGTGACTGTTATATGTAGAGCCGAGTTCTTTGAAAATTTTGACTATTTCACTTTGGCGATCCTCTCCGAGTTGGGCACATAAGTTGACCCCCATAGTCACCGCACCTGTTAACAAGAAACGCGGCGAGTTTAGATATCTTTCTCACGCGCAAACCAGGTACATGTCTCACCGATGATGTCAAAGGTCAAGTTGGTACACAGCTCATTCAGCATGAAATGCTCGCCCGATGCACCGTATTGGTCGAGTATATCAACGAAGAGTAACGTCTTTTCCACCATACATGGGAGCAACGCCATTAGATTCCCCGTTGAGAAGCCGGGATTAAGTCTCGCACGCAGGTCTCGCCACTCATGCCCCTGTTGGGTTACGGATTACTACCTGAGACGCCACATAGGGTATTGCACAGAACGCCATACCTCAGCAGTAATGATTGATTTTGGCCCGATCAAGTCAACAAATGCCTTCGTCGTGGGCGATTTCGGGACACTATAAGGAAACGTTCTGGACTGCCTTGAGATTTGCTCTGCGACTTCATGGCTACAGACCACACACATGGGCCGTCCCAATGGCCAGAGATCTAGAAGGAACAATGGAGGTTTGCCCAAGTGCTCATAGATCGCTGAGAACACAATATCTACCTCATGAGTCAGTGTCCTGTCGCTAAAAAAAAAAAAAAAAAAAAAAATCATGCGTGGCGGGGTGGGGAACTGTATGCGAGTACCAATGTGTCTCTGGGGTTCACCACTAGTGATAAATTGATTTAGTGCTCCCAAATGTCCCAAGACCGCTGATCGCTTTAGCTGCGGCAGATCGGAATATTGACGGCGACGAAAGTGGATCTTTTGGCACACATACGTAAAGGTTGCTACGAATAGCAGAGTAGTAGATAAGATGATAGGTTGGGACATGGCATAAAATGTTAGTAAGTATAGAGAGTCCAGTAACTGAATAGGAGAGCCTGTGAGACCATAGCGAAGACAGCCCAAAGAGGTCAAATATATAGTTGTGTTAGTTGTCGTGTAAGTGTTACGGACCTCGTAAGTTTCGTAACAATTACTTGTTTCAGCTAGTCAGCGCGGTTAATGCAGACCCACAGTTGGGAGAACGCCAAGCATCTGGGTTTGAGAGATCACTTCCGGTCTTGATAGCTTAGTGTCGCGCAGTAAACACACTGCATAAATTAAGGCTAATACTTTCTCAGCCACCGTGTGGTTCTTTTGAGTTTGTAGTGAAATAAATTGCCCCGTTAGAATCCGCAACGAAGCGGTACTATGCCGTGGGGCTTTGAATCATGACTGGCGAGTTTAAGACGGAATATAGTCATTGTGTCTCTTTTGACGAGGCCTCCTCTAGTCCGAGATCACACGTTCCGTGACGGGTAATTTTACACTCTAAGGTGAAGAGCAAGAAGTTGGCAGCAGAGAATCTTATGTTCAATGTCTGCGTATTCTTGTTCTCCGCGTTGGCGAGAGAACTTCTAAGGTGGAGGTCCTTGCGTGGTAGATCTGAGGTGACAGGGCCACTCAAATGTGCATAACCACGTTCTACGATCAAGAAACGAACTAGTGAACCCACGTACATCGTACGCCGCTTATGTCGGCTGGTGGGACTAAATAAGTTCGTCTACATGTATAGTCATTGTTTCAGGCGCTGAGAGAATTAAAGGGATACTGTGTGAATTGAAATGCTTGGTTACACAGATGGGAGATTTGGTTCAGGAAGTAGAGGCACTTGTAAGGGACAGGTGGCCATCCATATGCGCTTTCAATAAGGACTTTACTTCTGTGATAATCTTAACTGCGATTGAAAACCAGCACCTACTACTCCCGGGCTTAACAACTATATGGGCGCTCATCTCAGGCATGGGCCTGCCCCTCCAGGCCCTGGAATGACGGAACGAAAATCAGTAGAGGATCTTTTCCCCCCTTGCAAGTTGACTTACGAAAATATAGGCAATATCCCTCGTCTCCAGGTTGTCGGTGCCCAGTATGACGCCTCCATTCGAGAAACCTCTTATCAGCTTTCGCTTTTTCTCCTGGAGTTCGAGAATGCGAATCTCTATCGTGTCTGCTACTAGAAGCCGGTAGACACGACCGTGCTTTTCTTGACCAATTCTATGCACTCGACCGACCGCTTGCTCCTCTCGCTCAGACCATGAGGCCCAGTATACAGAGCCATAGAGGAGTACCCAAGCCCGCCAATTATTTGCAGTTGGCGACCAATTGTAGAGGTTAGACCTTTTTGCGGTTGAATCAAAAGCTCCAATGTCGACTGCTTTCCTTGTGACCAAGATATGACCATAAAAGGGTGGGATTGTATCCAAGTCCAAAAACTGACCGTCGGAAGCCACAGGTTGATATACTGCCCAGCACTCATCTTGATCGGCCGTGGGAGCAGCAGACGAACCATGAACGGGACCATATTGCTTCCCTCATTTTTAATATTAGACCCACAATTACTAGTCGATAGAACCGCTCGGGAGCATCAATTTCCGGATAATATTCCGTTTAGATATATAATACGCCAAAGGATAGAGCCGAAGTGGTTGCAAGTACGCCTATAACGATAATGAGATATAGCGATGGAAGCAATTCAGCCTTCGGAACATGTCGCCAAATTCCGTATACGCTGAAGACAGTAAGACTTTGGTGTAGGCGCAAAAATGTCTCATGAAAACTGTCGGATAAATGGAATTGAGATTAAAGTCAGCACTCCCAGGGACCCAGCTGGTTGCCAGTCTCGTCAGAATACCAAATAGTGCGTATTGGGGAATCATACAACGTGCCATGATGGTGAAGAAACTCTGGCTGTCAGATCCATTAGCTGATTTTGTGGGGTCGAATCCAGAGGTGGCTATATGGAGGAGTACCAGTGCCGTTGTCACCCAATCTGAAGCTCGATGTATTTTGCGATAATCCAACAGGGAGATACACAGAAGATCGGCGGCATAGTTTAAATGGATCGCTGCTAGCGGAAAACTCATATTGATCAGTGAAAGATCCCCAGCACGCCGATATATTTTCTAACGAGGTATTCGTGTAGAAAACGAGGAAAGCGTTCACAACAACATAAGCAGGATGGGAAGACACTCCAACTCGAGTCCAGGGGACTGCAACATTACGCTGAGAGATAAATTGGCGATATATGAAATGACGTAGAATGAAGACCCGTTCTGTGTATAACCCGCAAACCGCTACTTCCATGAATCAGGCTTCTACTTCTTCTTCTTCACACTCCCCAGGCCTCCTATCTAGTGGACTTCACTGCCTCCCAGCGGGCATATCTGGTTCGCAGGCAGATCCCCCCGCTTCATTAGGTAATTCTACCTCGTTTAGTCAAGAATCTTCGTGGATGAGAAAACCTAAAGTGCCCTCATTGTTAGGACCTACGATGACCATTTATTTATGTAGATAATACCAGTAGAGCCGACAGGCGAGGTATATATAGGGGAAAGGCTTTATAGGGAACAGGCTTGCTTGATGATGGTGGTCTCGAAAAGAGTCCTCGTGTTTGGGGGTTGATGGCAAATCCAATGGGTATGATCAGGCGTCCCCACAGAAAAATAAGTTGAAGTTGGGGGATGAACCCTCACATTACTTAACCATCCCCATTTAAGCGTCCACAGGTGATCGGCTCGTACGGGAAATACGTTAATTACCCTTCAATTTTAATCAATTCTACCCTTCAGCTCCGATTCTAGCCTCTAGCTCCAATGTTAGCGTCTGCTTCAAGGATCCACGACGTAGTCGTGGACGCAATGGCCGAAAATGAATTATGCCCCATGTAGTGGCTCCCAGAGGACGCTCAACAACCGAAAGCACCATAGCCTGCGGTGTGCTGTAAACTAGTAACAATAGTCTTTTGATGCATGACATAGAGAGCTTCACAAGCATGTTCGATTGACGTGATTATAGTCGAAGGCATTCAATATCCCAATCAATTGGGTCACAGCAGCGAAGACCACCATGATGTGAAAAAGTTGATGGGAGGAGCCGTATATGTCGAATTTACCTGGATATCGACTCTCGGGAAACTTAGTCTGTAGAACCATAGAAGTTAGAATCAATTCCCATCATGTGCGAAATCTGGAGGCTTACTGCATAAACCAAAGCCCCAATTAGAAGAAAGCCTCCTTCGATCAGATAATAGGGCATCCCAGATTGTTTCATCATTTGCGAGACGCCAAACATCCTGACTCCATGTATCAATGGTGCAAAGCCAGACAAGCCAGTCGCCACGAACGTAAGTGCCCGGAAAACGCGAAACGTTTGGCCCTGGAATTTGGGATTTACCACTATGAAGATGGTAAGCAATCCGAGGATTCCAATCTGCCAATCAAATTAAGTGTTGGATATGAGATAAGAAAAAAAAAAAAAAAAAAACCAAAATGGGTATAGAGAACTAGACTCACCATAGACCAGTAGATCTTGCGTTGCAACGGTTCACACCAGAAGACCATGTATATTCCAGATACAAAGTCGCCTAATGTCAACACTACTATACCTATCAGGTCAAGTCGCAGCCATAATTGTTCAACTTCGTGGGAATGGTTCATCAAGGTGTGGTATGTCGTTGACAGCCCCAGGCAGGCAACGGTAGTCAAGAGGAAGAAGGTGAAAATGAAGAAATCAGCGCCAGTGATGCTGGAGTATCTACTTGTAAGATACTCTTGAATATACCACTCGCCGAGCAGAAAGGCGACTGCTGGTATTAGGTGAGAGTATATGTTTACCGACTCATTGTGAATGTATGTCCAACTGCGGAATGATATTTGAGCCGAGCCTGAGATCGGGCGATAGCCATGAAGAATGTACTCATTATCTTGATGCCATTCCGGCAGCTCGCCAAACGAGAGAAGAACTTTGTGTGCCTTGCCGGCCTTGGATGGACTTCTCAGAAACCGTGGCCTGAGGGAATCATTTCTCCGCTCTTGGCTCGCCATTGGCGGCTGCGGGGACGAACCTCGAAGACGGGGAGCAGATGCCATTGCTGTCGCGCCTGATGATAATGTGGGAGGCAGGACTGACAGAGGGGGGATGGAAAATGAAGAAGGGGGGGGTTCCATTTGCTTTGTTTCTGGCACTGCGCCCTTTTGTTTCTTTGTTCCTGCTAGATGCTAGCCTTGCTTACCCTCCAAGAGCTGGAGTGTGCACCAAAGAAAGCAGAAATGCCCCTTTGCTTTTCCAGAGCCTGCAGGGCCTCGGAAATTGCGACGCGAGCTGCATGACAGCAGCCAAATACGTTGTATGGGCTAAGATTGAATGCGGAGGACCAACTGGAGGCCAGTCAACCTTTCTCAATGGGTTCACGCTCATGCCTGGGGCGAGGGTGAGCTCTCCTTCTCCCGCAAGTCCTTTCATGGAGGTCAGTGGGGCATGACTGACAATGACTGGACAGGTTGGCCTGGTTGGAACTGCGGTTGACCTTGGCAAAGCTTTTTTACCGGTATGATCTGAAGTTGGTGGACGATGAGCTAGAATGGCACAGGGATGTGGCCATGCATCCCTTGTGGGTTAAGCCCAAGCTCATGACATAGGTACTTCCACGGGTCAACTGCGTGTGAAGGTGTAAGGTTGGACAGACAGTCTTGTGCTACGTGGGAGGACAATGAAGCTGGTCATAGGTCCGAGCCTCAGAAGGCCCCCAGAACGTGCGTTGATGATGTCTATTGGTGTGTTAGACCTGATGCTGTTAAAAGAGTCTTTCTAAGTGGAGCTAGGATTATTAGACTGGAGCCCCTCTGTTTTGTGAAGACCTAAGTTACAATATAAAGCACATGGGGTAGTGGATATCTAATGGGCTGTAAGACTTCTAGTGGGAATTATGACCTCTCAGGCCAACAGTCAATTATCTAGGTAGGATAAGCACGAATGAGAGATAAAACTGATCATATATCAAGAACAGACCTAGTCATTTTTCTATGGTACACCCCGTCAATGCAAAATCCTTTCAAGGCAGCTTGTCCAGCCCGGTTCCCCCCTTCATTGCTCGGTCCTACGGGATACATATCAATAATCGATTCATGTCGAAGAGGAATGAAAAATGGAAGAACACTGTGGCACTCACTAAAATACCTGTTGGCATGTACTTGGACATGAACTTCACCATGGAAGCCATAGCTCCACGCCACACAGGTCCTGAGGCTCCGCCTAAAATATCCTTGACAACCTCGCTTGCAAAGTCTGCCGGCGCGCTCTTATATGAGACATCGTTCCCGACCCCGCGTGTTTGAATCTCCGGGAGCGCCTTTTGGTAAAGTGAGTTTTCAGGCAGGGTCAGGTTTGAATGCGCCATGACATTTGTGGCGACTGAGCCAGTGACTAGGGAGATAACCCGGATATTAAAGGGCTGTACTTCCAGCCGGAGAGTCTCGCTCCAAGACATCAGAGCGGCCTTTGAGGCGTTGTAGACACCTGGTGCAAACGTATCAGCGGGTAATTCCTTTTTAATTTTTTTTTTTCTCTTTTTCTTTTTTTATCGTGCCGGCCTAGGTAGAGAGACCTTACTCATCCAGGGGGCGTACAAGAAGCCCGAGATAGAGCAGACGTTCACGAGGGTACTGCCATTCTTGGCAGTCTGCAACAACGGCATGAATGCCTGGGTGACAGCAACGACACCCCAGAAATTGACATCAAAAAGTCGCTTGGCCTCGTCGGTCGTGGTGTCCAGCGCGGGATAGACAAGGGATTGGCCGGCGTTATTGATGAGGATGTCGAGGGACTCACCATGCGAAGACAAATCCCGTCGAACGGTATTGACGGCAGCGGCAATGCTAGCCGGGTCGACAACGTCGAGGGTAACGAGAGTAACATTGGGAAGTTTAGCAAGATGGTTCATCTTGGCTGGGGAGCGGGCAGTCGCATAGACTCTCAGCCCTTGGGCGTGGAGTTCCTCCACCAGTGCCGAGCCGATACCGCCGGCACTGCAGCCGGTGATGAGAGCGCAACGGGGCATTGTTCTCAAAATCACCGATGTGAAGAAGGGGAGAAAGAGGTAATCAAAGATACAGCAAGGAGAAGGAGATGGGAGAAGGGAGTGGAGAAAGAAAAGATTAGGACTTTCGGGTTTTCCTCTTTTTATTTTGCCTGCCTTTCCCCTCCTCCCCAATTGCTAGGAAGGGAAAGTTCCGGAGTCGACTAGGAAAGGTAGCTAACTAGCACAGTAGCTAGTCGCTGGCCCCTCACGCTGCTTTGCTGCCAAGTACAATGGGGCTCCCTGTTCGCACAAGCAACAACCTACAATCCAGCACAGCTGATACTCATGAGGAAGCCTCCAGTAGGTACGTATTACCTAGTTAACCCAGGTAACCAGTCCTGCTGGGCCAAGAACCTAAGAGGCTCATACAGTCTACCGAATACTACACCTACTACAATGAGCCATCAGGATTAGTTCACATCAAGTACCACAGGATTATAATATCGAAATATGGAAATCATTCAAAGGTATTGCAAATGGTGCTAGAGCATAGAGGCCTATTTCCGATGTTGGGCTGGCATTCACGTGGCCCGTGGCCCGTGGCCCGGTGGTCTTTTCCAGGAGTCACCAATAGTCCAATACGAAAACAAATGGTGAGCCTCGGCCTTGAGCAACCTCTGCTTTCGAAACAATGCTGTATCCCAACAATAAAAGAGCCCCTACTGGACTACGAGCTAGCGGCTGCCTCTCGGCCAACATAGCGCAGGGTCGTCCGACTCCACAGCTCATTGCCGCTCATCTGATATTCTAGCCCCTTCATGTAGAGCTTGACGGCTGGACGACATCCAGCCGCGAGTTGTTCCGCTGTGAGCCGATCGTGAACCTGATTCCACTCTTCAACCATGGCTTGGAGTAGCCGCTTCGTCGCGGCGATGTCTAGATTAGTTGCTTCAGCCAGCACCTTGACACCCGAGCAAAGAGCAGATCCTTCTTTGTGACCCAACTGCGACGCGCGCACTTCTTTCTCCCAGCTCTAGATATCATTCACCACCGAGATCTGCTTCGAACAGTTACGCTCAAGTGGCACCATCGCCGCTTGCTCCCTCGGGTGTCAGCTCGAGGTCCATGGTGAATCGCATGAGCGCCGACAGGAGACTGACGATCGACGCTCCGGAGTTAGTAAACACTCCCACGCTGGATGGACCTTGACTCACGCCTTCCCTACATCCCGCCCCCGATAGACGAGGTAGTGACCTAGTTCCTTGATCGAGAGACGGGTCTTGTCTGTCTGCGCGCGCATGAAGGTGAAGGTGGGCTCGAGGATACCATCCGCTAGGATCGGGCTCGCAGCACGCATCTCCTCCCAAAGGTTGTACATGAGAAACTCGACGGGGATGTCGCCTGCCCCTCTCACATCGCAATAAGTCTCGGTTTTGCCGTACTTAAACAAAACCACAAAAAAAAGCCTTACGGTTTGGTAGCACGTCACCACACATGAGGGGCATCAGATGGGTATTGTACGCCTCTCCGTCCGCCAAGGACATATCTTCCAGTATATCTGACCCACAGCTTTAGCACAGTCTCAGCAGACAAGGTAGCGCGCATTCTACATACCATCAATGAGAAACAGGATCGTTAACAGCTTACACGCAAAGATAATACGGTCATCGCGCGCCAGCGGGAAGTAGAGGCAAGTGACTCGGCCGAAGCCAGCCTTGACAAAGGTCTCTCGACTCTTCTCTGAAGGAAAGGGCCAGTGTTGCAGAAAATAGTCATCATTTTCTCGGCAGGTCTCATCGGCACGGGGATGAATCAAAGGCTTCCTGGCCGAGCCTGAATAGCTTTTATTCAGCCCACTCAGCAACAGCTGAGCCGAAATAGCATCGGTGTCAATAGCGGACGGCATGATGTTAATCTGAATTTGAGAAGTTGAATTTCTTGTTTCATGCACCCTCAGAACCAACAATGGCCTCTTTTATTCTCATAGATGCCAGGCGAATTCGGAACTTTCCTAATACGGTCAGCCCGACAGGTTCCGGTGAGAGAGTCCACGACCAACTCCGGTCCCGTCAACAATTTTGACCCCCTTCAGTGATGATAGCAGTCTTCCCCTTCAGTCGAGGGATATCATGTACAGAAAGATCGAGAGAAGTCATTTGTGTGTTTGTGTATGTCTTCAGCCTGTGTGCCTGGTGCAACAGACGGTGATTGAGATCTCATGCTCTACAAACACAGCCAGCCTGTCATCAGACATAAAATATCATTCGATTTGTCTCATCTTGTTTGCGGATATTATTTCTCCTTGACTGACAACGTCGACATGCCAACCGTGGTTAGTCCCCATTGCGACGATTGCGGGCATTACCCGATATGGCTGACCGTGGGGGTTGTCCCCCACCAGGCTTCTGTACTATGTAGTTAGTACTGTACTTGACTAGATAGTCAACGTGAAAGGGCATTATGTCCGAACATACTAATCATCATTCAGCACCGGACTAGTAGGTAGGCTAGATACTGTATCTCTGATAGGCTGCCGTATCGGCCGCCCGCGACACTCGTAGGCATCCACAACCGTTCCCCCCATTGTATCCAACTCTGAAAGCAAGCCGACCCCCGCTTATATTATGCTGTCAGCGAGTTTAATAAGCCATATTGGACGGTCGCAGGCGATATCAAGGAATCGAGCAAACGCAACATATCAATAAAGCGGCGATCAATAGTAGTACTCCGGAAGGAGTAAATGTACATACCTAGATACCTCGTAGTCGTGGACGCTATTGTTTCTGGCTACAGTATTGGGAAGCTAGCGAGACAATACCTAGGATTGCTCATCGGATGACTTGGGTAAATATCACACCCAATGTTTTCAGCGCCATGAGAAAAGTCCCTGTTCATAGTCAATCACCATCATAGGACTTCAAGCTTTCCTGTTTAGTACGTCAAATAGTGACTGCTAGTCAGTGATCTAATTGCTGACATACAGCCCCCCTTATCATGAACCAGTAACGCTGCTTCAGTGCAAAGCCATCCTTCAAATTCCGAGTATGTTTAGCCCCGGCTCTGAGTAAGATCCTGAATCTGAATCTTTTAAGACTTTGCTGCACGACCCCCCAGTTCTCCATTGACTTACTTGGCCATGGAGTTCTTGGGGAGACTTAGAAGCCAGTAAAGCTCAGCAGAATCTATATCAACACTGTTTCTTTTGCTGGGATGACTCTCCTATTCATTTGTGTGCGTCTTGGTGTGCCCATTGATCAAGGCTGCTCGGACTCCTTACTCAAGACTAATTCCTTTGAAGTTTTTGTAGGAATATAAATGTGAACTGTGTTAGATAGGTGTGTTTAGGCTCTGGCTAGTTTTTAAATTAACAGGCTCCAGAACCCTTGCTGGATCCAATCCTTTCATGCACCCTCACAGCCATTCCACTCCTTGTTATGCCTTGGCCACTACTCCCTCGATACAAGGAAAATCTGATGAACGACAACGTTCCAGAGTAGTTTGGTACTTTTATTTTTCAATTCACATGTAAGTCAACTTCAGATGCCCAGTATCTGACTGTCTGGCTTGAATATACTGACTAATGATTTCTATCCCCGGTAAAGGACTTGAGCGCGGTATTCCTTTTTTTTTTTTTTTTTTTTTTTTTTTTTTTTTTTTTTTTTTTTTTTTTTTTTTTTTTTTTGGCGGGCACGCATTGACTTACACTGAAGGGGACGCTCCTAGTCTTACCGAATGATAGATCCTTCGGCCCTAACCCCTGGCCCTTCAGCTACTGGCCTCTCGCCTGGCGGAAACGGACCTTCAGATCAGGCTTCGACCACATCACATGTAAAGAACTCTCCGACTCCCAATCCATTGACTTGTTGACAATTTTCATAACAGCTTGCAGGTAGGGCAGGGTTTGCGCTGTGACGCAGGTAATCTCCGCGTAGGTCTTGAACTGCCCGCGGATTTCTGCTTTCAACTTCTAGTACACGGCATCGTTTCGAAGGAGATAGAATGTGGCTGCAGCGAGAAAGGTGGCCACTGTCTCTCCACCGGCGATTCTATTTCCAGGAATTAGCAAGGTCGGTATACGGACAAAGGGATATGATATGCTCACACTAGGGTAGATGCGTGGGCAGTGAGCTCTTCCAGATCCATTTCATTGGACTCTACCTTCCCAATGAGATTCGCCATGAAGTCCTTGCGGGCCAAGGATGAACCAATGCGACTATCCAGGGGGGTTAATTGAGAACCCTCCTGATTTTAGCATTGGATAGGAAGACTCACCGAGCCACCTTATCTCTTGTGTATCCAGTGTGCTTTCTTCGGATTCCGTTCAGAAACGGGGAGAGCAGCTTGGCTATCAACGTAACCACAGGGAAATGACGGAGGTTATCTGCCACAGTAATGAAATACAAGTGATCTTCAACCATTGATGACCAGAAGTGTGGTTTTCCTATAAGATCCAACATGATACATTAGAAGGACGACAGCGGGGGAGTGCTCTGGAGCGGAATGCAGACACCATACCATCCTCGATAGAGCGGAAGGATTCGCCAAAAGCTGTTGAAAACAAAACTGGCAATTAGACCACACGAATAACCTTTCTGAAGAGCAGTGAAACAGCAATATGGCTTACTTAGTTCTCCGAGGATATCGAATGCCACCATTTCGTCCACTTGGTCATGTTCAACCCTTCAGCATTCGGCTCGGGCTCACCCACCCTGGATACAAAGCGATCGACGCATTGACTAACAATGGCCTCCTGGTCTTTCAAAGAACGGGGAGAAAAGGCCGGTGAGAGGGACTTTTTCATCCGTGTGTGCCTGTCTGGGTCGCGCTCGCTTCCGATACACAAGGAGCCAAACCCTGCACCGTAAATCTCGTAGAACTGACTCTTGATCAAGGGAAGTTGCCCGCTGGCACGATGACCGTAGATATCTTTCCAGGACGCGACGCTGGCAAAGGACAGCTCGTTCGGGGATACGCGGAAAATAGGGCCTTAGGAGTTTAGAACATGTGGACAAGAAGAAAGTGAATAAGGCCCACCGTCAGTTACATACCGTATCGGCGGTGTTGCTTGTCATTTGCTCGGTGAAAACGACCACCCATGGAATGATAGATTCTCCATGCCTGTTGGAACCTCGGTGTATATAATAGAATATGGGGCCATAAATGCATGGAGGACACTTACCAGTGACGCGCGAGCTAGCAAGGGACCCGGAAAACTTGCTAGAGAATGAAAATAAATGTTATACAGACTTCATGCGATGGCATAGACCAGTGTCTGGAGTTCCCTGCCATCAGCAGGGCGCTTGATTCTTTAGGCAGTACGATGGAAAGGCATAAGGGAAGAGTTACCAGGACAAACACCACCTTGAAGATGTCCAGCAAGCCGGTAGGTTCGTAACCCCAGCTCGCCGACATGTTGTGTAGGGTTATCTGGAGAAAAGCCAGCATTGAAATTGCTTCTTCAACGGCTTGATATATACCTGCTCACCCTTAAGTTCATTGGCGTATCGAGCTTGACAGACATTGCCTGGTCTCGTGGGATTTGCCCAAATAGGTAACCCCCGAGAGTATATCCCCTTTCTCGCTTCCACGCTTTCAAGTAGACACTGCAAACAACAATAACGAAAAAGGAAAAAGAAAAAGGGGGTCGCTACGAGCTAATGATCTTGGAAATATTTATCTGATACGTGCACGTTTATTTCACTATCCTTTATAAACCATACGTCGTATAATCCGTAACTTAGATGCTTCTCCGAGCAGCATCCGTGACTACTAGCCGATTTGGATCGACCCTCCATTCGTTGACCAGAGGGCAGACGGAAGCGAGCTTCCGAAACAAGTTCTTAATATGCTGATCCACGCGCGCCATTCGGGCCTGCTGATGAGCGCGGCGGGTGAGGGAGCTGATCATCTTCATGCGGGCTAGCAGGCTTTCCAATTCCGACAGCCGCCGAGTCACTAGCATCCCCATCATGACCTCGTAGTCTCCCCTCTGGATTTCGTACTCGCCTAGAACCAACGGCTGCTTCTCCATCATGGCGACGGGGACGGGCAGGGCCCCCAGCCCGTTGGCTTCCCTCTGAGCGATAAAAGCATCAATCACCTCCCCGCACAGAATGGCCAATCGCTCCAGCACCATGGTGAGCACCATCATATTCTCCGACTTCCGCCGGCAGGTGTCGCAGTTGATCATGCGCTTGCACAGAAAGAGCACCTCCTGGTAGATCGAAAGAATAGAGTCGAGACCCTGCTCGCCGGGGGCCCCGTCATGGTGGGGCGTCTCCAATTCGTCCAGCAGGATGACTGCCGAGTTCAAGCATGAGCACGAAGATTTCTCTTCCATAGCAATCTCAGAAGTATCCTCACTTGATCGATTTATACTCCCGGTGGAGGCAATGATATGGGTCAACGGTGGAGTGGGAAGCAGATCTGGTGGCGTGAACCCAAGGGCTGTGGGCGGCGGCGGCGGTGGCTGTACAGTATTTCCCGACCCAGCGTAACTGTCGCCCATCAGTAATTATACTTCGGGAGCCCCGGTTTCAGGACCGACAAGAGTACGATGTTTAATATACCTACCCAGCAGAGAAGGGATCGGCGGGGAGGTGTAGATTCCCTGTCATCGGATAGTCGGAGTCCGGCATGCTGGTGCCCTCCCTTCCTGGAGACCAATCGAGGCAACTGGACCAGGTCGATATTTCCTTCAACACCGGATCCAGCACTGAGTCGGAGTTCCCTTCGACCTGCTGCATTGCCTTGTCCAACCCGATGTAATTCTTGTCTAGTCTATGCAGTAGTGGTTCCATGGGTTCCATGGTCAATAGGGAGGGCTGCACTGCAGCTGTGGCTGCAGCCTCCCTGGCGGGAGATCGGCCGGGGGCCGCGCTAGCTTCCGGACAGCTCTCGTTCTCGTTACTGCTGTCCTTCTTTTGCGAGTTGGGCGGTGGCTTCCTCTTGCATTTCCGCGTGGGGACGTGGGTATAGCTGCAGGGGAGTAAAAGGGTCTTGCACCGCGAACATCCCGCTCTTCGGCCACTGCAGCGGATCTATTTGGGCGCCATTTGTGAATGGCCCCCGGTTAACTTGGTTGGAACTTAGGGGGTGATAACAATAAAGCAATTTTTTTAGCATTAGAGATCACCCACCTTTTTGACCCTGCAATTATCACAGGCAGAGTGTTGAGGTTTGTTGGTTGGCGCATTTCTCACCACCCCTGATTCACGCTCGAGAAACTCCCCAGTTTTGTTCTCGGGCAGGTAGCGCAGGGTCCCAAACATCGAGGATCTCGTTTTTGTGTGTGAAAGAGAGGTTGTCTAGCTGGGGGAGAAAGCTGAGTCTAATGCGAAGTGGCTGCTTTTATTAACTTCGAACTCTTTGCCATAGTGGGATAAGCGGCCTCAAGTAGTGACGGCTTCAGCCTTGGGGGTTTCATTTCATGCCTCATCCTGGGACGTCCAGATCCAACCGAGGTGGGTCGCGTAGGCGGGGATCTGGATTGGATGCCGTGAGCCCCCGAAGGACGGACAGTCCTTCAGCAGATTATTATATTCCAATGTATACGTACCCACCATGTCCCTAGTAGTTTGGTCTACTATAGAAGTACTCAACTGCAAACTCATGGAGATTAGGTTGGAAGGATTTGAACCTCTAGCCACCCTCACTTCGTTCTCGGCTAGGCCCAAAGAGATCTAACTAGTATGATCCGGCCCGCGCCGTCCGGCTATTGGGTTATGCTTCTTGGGTAAGAATGTGGGAATAAATAGCACTCAAGTATATATATGTGAATGCACAGGGTGCCAAGACTGGGTACTAAAACTTTTGAACCCCTACATGGCTCTACTATTATCTACGGGCTCAGGGTTATCTCAATAATGATTTAACGTGGCGTAAGCGCTACGAGCTTGCTCTCCATTGGGAAGAAGAACAAATAGGCTGACACAATAATAACAGGAATCCTTATCTTCCCAAATAAAATACCGCACAATCCCAGAACCTGGTTAGTACGCGCTCGACCGTGGGTTCTGGTGCCGTTGAGGAGGGGTCAATAATTTCCTATCCCCTAGGCTGTCGCAAGATCAATCAAATTGTGGGTCTTCACTTCCCCAAGGCATGCCCTTAAGCTGAGCAGACCAAGGCAGTGAAAATCTGTGTCTTTATCTACTTGTATTAGTGTTTTGACCATTTAGTTTAGGTACATGGAAGACCCACAATTTGATCAGTCCTGGCGACAACCTAGGAGGTATAAATATGAACAGTCACCCTTGCTCTCGCCGCTGGACGGCTAGTACGCAGTAATATTTTTGGGGGAACTTACCGTGTATCAGTGCCAGAGAGAATAAGCACTAAAAGCGAAAGTGCCAACTTCTCTGCGTATCCAAGACCAAGAGAGCTCGACGGCATAGAAAGCTGCTTCTGATTGGCTTGATGATCCCACCACCACGGTTACTCTGCAAAGCTACTGCATGTTAGATTATTGACTTCTTTCTGCGTCCAATAAACACAGCTTATTTTCTCAGTTTCTGTTGGTTTTTCTTCCCCGCTCCTTGTATTTGTATCGATACCTCTGGATATCTACCTTACGGGTCAGCCGAGAAAGCTGTTGTGCTTCGAAAGGCCCCAGCAGTAACCCTCCTTTCATATTCTTAGTGCATGGATGCAATTATGGAAGGATGCTTGCCAGCAGGGGCCTAAAAAGCTAAGTCAAATACTTCAGTTCTAGTCTGTGAGCAACTCTATTCATTGACAGATAGCTTCACTTTGTATACTAGCTTTCAATAACACGGACAGTTTGATATCTTCTTATTTACTTATTTAGTTATTCTTATAGTTTATATCTGGATAACTTACTATATTATATTCTCTATAATAGTTTGGTTTTTATTTAACTGTTTTTCTGATTTGTTTAATATAGTTCAAGATCACTGGCCGCCTCTTTTAATCTGATTATCTTAGACAAGCATATTTTGTCATTGTGCCACTCTCAATATAAGCTACTAATTCCTATACTATTTCTAGTATTATTCAATCTATGTTCAGTAAGGTATCCCGTGTTCCAATTAGAAGATTATTTAATAAGTGTTAGAAATTCCAGACTATCCTGATTCCGCAACTCCAGCCATTCTTCTGCTATGGAGTAGACTTTAATTCATCAGTATTACTGCAGTGATTGAGATATTGGGGGCGAAGGCTTGCAAATTCCTGATAAGGGTATTTTAAATATCTAAACTACTTATTAACTATCTGTAATATCTGTGTCTTCTTGGCCGTGTTGGTGATAGTATCGGAGTCAGCTATTAAATTATAATGTTATATTACCTGGTCTTATTTGTTAATCTCAAGTAGTGTAAAATAATTGTATTTATAATTAACTAGACAGAAAAAAACTAATAGAACTTTTTTCCTAAAAGCCTTCTTGGCTTCTTGTTAGTAATTAGCTATCTTTGTAGCCCATCTACTTAGGGATTATTTGATCGGTCCAAAATGATTAGCACTGCTCCTCTTATCCAATGAGATACTTAGGCCATGTTTAATGAACTCTGGTCTATCTAAGAGCTGTATAAGAGCCTCAATAGTCCATATATCTAATCATTTACCCGGGCGAAGTTATTTAAAAATATCGCATGGTAGCTCTATACATTTATTGACAGCAATCATATTGTCACAACTGAACATTGTCTGATCAAACACCTTCTCATTGACATCATTAGTCAGGCAGAGGATCCTTTAATAACATGGCCATGTTAATCTCTATTCTAACTTTTGTAGACTGGTAACTTATCTTATCCAAGGCAAAGGTATTTACAATTTATAGAGCTTGTCATTAGATATCAGCTCCGCCTTTTTCAAGCTCTTAAAAATAAGTGAATATTGGGTGCTCTATTGTTGACCAGTTATTCCAGCTGTAAGCTCAGAATTTGAAGTAGCTTTATATATTCAGTATCGGCCTGAATATCTCTCATTGGAGCATCAAGCTATTTTATACTTATTTTAATATATTTTCTATCACTTATTAGTAGAGGAGAAGACTTGAAAGTTTTCTTAGCTTTTACCAGATATTTGGATTAAATAAAATCCCAAGTCCAAGACCTTTTATAAGCTTTGTACTTAGCTTCTGGTCTCTACTAAGCTATATAGTAATATACTTTCTTTAGGAATGTTACTCTCACGCTAATATGCTAGTAGAGTCACTTTTTACTAGGGAGCTATATTTATCTCCTTATAATATTACTATACTGACTCTATTAATCTATCTTCCTTGTTGCGCAATATTGTCCTGTATCTTATTAAAGACATGGATTACTGTTTCTTGGTACTTAATAAGTTTATTATTCTTTGTCCGGATTATTTTCTGGGCAAGTTTCACCTGACCATTATACTATTGCCAAGCTTCTATATACTCAAGCATGCTCAAAACAGTATCTCGACTTTGTTGGGATATTCCCATCTTAAGTACCTGCATCTACATTGAACTATCTGGCCAATGGTTTGTAGCGTGTGCTGCAAGTGCCCCCCCGTTGGTCTTCCTGGAGTGACTGAAATATATATATATATATACAGCCGTGGGAGCCCCTTCCTTATAGTTATTAAGTCGGTAGATAGTGCGAGCAGTCTTAAGAGCCAAGTTTACGATAGAGTCTGTCTTCTCAGAAAGCTTTGTTGGCTTGGATTGACTAGATAAAGAGATACTTTTAAGAAATGTTTGGTTTTTCTTTCTACAGATTTTATCGGTTAGAGGAGAGAGAAATCCATAGTCAATTTGATTTATCCGGGTAACAGAAGTTAATTCCACAGTTGAGTGTCTTTAAGCGACTGACTCTGACCTAGAAAACTTGGTCCTACACAACCGAGTCGGAAAAAAAATCTGATACAAAACTGTCAGAGCATGATCTACTACTCATGTTTATATCATATCCTAACAGAAGACCTTGACTCTGAAAAATGGGATATCACTGAGAAATGGGATATCTCCGAAATATCAAAGATGGAGAAAAGAATTTAAGACAATTTTCCTCTTCTAGAGTACCCCATGACTCATATCTTTTTGTGTGCAACGAAGGCTGGGGAATATCGCACTAGACACCTTGAAGACAAAATACTTCTACTGCAGCGGGTTATATCGAAGTGGATTGCATGCTATCATTATTTTCATCAATACTCCAATTATTGCCGGGACCTCTCTATCACGCTGTTATATTAAGCTTCTGGGAGCAAGTTGACTGACATTATATGCCATTTGTTGTCCCAAGAAGTATCAGTTTGCCAAACAGATAGTAACGGCAACATTGTGCTGTATTATGCAGTAAAATCTGGAAATACAGACGTTGCTAAAATGCTAGTCAACCAAGGGGTCGATATATAAAAGAAGAATAAGAGGCAGATAGCTCCTTTTATACATGCTGCGGATAGTGGTCACAAAGCAGTTGTGGAATTCTTCCTTAACGAAGGCTTCGATATTAATGAACAAGCTGGACAGTCTGGAAATGCATTACTCCAAGCATGTACATATAGATTAAAAGAGATGGTAAGGATCTTACTTGATGCCGGCGCAGCCGTCGATGCTGTGGGAGGAGACTATAAACTGCACTCCAGGTGGCTTCATTTGCAAGATTTACAGAGATGGTGCAGCAGCTGCCAGATGCCGGTGCAGACGTCAATACGGTGGGGGGAGACTATGGCACTGTACTCCAGGCAGCTTCACTTCAAGGGTCTACAGAGATGGTGCAACAGCTACTAGTTGCCGGTGCAGACATTAATGCTGTGGGGGGATATTTTAGCACTGCGCTCCAGGCAGCTTCGTTTAGCGTGTCTACAGAGGTGATGCAGCAGTTGCTAGATGCCGGTGTAGATGTCAATATAGTAGAAGGTCAATATGGTACTGCACTCCAGGCAGCTTTATTTAAAGGGTCCACAGAGGTGGTGTAGCAGCTGCTAGATGCCGGTGCAGACGTTGATGCTGTGGGAGATCAATATGGCACTGTGCTCCTGGTGGCATTATCTGACAGGTTCATAGAGGTGATGTAGCTACTGCTGAATGCCGGCACTGATCCTTTGCTCTCCCTAAATAGCCACATATTTACACATACTGCTGTATAAAACGGGTCCAGCGGTATTATAAGTGCTGATTCTGTACTTTACAAGGCGGATCTTTTTGGCAAAATCTCTCTTTATCTTGCTGTACATCTGCGGGTACTATTATTCTGATGTCGAAGATTTCATGGGGAGTCATCCATCGACTCGTAATACCAAGCACGAGATTAAGATCTACACAGAATATTTATCCGGGCTCAGTGGGTGGCTTCTTGAAGCGGGAGAGTCGAACTTCAACCTTGTCAAGCCGGTGAGCTTTATATTGAGGCGGTGACTTATAAGAGCTCAAGGATAGAAAAGAGAATTGATAATAGCTATTATTTACTTTGTGTCACGAGCACTGATGAAGCAAAGGATAATCATTCATTCTTTAAGCTAGTAACCTCAGTGTAAACTAAACTACCTAAGTGGTACGCTGTTGAGAAACCCCAGGCAGCAATAGGCGATAATGCAAGTCAATTGTGCAATCAAAAATTGCATCATGATACTAGCAAATGTTTGTGAAGAGAGACATGAAGGGGAGGGAAGGGTAGCTGATCTGACACTCCTTGCCTTTGGACCTGGGAGCCTAGGGTATTGAGTGGACCGGTTGATTCTCTCCAACCCTTGGGACAATTGAGGATCTCACCCCCTGCTTTTCCCCGTCCGTCTCTTTGCCTTTTTCAACTTCCTCCTCGATCTTTTCCTCGTCCTCTTCATCCTCACTGTTCTCCTCCTCTTCCTCCTCTTCCTCCTCCTCTTTTTCCTCGTCGCACATGCCTAGAAACCAATCCATATTACCGCCAGAAAACCTATCAGAGGGCTCGATGTCATCGGCAGCACCACTCATCGCCACAATCCTCGTCAAGATCCACTGCATTTGTAATAGGTCAAAGGATGGAAGTGGGTGCCTTTGGGGGTCAGCTGTCTTGATAACCAGCTTTTGGCCAGAGTAGATAGCAGCCCCAGCTTTCTCGTTGTACATAATTCCAGGTGTCAGATGACATGTTTCATCAGGTCGAGTTTCAAGCTTTGTTTGCTGAGCATACTTTCCACGCAGAAGATAGAAAAATTGGACTGTCATCTCCTTTCCATTATCCGATTTGTCCACAGGCTTCAAAGCGAAGTGGGCCTTTTGCCAACGTCTGTGTACAGTTGGCGACAGACATAACATGTTTTGACAAGCCTCGGTGCCCATGGGACCCAGAACAGCTGACTTCCAGCTCTCCACCATCGCCTTTGACCAGAAAAGCTTGAGTACAGACCAGAAAATCCGATTCCTGTCTTGATTCTGACTATCCAGCGGGTTGAGACAGTGAGTGTAGATGTGAGCCACTTCAGCAGTAATGCCATTAGCAGTGACCACGCAGGTGTTCTGATCCCTCTCACGACACTGCGATGTTTTGTGTTAGAGGGTCGAGCTCCTTGAGTGGGGTTTGGACACTTACAAGCTTTTTCGCTTTTCCTAGACGGGGCGGCCCAAGTAACGTGTCAGGGCCACTGGCTGCTGCAGTTTGAAGCAAGGTCTGGTTCTGGCCATCGCTTGTGCTAGCCTCTGATGGCTCGGATACGCTTTCTTGTCGTTTCCTCTTTCGTTGCGGCTTTCGGGGAACCCCTTCGATCACAGATGGGTTAGTCAATGCAACTACATCTGGAGTAGGCGTCGGGTATCTCGGTAGAAGCTTACACGTTTGGAGCATGGCAGTAACAAGGTCACCTCTCAGGAGGATTAGTGCCTCACTGTCTTCATCTTCTCGGGCTTTTTGCACGAGCGCTTTAAGTCGTTCAACATCCGCGAACCACAGACAAGCCCGGACGCCGGAGTCAAGATCCATGTTCAGAGTTCTGCTCAGCTCCTTGATCAAACCTACTTTGGAGGCATCTTCGAGCTCCTCAATGAGAAGCTTGTTCATCATGGCGGTGTCCACGCGCTGTTTGGCTTCACGCAAAGCCATGTTCAAAGGGACCTCGGTGGTACTCATGGTGGCTTCTGAGATTCTTTGTAACGATAACAAATGGGAGATGAGAGGCGCGAAAAGCTATGCTTAGGGCTCCACTCTCGGATCATTCAGATTTGAAGATATAAAATAGAGGAGAGTGATGAAGTAGGGACGGGGAAGCAGGAACTAAGTCATGTCAGGCAGCAGCGGCGCGGGTTCCTAGGTGATGTCAACAGGGCGTGATGGATGACAACAACGATGAGTAGATGACGGAGAATTAGCTGTGCTTAATTGCACTTTCCTTGGATTTAAGAAAGGAAGACATCTCCTGCTTGCTACCTAGTTAGCACTGGTGAGTGTGCGCAGATGCTCGGGCCCAAGCACCTTCGCTAATCCTTTCAAGGCTCGTCGGTATATGAATTCAGCCTCTTCATACTTGCCCTGATGGCCAAGGTCCAAGGGTAGAATTGCTGCGGGGATCAGCGATTAGCTTTGGCACTTATGCTGGGAACCTCGAGTGGGAGCCATTTTAGGCGCCCTTATGAAACCGCAGCGCACTGGGCAAAATGCGAGAATAGTAGGCGACTGAGGGTAGAGTAGCTAGGCTCGCTGCGGGTGACTGAGTTGTCGGAGCATATGGAAGTCCCCTTCCTTACCCCAATGGCCTCAGATCACTGGCCAATGATGAGGCAAAATTCTGCCAGCCTTTTCGCTAGACCTAATCGGCAGCTTCATCAGCCTGTGGTTGAGCAGGGGACCCCCTTTCCATATACAATTCCTGGAACAAATTTCCCACACCTATCAATTCAACCTGTCTATGTATGAGTTGTATGAGACTCAGTATAGGAGGCTAGGTCACCAAGTATTGCATCATGTCACCTCTGAAAACATAAAAAACGCGCTACAGGTCTCAAAAACGCGTGTGCCGTTCGCGGTCCCCTCAAAGTACCGGAAGCAGAGGCGACATTTGACGTCGAATCCACGTCGCCAAAGTCCAGCCAGGCCCCCTAATTTCGTTAGGGGATTGAAGCCAGGAGAACGGGTTGGTAAGTGTTGTGATCTCAGGGGAAAGATGGGCAGGATGATGCTGTATCAGCTACACGTACGTAGCCTACTGAGGACCGGATGCCATTCGGATAGATACTCAATTCTATGGACAACTGTATCAACTATCTTGAGCGCTTTTTTTCCTCTCTCAACTACTAATAGGTAAAGCCTTTAGGGGCAGAAGAGTTGGTGATCCGGCCAAGCCACTAAGTGATATTGGGCAAAGCCTCAAATACTATAATGTTGAATAGGTTGTATCAAATCTCTGGTAATTTGCACCGTCGGTCTTCGCTGGAGAGACATCTGCCCCTTCTCAGACTGTCTGCGTCAGCTTCTTCTATTTCCTCCTCAGAATCTGCTAAATGGCTCTCTTCTTCCTGTCTATTTTCTGCTGAGCCATACTTGCGCCTGTTGGGAGGGTGTCGACCTCCAAAAACCCACATATCTGCCAGAATCACAATGCGGCCCTTTGCCCAGAACGACATGCCCGACCACCACGCTGCCACACTGTTACTGGCTGCAGATTCTTAGGGAGTCCGTAGATCACAACTGTTTCAATGTCTGGGAGATCAACATCGAGTGCAAGGGCTTCAGTGGTCATGAGGACACGAAGCTTGGATTCCGATCCCGGTTTCTAGAACTCTACAAGAGTGATAGATTTCGCAAGCAGAAGTGAGACTGTTTGCAGTATCATACTCTTTCCATAATGACGTCTTCGCAATCAGGAACAGGTCCTTTCGGAGGTAGACTAAATGTCTCGGAGCTTGTAATTGGCCCTCTCGCGGACTATAGGGAAGCAGTTCTCGAATTACCTATTTGATGGCTTCATTCTGCTCATCCTTGCTCTTGTCAATTCCATGACTGATCAATTTCCGCGCGTGGAGGACAGAGCTTGTCTCAGCTCCTTGTTTCTCCCGCACAACGGCCCCCTGCTTATGTTAGGATCGCGCGCTGGGCTGCGTCGGTTTACCAACTGGGCCAAAAAGACCACTTTGTTTGACTCCTATGGTCAAACATGCCCAGCCGCCATATGTATACTAACGATCCGTAACAGCTGATTTCGTATTCCACTAACAGTTCAAGCCGCTCTTCAACATCTGGACAGTTATGGTTATTGCAAGAGACAAGCCACTTATCCAGCTGTGTCTGTCCCTTCGGCCTGGTTTTATTGGAGGCTTCCGTCCTCGTCGGCGGGCCATGGGCCAGCGACGCGTTTTATGTCGATCATAGTATCAATAAAGTGATCTTATGAAACAAGCCCGACTCCTATGCAGGTATATTATTCAATATGGCTGTTCCTCTATTTATTTATGCGGCAACAATATATAGGTTCATTAACTGTGATGGAGAAGTACCAGAAGACCGACTCCAGGCCTTATTATCCTCACACTCGAGAGATGGGATAGAGAAGATTGATAGCGAATACTCAAATTTGACTTCTATTTATTTTCCAGTTTTAGAGCATATCATTTTGCAGAAAAAACCGACAGAGCTAAGGCACTGGATGGATGACTTTTGCCGAATTATGGGTGCTGTTGTTCTTCTCTTCAGCCCACTGTCATCTGCCTCCCTGGCTAAGCTCATTTGTTCTAATGAGGCTAAAGTCCAACGCCGACTGAGTTCTCTCCAATCTGTGGTGTCAGTACCAAGAGACAGTGATACCCCATCCAGCTTCTTCACCTCTCATTTCGCGAGTTTCTGGTTGACCGTTTATCATCTGATAAGTTCTGGATTAATGAACCGGCAGGCCACACACAGCTTGCCGAAGATTGTCTTTGGTGCATGGATTGAGAACTGCAGAGAAATATATGCTGTCTTTCACACCCAGGTGTGAAAAGAAATGAAATAGACAGGGCAATACTTGAAAGAAATGCTTCGCCTGAGCTTCGATACGCATGTCGATATTGGATACACCATCTAGAGAATGGTGAACTGTGAACTATAGACTGGACACTGATAGAAGGCTTTTTGAAGTCGCATTTCTTGCATTGGTTGGAAGTAATGTGCCTTTTTGGATGGGTTTCGGAAACAATTCACGATATCACAGCTCTGCAATCATTGGGAAAGGTTAGTAGTGTTAAATACAAATCAGAAGATTAAGTACTAACGGATAGATAAAGTCACTTTCGCTAGCTGACTTTCTATATGACGCAAAGCGGTTTGTTCTGAAAAATCGTCAGATAGCAGACGAAGCACCACTTCAGATTTATTGTGCAGGGCTGGTATTTGCACCTCGAAGGGCAATAATCCGTGAAAAGTTCCAGTCAGAGCTTCCTAGTTGGATCTGCCAGTTTCCACAAGTTCATGAGAACTGGAGTGCAGAATTACAGACCCTCGAGGGCCATACAGGCTCAGTTCGGTCCGTGGCCTTCTCACGCGATAACCGGCTGCTGGCGTCTAGCTCAGGTGATAACACAGTACGGCTCTGGGACCCAGCCACAGGCATTCTGGAAATCCTAAGCACTGAGCACTGTGTCACGCAGCTCGAATTTTCGCAAGATAGCTCCTATCTTAGCACTAACCTAGGATCTTTCAAGATTCAATCCAGCTGTGACAATCCTACCCCCAGTGCGCCTAATATGGACCTACAGATATCTCTACAGAGTGAATGGATAGCTATAAACGGAAAACAAGTCTTATGGCTCCCTCCCGAAGCTAGGTATTCTTGTTCGGCGACTAAATCCAACATACTTGTCTTAGCACACCAGTCAGGTCGGATTTCCTTTTTTGGATTCCGAAAATAATCGATGTCAATAATTTTTGTTTTCTGACTTCCTATATTTTCAAGTATCTTTACAAGAGAATGCCTTGTGAGACAGACAGAATTTAGCTAGATGTATTCCTTTCAAGAGCATGCTACTTGCTTCTAGATTCTAATACAGTGGCGAATCCATAGGGTAGTCGCCACGGTTCTAGCTGCTGAGTCAGACGTACTCTCGAAACCCATAAGAGTATATATATATATATATATATATATTGACCCGTGGGTGGTTTGTATATTATCCTAACCCGGCCCAAACCCTGAACAACATCAAAATCCCGGCCCGACCCGCGGGCCTAACAAGTCCAGAAGTAACCGGAGCACACGAACCGCCCAAAGCATCTGAAAACGGGAGGAAAGAAACCAGATATACCTAGGCCTGTACCTGAATCCTGGACAAAACCTACAAAAGCAATACCAAGCTCTAGTAGGATTGTTAGAACCTAGGAGTTTAAATATCAAATAGAGCTAGAGTCAATACAGGCCTAGACAGATCAGCAACACACCCGGGAACAATAATATAAGGCCTGAATTAAGGCCCTAGAGAAGACGGCTCAACAGCTTTAACAAGCTCAAGTAACTTCCTTAACAGCCCTTCCAGCAGCGTAATTCTAAATAATACTATTTCAGGGGTCCTAAGGCCCTCAAGATCTTTAAGATTAGCAGGCAGAGTCTTCTATACACAGACTATATAGCAGAGCCGCACCTAAGGCTACAAGACCTAGTAGATCTGGAGCCACATATATAGATATCACAGCTCTGTTAAACACTACCCTGGAAGGCAATATTAGAAAACAGTTATTAAAAAATACTATTAAAATATTCTTAAGGCCCAGTTTAAGATAATACTGCTACCTTAGCTAAAAATTATAAAGTGGACCTCACTTGGCTGTATTCTTTGATTCCTGAAGCTTTCGGATGTCTTGGGACATGTGAATAACTAGCGAGTTATATTAGATAATAGTCCCAGCTTCGAAAATGGGGACTTGACAGCGTCTTACTATTACTACACCACAACCAATAATTTGTGGTGATTAATGCAAAAGTTCAGTTACTGGAGATATTGACTGATATTACCTTCCCTAGCAAAGATAGTTTGTGTACCAGACATCTAATTAATGTAAACTGGCGACATGCAAGATCGGATTCACTCTATATTAGAGTAATTCCCGACCCCAAGCGCTTCGCCGAAAAGGAAGGTCTATAAAAAGAAAGGCTCAGGGAGAGTTGTAAACCAACATATATAAAAGGAGACTCGGCTATTCGGATAATGAACAATCTGTGAGAACGACAAGCAAACTGAGAAATAATTTTTAGCCTTAGTAGGACGCTGCTGATGGTCAAGTTGGGGATCGTGTAGTTATGGTCCTAGTTTGGTTTGGAGCAAGCAGAATACGGACAAATCAGGAATTATTAAAAACAGCAATGAGACTTGTTAGCTACTACACAGGCAGTAGAAAGGGGGAGAACAATTATTCCTATTAACTAACTAAAGACAAGAAATCAATGAGATCCCGGAGGGCGGTATTTTGAGAAATAAGACGAAAACTACCCGCCGTTTATCGAGGAGGTAAGTAGCCCTAGGGGTTCCCGTCTCGGCTATCTCCCCCGAAAGCCCAGCATAACGCTCAACTGTTTCTTGTAAGATTTATCGCGACCTTGACGTTCTTGGAAGCATCTTTAAGAGAGTAGACGAGACTATTGAGATTATCGTAGCTAGTACTGAGGGCCGAGTACTTCTCGGAAGGAGAGAGACGGCGCTAGGATCGCCCTAGAGTGGACCCTTAAGATATAGGGCATTCTTTACGGCTTAAAATTCCCCACAGGCCAGATCAAGATACTTGCTGGTATCGTTAGTGAGGTTTTCGGCATCTATAGAAAGACACGCATAGCGTTAAATAAATTAAACCAATAGACAACTGGTTATGCTTACTGCTGATAAGACAGCCTGAAGCAGAAACTCGAGTGTTATCGGCCACTATAAGTGCTAAAGGATCACCTAAACTAGCTAACAAAATACCCAGAATATTTTATACAGAGCAAGACGCCGAAGTCACACCAAGTAGCTAGTAAAAATGCTCGCCAGAGGAACTACACAGCAGCAAGCAGTCAACTTTGGGATAAAAGTCAGCGGTAGACGAGATAGGTATTAAAGCAACACTGAGAGTGATGTCGATGATGTCGCGGATTCAATTTTTTGATTCACTTACGGAGCCATTGCGCCGCGGTAACATGGCTCCCTGTCACCAACAGGAAGAATCACATCCCCTCATCAAACATTTTCTCTAGTAGCCACTTCCTGTATGTATATATACGCTCCCATCCTTCGTTGCGGTCGTCAATGGTGACCTTATCGGCCTGTTCCATATTCCGCTGTGGGGACTTGGAGTCCGAATGCAAATGATCTTGACTTACTACCGCCAGAGTAACGTTAGATGAGGAAAAGATGCTTGGCATCCTTATAGTATGGTAGGGTTGCTGCCTGGCTAGCTTTTAGTCGCTGAATGGCAGGAAATGTCTAGGGTCCTAGGGCAATGACTTATGGTTCGTAGGGCCAATAGTTCCTTCTCTGTGAGGTAGAGCGGGATAAGGTAAAGGAAAATAAGCTGGGTAGCGTTGGCTAACCTAAATATCCATATCCAGATCTGAAGCAGTACATGTCAGTGTTCTGGGTATTTTCTATTCCCTACAAGGACCGGTGGGATGGCTTTAATAGGACATCAACAAGTCACAGTTGATATAGAAGTTGCCCTGAACCCTTATAACGGAACTGAAGAAATGTATTACCTGTATTACTTGATTCTAATTGATGAGAACCTTCTTCTTTAGACCTATGCGGCTACCTTTGAGAGAATATTCTGCGTATGCCCTTTATACTATGCCGCCACCTAAGTACGTAGTGATTCGTCTAATACATATGTACCTTTCCTCGTTGAACGATCGGGCGTAAGACGAAAGTACCAGAAAAGCGAAGAACCCCAGTATTTCGCTCACAATTCCTATCTGTGCCTAATGCCTGCGCCTAATGCGAAAAGGCACCTGTTCCGAGGGCTTGCGTACGCCAAATCCGAACCGCGGAGATCCAAACTGCAACGTGTCCGGCGCCAGCAATTCGACATCGAACATGGTGACCATCATGGCGCTTGCGACCAACATAATGCGTTTGGCTAAGAGACGACCCGGACATGCATGTTGACCCCCTACATATTGTTAATCCCTAGACCGGCTTGCCTTCTCTTGCCGTAAGAATGGGCAGGGGTTGATACGTATCCGCGCATCTAGAAGGGTCCTTACCGCCATAAGGTATCCAGACTCCATCAAGCCCTTTCAGGGAAAATGTACTAGGGTTTGAGGTTTTGGTCTTCTCCGTATTATTTGTTTTGGTTGAATCAAATGCTTCAGAACGGTGTTTCAAAGGCCCAGTGTTCGGATCGGTCGGGTCGATAAGGAATCGCCGGGCCCAGAATGTATCCAGAGGATACTCCCCACTTCGCGTGTTCCACGCAGACTCGTCGGTGTGTGCAAGCGCCGTATTGATTAAAATCAGTTTGTTGGGCAGGATGCTTGCACCTCCCATGGAAAGGGGTTGATGGGGTGAGCACCGGGGGATGTGGATCTGGACACCGAAACGCAAGGCCTCCGCGTACATGGAAAGCAGCAAAGGCTGGTGTCCAAGTTTTTCGATGTCGAATCTCAAGGTCGTTGTTGGCCGGATGCAATCCTGTACAGTGTAGCGGATGTCCTGGGCAAGAGAGCGATCACGATACATGTGGGTGCAGAGCGTCATAGCGGATGGAACTACGTTCGTGACGGTTCTGACCGGGGATAAGCCATGACCTCGATTGACGTGCACCGTAGGGAGATGGATAGTAAGACTTACGCCCAGATGAGCCCGAGGTCCGTTGATGCCACCGACTTGAGGTCTTGCCCTTCGATGCTCAGCAACATCTTATGCCTTTCACGCATCATGGCTGAGCCCCAGTATGGATCAGCACCACCTTCACTGGCTTGCTCAGAGATTGTCATTGTTTCTGATAAGAATGTGGCTTCTTGGTGCCATCTCATAATAGAGAGTAGAAGTTCATCCCGCAAACTGTACGCTTCCGGGGTAAGCCAGGACGGCAGGCGCTTGGCCATAGTCATGATCTGTTTATCATACCGCCACAGATTCCGATTGAAGTCCGCGTTTTTCGAGATCAAAAGTGAACCATAGAGGGATTGCAGGATGGCCGATCCAAGATGATCCTCGAAGAACTCGCTCAAGTCTGTCCCACATACCCACTCCGAGGATTTCGGTACAGCCCTGTCCAACGAGGCGAATAGTGCTGCTTCTATGCGCTCCGTCGTCGGGCCAAGCCCAGGTCCCAAGAGGCCCTGCACCAGGTTCTCGTGCGTGCGATAGCACACACGTTGGTTCAAGGGTATTTGGCTTCCGGGAATGGGCCGATACGAGGACCCGGACGTATCGGTGAGATAAACATCAACAGCTTTCTGCTCCATCCCAAAGCAGGACTTCAACGCGATAGCATAGGCTCTAGTCACTGTGAGCTTAGGACTTGTGAAGATAGATGCGATATTTTTAGCCCCTTGAACAAGATAGACCTCATCGTTGATAAGATTTACGCGGAGGGGCCAGTTTCCCTTACAATAGCGGCTGTTCAATGTCAGACTGGCTGTTTGGAAAGCAGGTGCATACTCACGACGCATGATGAAAAAAGCTTGGTCCATCGAACATAAATGGAATGGTACTTTTTAAGAAAGGCACAGAGTAGGGGAATGATTGTACTGCATCCGTAGGATTATCGAGCCTTTGCGGCCAGTTCCTCCAAACTCGAAGGATCAGCACCGTCACAGCCACTACCGCTCCGGCCCAGGAAAGAACGACGACAGGCATGGTTATAAAACATAAGTATCTTTCATTTGTGACTGACCATGGGCTGCAGCCGTTGACTCCAACCACTATTTAGCAAACTGACTACAGCAGCCCATTCTCCATCGAACCCGTGCATCAGATAACGGAATTTAACCGGGTACCTCAAACAGACTTACACAGCCTTTCCTGTCGTGGTTGAGGAGGTGCAATCAAAGGAGGGGTTTCGTGCATGATGACAGCATGAATGAACAGGGGCAGTGCATAATAAACCAGCCCTGGATGGCACCCAGCCTGCAGAACGGCCCCCAACCATAAAGGGGGCGGAATTTATACCATCCTGGAGGAGCAAGAGGCTTTTATTCATGATGGGTGGGGACATCAGCATGAAGATATGTCCTCTGATCATGTATTTTGACTCGATAACGTCTCCTATGTGAGCTTCAACCCATCATGTCTACTATAGGGTTAACATTAGAATCGGCCAAAGTCTCCAAGCATGTGTTTTTGGTAAGTGATAGTCTGCACCGAGCAAATATTTTCAAGTATATCTTACCTTTAAGCGCATAGGGTATGCTATGGGCTTTTACCGGTGCCTCCGGTCTCTTCGTCGTCTTTCGCATCCTCATCCGATTAGTCTCCTTCCGTCGCCTTTTCCTCGACGATTTCTTCGTTTTGCTCGCATGGGCGATTATGCTGACAACCGCGATCATCTGGCAAATTGAAGCGCAGGTGCTTTACGATCTATATGCTGTCAGCTCTGGCATGAAGCCATACACTCCCGATATCTTACCGCGATTCGGCACCTTCATTCGTTTTATTGCTCCTCTGACTATTTTGTTTTACGCCGGTCTCTGGTGTATCAAGTTCGCATTCCTGACGTTTTTCCGTCGGCTTGGTTCTAAAATCAAGAGCCACCGTGTTTGGTGGTTCGTTGTCTTGTTCGTCACTATTGGCGTCTGGATCTCATCAGTTGCCGACATCGACTACAAATGCAGCGTTGGAGAACTGGAGTATATACTGAGTAAGTCTCTGGCATCAGGTGCCTCCGAGCCAGCGTTTACTAATGGGGGCCCCAGGCCAATGCTCGTCTCACGCCCATGTCCATTACGAGAACCGCACATTTTGGGCCAACTGCGCTGGGGATGTTGTAACCGACCTGATGAGTAGGTTTTTCCAAGTCCGACTGGAGAGGGCATGGCGTTAACCAAATTCTCGACTCTAGTCCTATCCATTCCCATTCTCATCCTGTGGAACACCCGGATCTCGCTCCGTAAGAAGCTTATTCTCTTCAGCGTTTTCTCCGCCACAATCTTGATCATGGTCATTGCTGTCATCCGGGTTGTCATCAATAATTCCCTCAATAGTAGCGTGGATATCTCTTGGTTGTATTTCTGGAGCTTCATTGAGATGGGAACTGGTGCGTTACCCGCTGTAGTTGTCAATCTGGTATCCCTCTAGTTAACCTTGCCTAAAAGGTATTATCATTGCCTGTATCGCCTCGTTCCGACAGCTATTCGTCACTTCGCAAAACCAGCACCTATATGGCAAGGCCGTCTACAGGACGCCATACAGTCCGTTATTGAACCGAGCCCAGAAGGCATACGGCTGGACACGTTCACGGTCTACGGGGGACAGCGAGTCTCAGACGAGTAACACAAACATACTGCCGCTAGATTCGGTGCATGTTCGGAGCGATTATGATGTGGTTAGCTTTCCAGCTAAGGCTCAAAGTCATCACCGTAATGAATTTTAGTTGAAGATAAGACGGGCTTGGTTGTCTCCTAGAGCTACTTCAACTCATGAAGCCGTCCCTGTACAAGTATGTATGCAAACAATACCATCTCATGCAGAGGGAATTATGAGTTTATCCTTCTCTACTATAACACGAGGAACAAACATGATACCAGTCTACGAGGTTCTATCTACGACATAGCATATCAACACATCAATAAGTATGCCTAAGGACAGTAAGCCCCATGCAAAACAATATGCCGCCCAACGTCGCCACGAAAAGGGCCTGTAAAGCCATACCTACGACACCCTCTCCTCCTCCCACACCCACTGGCTATGCTCTAGTCGTCGACTCACAGCCACCCCTCCCCTCCCTCTATCTGCGTCTGTGGGACAAATTTGCGGTTCTAGGGATACGTACGATAGGTAACTTTGATAGCTATTATAGGGAAGCTACATGGCCGATCCTAGACCGATGCCTGTGATGACCTTATCGCTGCACACTTGACGGTGGGAGTGAGCGGGCGACATTGGGTTAGATAAGTCGTACCCACGACACTAATCCCCTTGTCTGTGAGTATGTAGGGTACCTGGGCGCCTATTAGTGCTTTTATTATCGTCCGGATAAAGGGATATAAAGTCCCAGTCTCACGCAATGAGGCGTTTTCCAATTAGCAAGTCGATAATCAACGCGACTATTTATAGAAGCAAGCGGGGGGATGGAGTTGACCCCGCTAGATAAGAGCCTTATGCCGGGGACAACTGCAAAGTAGAGAGTAGGAATAGGTATCGAATGGAGTAGTGGGGCATGTTCAAACGCAACTGGCGAACCACAAGGTCATTCGCAGGGCTAGCAGTAGAGAGCACATTCCGACCAAGAAGATGCAGCTAGTGGGGTCCATACCGGCTAGATTTGTGCGGATTAGAAATCCGCTATCCTCATTTTCGCAACCTTTGCCTTCGATGGTCAATGTGAGTCCGAGCAGGATGACGGCACCGGCAGGTGAATTGCTACCGCTCGTAGGCACGGCTAGGAGAGACTACGACGGCAAGTTCAGGAAAGCCAAATCCACGTATGTCCAAGAGCACCGTCTCTAGCTCGCGCACTATGCCAAAGGTCCCACAAGTAAAAGGTCGAAGCAAACAGTAATCACAAATACCCTCGTGGCAATGCCCATGTAGAGCGGTTGCATTTTTAGCATCACCACTTCGGCAATACTGCGAGAGCACCTTCAAGGACACCAGTAATGGCCCGCCCCATGATCCACATGGTACACTACGGCGGCATGGGCTCTACAACCTCAAAAGAGGGGTTTCCCCTATTCTCAGAAATGCATAGTGATAGCCGATATATTATATCCGTGCGGGGTTTAGGTAGCCATACATGGATTGTAAGGCCACCACCGTCGGAAGATAGCCTCGCAATTCTACATCATTCACCGCGTGGATTGCGTTCGGACTTGGCCATACTAACCGCCGCTCTGATTATGAATATCCTTTTTTCTTCTTTTGTCAGGATGTCTTGATTTGGCCGTCGTTCTCAGAACGGGATTATTCTGTGCCGGGAGCCACGATTATTTGGATTTGTTCTTACCCGGGTAGTCCAAGTCCCGAAGGGTCCGGTCATTCCAAGGATATCATTGGCTTGTTTGTTTCATCCCTGACAAGGTACGTTGGCCATTCTTATTAGCAAATTATTTGTCTAGGCTGGCAAGAAATTAGGGCTGATCTGATGCAGCTCGTGATTCGTGTCAAACGTCTAGTACAGAACCGGGACAATACCGAAACAAGGCATTACCCTGCGAGATTTATTACAATATAACCGACACATGATGTTATAATAGACCGATGCCATACATGCCCACCACAATATAGACATCAACCCTCCACCATTTGATCATGACAAGCCGAAACCTCTCCTTGCGTGCCTTTTCTGCTCGGTGTGCCTTGCGCCCATCGTATCGCCAACCATTGTTCATCCAGGCCCGCCGCTTGTCAGACAATGGCGCGACAGGTAGCGTCACGCAACTGCTCGAGAGAATCCAAACCACGACTAAGGCGTATCTCGACTTTGTAAAGTCCCAGAATCTACCTGAGCCATCTTTCCAGTATGGCGACAGGCTGGACCCTCGCCAGCCTCTCCCACAAGAAGCTGCAGAGGCCAGGGAGGCTGCATTAGAAGCTACTTACGAGCTGAATCATTTACTACAAGGCCCATTCCAGCTCCTCATAAATTCGTCCGGCGAGGTACTTGTCCCTCGACTCCATTGGGCACATCCATCTAATCGCGTACCTAGCAATTGTTCCTCCTCAGCCTTCAATACATCTACCGCCACAAGGTCGCTACGCACGTTCCGATAGAAGGCGATATCACCTTAGCGAAGCTCGCTGAAGCAACAAATCTCAATATCAAAGACCTAACTCGGTTCCTCCGCGTAGCAATTAGCTGCCATGTCTTCCACGAGCCAGTAAAAGGCACTATAGCCCATACCGCAGCATCCAAACTCCTCATCAATAACCCTATGATCGAAGCCTGGCTACTCAACATCGCGCAAGAATTCTGGCCCGCCTTCGCCCGCACCGTCGACGCAACAGTAAAATGGCCCGGCTCCGAAGAACCAAATGAAACCGTAAGAAACTTGCCCCGCTGACTGGACCAGCATCTCACCCGTACACAATGTAATGGATGTTGGTAGGGCTATTCCCTCGCCCACGCCACAACCTCCCACCCCTTCGACGAAATCCGCAAAGACCCCACCCGCCATCAGCAATTCATCACCGCAATGCGCTTCTCCCATCTCCACCCGGCTTACCACCTCTCCCACCTCATGAACAACTACGATTTCAGCCCAGCTCGCACCATCGTCGATATCGGCGGCTCAAACGGCGAGGTCAGCGTCGAGATCGCTTCCCGCTATCCCCACGCCCGGTGTATCGTGCAAGACCTCCCGGATACGATCGCCGGGTTGGAAGCCCGCGTGCCTCCAGCTCTCCGGGCCCGCGTAACGGGCATGGCGCACGACTTCCTTACCCCGCAGCCCGTCCAAGCGGATCTATATCTCCTACGCTGGATCCTGCACGATTGGTCGGATAAGTATTGTGTGAAGATTCTGCGGAGCCTTATCCCGGGATTGAGGAAGGGAGCTAAGGTTGTTGTCAATGATGTTTGTATTCCCGAGCCGGGGCAGGTAGGGATTAAAGCCGAACGGGAGTTGAGGTAGGTATTTGGATTGAATCTTCTGTTGGTGAGAGCGGGATGAGCTGACGATGTTAGGTTTATGGATATTGCGATGAAGGCGTTTAATAATGCCCGGGAACGAGATGTGCAGGCTTGGGAGGAGTTGTTTACCGAGGCAGATAGCAGGTTTCGGTTCTTGGGCGTTTCAGTGCCGCCTGGGGCGAGGATGGCTATTATTGAGGCTGAGTGGATGGGCTGAGGTGGGTGCTAGGTTGATTTGCTTGTGTATAGGATTGGTAGAGCTTTGAAGGTAGGGGTGCCGTAAGGGTAGAGAGATTGGCGGGCGGGGCTTATATATAGTATCCATGGAGATATGCATTGCGATGTCAAGTGGATATGTGCCAAACGCTAAGCCTGGGCTGTGCAACCGTTGGATCAGGTGTATTTAAGCGGGCTATACTTTTCGCTTGTCTGTCTCCTGGAACTACACGGGAGATCTTGCTACGCATGTCTGATATGATGTTATGAGAGATTTGTGGTGATTTTTGGGTGGACTTTGGATCCAATTGTAAATGTGACGATTGGTGATCAAGTAGTTCAATATGAGAGACGATATTAGTCAATAATGCCTTCCTCTTTGTTAGGACACGCAAAAAGGAGGTACGAAGGACAAATCTACACCGAGAGTGACGGCATTCATAGAGTGAGGACTATTTCTTCAATATAATACAAGAATGAACAGCACACAAATATCAAATCACTTCTTAAGTACGTCGACACACCAAACGCACCCGATCGGCATCCTTCATCCGTAGAAGTAGCTGCAAATCCACATCTCTCGTAGTGGCCAGAATCCTCGCGCGGGTCTCCTCGGCCGACTCTCCTCGGTTCGATATTGCGTGCACTCGATGGTCACGCAGGAGACTCGCCATCACCGCGACAAACTCCACCTGCGAGAATTTGTTGCCGGGGCAGTTCTGTGGTCCTTCTGACCAGGGCAAGTACATGCACCGCGGCGGGGTGATGACTTGCTCGCTTTCGATTGTACTTGTCGCATTCGGACTTGTTGATGCCGTGATCCACCGAGAGGGCTTCCATGTGAATGGGTCTTTCCAATACCTGAAATCGACATGAAGGGCAAGGATCCCTGGGGCAACGCCGATATTTGGCAGAATAACTACAGTTTTATCTCCAACTTTCAGTGGTTGGGGCTGGTCGTTGGTCCACTTAGGTATGGAAGGTATTGGGGGAAAGAGGCGGAGGGTTTCAAGCTGCGAAGGTCAGAATACGAACAGAAGTAAGGTGAGAGCGATTGGAATACCATAACGGCTCTGCAGCGATTAAGTCTCGGGAAGAGATCAGCATAATGGCCCTTCGTATCTCCAACCAATTGTAGCTCCTCAGATACCCAATCCTGAACTTCCGGATATGCGGCCAAAAGAAGCATTCCAAAGCTCAGCGTATTGGCCGTCGTATCGTGGCCAGCGAAGTTTATTACGAAGATATTGCCGAATATCTCATCCACAGTCAGTCCTTTTGGCGGCGAGCCGCTTCTTTTGCCCTTTGCATCCTCCTTCTGCTTGAGATCCATGGCGCGCACGAAAGACGTCATGAGGCCGCCCGTGCCAGCTTGTCCCTCATTCAATGCCTTGGTCTCCTCGTTCAGCATACGGACCATGTAGTTCTTGAAATCTGTGGCGGCCTTGGCAAGATGATGCCACGACTCAGGCGCAATTGAGAGCGTCAGGAGTCTGCGCGGCATGAGCATCAGCAAAATGCAATTGTCGAGCACGGTCTGTAACGCATCGCGATAGCTCCCCGAGTCGCTCTGGTCGCTCTGCTGGCGGTCATTGGCACTCCGGAAGGAATATGATTTGCGGAACCCCGTGGCCGCGAGCACGTTCAGGGATAGAGTGCGGGTGTCCTTTGCGACACTAGGGATCTGATCAAGCTGCGGGTCGGCCCAGACATCCAGCATCTGACGGGTTTGTTCTACACTTTCATCCCACACAAAGGACATAACCCCCTCGTTGAAGGGAGTGGCGAGCACTTTCCGGTGACGCGGCCAATCCGTCCAGCTAGCTGTGGAGATACAAGGGCCATAGACTTCGAGAACCTCTACGACCCCGCATGTCATTAGGCACCGAGATGTGAAGTGGTCAACGGTGGCCATCAAACGTACTGTACATGTGACTTGGGCGGATGAAATCAGTTCGTCGCTGGAACATGTCGTGAACGGCTTCCGAATCGGCGACATGAATGTATATCTCACGAGGCGTGACTATTGCGAAAATCGGCCCAAAGCGACGGTGAGACTCGCCTTTGTCGGCAAAAAACCACCCTCGGCGAGAATAGCGACCGAAATTGCCCCAGTTGATTGGCAGCCGGTCAAGCCACGGCCAGAGATGAGGCTCAATGACTGTCCAGAGCAGGTTCTGGGGGTCGATGCACAGGCGCACTAAGGGAATCTCCATGGACGATGCGCGACGGTAGTTAAGCTCCATAGCCACCAGGCTCCAGGCCAGGTAGGCGAGGACCGACAAGCCGAGGAGAAGCAGAATCATTGCTGTAGCACAATAGAAGCGAGAGTAGGAGGAGCGAGAAAGACAATTTGAATGTGTGATAAGAGAAAAAGAGAAGGGAAACAAAAAAAGAAAAAAAAAAAATCGAAAAACGAAACAAAGGAAGAAGGGGAGAACGGGGTTGAGGGGAGAGGTAGAGCTTTTGTTGGTTGGTTGGTCAAACAAACGAAGATCCTAGTTCTTAGAGGATGTCTTAGGGCTTGCATGGCAAGTCATACGTTGAGATACCTTCATCTACCCGGCCTTTACCATACCATACCGACCCACCGTGCTATCAGGACCTAATATCGCTTACCCAACACTTCGAAGTGGTAGGTTGGCTAGGGACAGGGAATGCTAACTTTGCTGTGTGGTTGTTGATCCAATGGTTGCCGGATCAGCCTTTCTATCATCCCGTTCCCTAATATTCTTCCATAACCCCCTGTTTGTAGGAGGTTATCTAGGACTAGTTCCAGTCAATCGTTGCCTTCCCACCTCCGCAATGCAGCGTGATCGCTGCCAAAACTGAACTCCCACTCCCATTGATGGAGGAAAGCAGCCTCCTAGATGCCTGCCTTACACCCCAGATGCAAGTGTTGCGCCATGCATGTATGTCTTACTTCTCCTCTTTTCTCGGCGTTCGGCGATAGCCCGACATGGGTCAAAACATCTGATAGAATGAGGTCAGTTTGCTTGCCAGGATGTCTTGTCCAGTCAAGCGGTTAACGCTATATGAGTTCATCATTAGCGTACTACGGCGACAGCCATGATAGCGTTTCCTTTGTATCTTTGTAAATTCCTAATGAGATGTTGGGTAGCACAAGCAGGAGCTTCTTCTCCAGCGGCCAACAAGACATAGCTGCTGGAGAATGGACTCAATTCCATTACCTCGTCTACCTTCCAATTATACTACTATTCGCATGGCGATTATGGGCTTTCACCATTTCTCCTCGCCTCTACCAAGGTCAATTGGAGTATCTGCCATACTGGATTCCATGTAGGCATCCGAACCCCCTTCATAGGAGCTAGAACAACTAATTCCACCAGACATAGGTGCGTCTCAAGAGCGTGCCAAACGGATGATAACTACTGATGGGGACCACAAACTCTTGGTCAATAGGCCATGTCATACCCTTCTATAGGAATTCCAATGCCTTATTTGCCTTGGCAAAAAAACAATTCAACCGCAAATTATGCACCCTGCGCGTTGTCGGGGAGGACATCGTAATGGTCACCACCGCTGCGCAGATCGCTACAGTTGAGAAGGATACTCAGACCTTTGGTTTTGAACCATTCCTAGATCTAATGTACGACGAGGTCGCCAAGGTCTCGCGTGATAGCAAGTCGATATTGTGGCAGACTCGCGCTGAAGGCTTTGTATCGCATTCCTCAAAACCCAGACAGCTAACGCTGGCGCATTCAGGAGTAGCCCTGCTACACAAGCAGCTCTTGCAAGCAGACCCAATGCACCGTCTCATGACCAACACACTCCCCTACCTGAGCAAAACGCTGCAATGGGACTCCTTCTACGAGACGAGCGTCCTTGCCTCTGCCGCGAACGTCAAGGTGATATCCCTCGACCGCTTGTCTCGTGATGTGATAATGGACGCTCAGACATCGGCCTTTCTTGGCCCACGGCTGCTAGAATTAGAGCCGGACTTTCGAACGATCCTCAAGTGGTGGGATACCAACAGTTGGAAGGTCTGGTACAAGCTTCCACCTTTCCTGGCAAAGAGTGCAACCTGTCCTCGGGACCGTCTGATTGACGTTATGCTCCAATACTACTCCATTCCCGCCGAGCAGCGACCAGGCTGCGTTCCGTTCGTTAACGAGGTGTATGATGAGTACAAGCATGCCGGACTTCCTGATAAAGATATCGCAGGCATCGTTGTTACGATTCTTTGGGGGTAGGTCGGGCTCTGCCCGCACTGTCAATATATTGTGGGTGAAACTAACCAAAACTACAGACTTAATTCAAACGTCCACCTCCTATCTTACTGGATGATTGCCCACCTAATGAACAATCCCACCGTCGTCGGCCAAATTCGAGAGGAGATCGCGCCTATGATGATGTCCATCGACTTCTCCTTCTCCAGGAACGGGTCTAGTCTAGCTGAATGCACCAAGGACCACCTCCTAAAGTCCTGTCCGATATTCAATTCGACGTTCAACGAGACCTTGCGTTTTACTGCCACAGGAAGTAGTTTGCGCCAAGCCATGCGAGACACCATTCTTGACGGCCGCCGCATCCCCAAAGGCACGAGTCTCATCATCCCACAGCGGGTTCAAACGATGAATGAAGCTGTCTTTGGACCTGATTACAAGGCCTTCGATTGCTACCGGTTTCTACGTAACAAATCGGTTCTGCGAAAGGCTGATTTTCGCGGGTTTGGGGGCGGCGCTACCATGTGCAGTGGACGATATGTTGGGAAACATGCTGTTCTATCCTTTCTGGCGATACTGTTCTGGAGATATGATTTGGAGATGGTGAAGCTAGAACAGGATGTTTTAGGTGTTCAGGGGAAACATTTTCCCCGGCTTGATGAAACTAAGCCAAGTCTGGGCCCAGGGCACCCCATGTATGGGGACGATATGTTTTTAAAGGTAACTCCTCGGAAACCATAGGCAATTGGACATGTGTATATATTTATTTCTTGGACTTGAGGATATTTGAGACATTTTTACGTTGCGTTGTTATGCCCTGCGGTGTAGACAAATACGTCCGCAGTCAAACCCTACAAAAGCTATCAGAGCGGTGCAGATATATATAAACGTCTATTAACCCTTCCACTAATCCACTGATCGTTGCTTAGCTCATAAAGACTGTTTAGCTGGTAAAGTTGGCTTTGAGTGTTATCTAGCGCCTTTGACTTAAGTTAAGCCTCCTATAGCTGGCCAGGTCTCAGCTTCTTTCTCTCTAGCCTCTCGAATCTAGATACATATCTGAAAGAAATTTATCATCGTCCCATACTATATAATCCTCCGTCTTTAAGAAACTGACACATACGACCATAGGGTGTGGAAAACAGGGCTTCCCGTCCGCTCAGCCGTACTTAAGCCACCTGTTGAACGCGGCCGACTGGAATATGTGCCCTTTCGAGGTTGCTGCTTTATGGGTGAGCGCCGCTAGGTCGCAGGGTGAGTGTGGGTGATTTAGGTGATGTTGTCGAGAGTGCGGGTGAGCTGGGTGAGCTGGGTGAGCCAGTGGGTGAGCTAGACAATCCGGTGGGATTTTTGTGAAGTTAAAAAGGGGCGCTTGACCTGGTTGTCCTTTATTTATTTTTCCCTTCAAGATACTCATTCTCAAGAAACAGTTTAATGTGTGATTCTATACAGAAATCAACCATGTCACGTGATAAATCCTCATTATCTGAAGAGAAAAGGCGGAGAAAGGTTAATAAGCTCCATAAGCTTGGTGAATTATATAATTTTACTAGAGAGTACCAGTAAAATATAAAAAAGAAAGAGAATAAGATATACCACAAAAAGTAGAGCTCCAGCTACTGATAAAAGATACAGCAAAGCTGTTAAAAATTAGAAAATATAAATAATTAAAATATTTGTTGGAAATCTAGGGTACTGATAGCCTAGATATCCTTAGGCACGTGATCAGGGGAATTATTGATCATAGATAAGACGAATGATAGATAGATATCGGGTAAAACCTACAATCCAAAAGAGCAATCCGAAGCACATCATCAGATATTCGGTCAGTTCCGAATATAAGAGTATTATTATATCTGCTACTCGTTGGACATCTATCAGCCACCGACAATGCCGCTCGGCCGGGATCCGGCACGCGTCACGACGCGTCGCGGTGATATTGCAATGGCAAGACATAACACTTCACCAGATGGCCCTCTATAGGCTGCCCTGCTAGAGTTAACTACCGCGGCTGCTATCAGAGCTGCTGATGGCCAAATGATATTCAGCCCCGTTGCGGCGTTTCTTGACAAATACCGAAGCCAAAACACTGGCCTCAGTCCTTACCAGGAAAATGTTCTTGAGACTCTCAGTAATGATCTGGCTGATATAGCCCAGCGCCACTTTAATATATATATCAGTGGTATACCTGTGATCTTATCTTCTTTATTTCCTGTTCCTGTTCCTTACTCTGCTTCCTCTTCTCTTCTTCTCTTATTCCCTCTCTCTCGCCCTCTCTCTAGTCTCGCTTAGTTAACTTATATAACTATTACTCAGATACTCACTAAAGCTGCTGCCTCTGCTGCTATCTCAAGAAACAGCAATAAGCCAAGAACACTGATCTCTACTCTAAAGTAACTGCCTGACTCCCGTCTTTTTGTACGCCTTCCGCCTAACTATAATATCAAAAATATAGATACCTTTACTATTTATACTAGCCTCTGCTCTTATCTAGACACAGATAGTAAAGTGCTGAAAGGTGTCTAGTCTATTAAGACTGGATTTATTCTTTTATCTATATTACTAGATGCCCTCACAGCTCTGGAGATGCAGAAAGAGACTATTTCTATCTTCTTTAACACCTGCTAGATTAAGCGCAGCTCTCGCTGGATCTCTTATTAGATTACTAATATACTAAGAAAGGTCAGCTAGCTTACAGCGCGGTAATACTCTATGATCTCTATAAATATTAAGTTATTATCTGCTGAGGTAGCTGAAACCACCGGCCTGACTTCCATTGCTGTAACTGAGATCCACGCTAGCGCCACTAATTTAAATACTATATTATTAAATTGGTTTATTAACTTCCCTGAGGCAAGCAAGGCTATGCTTCCTGTATAACTACCTTTATTTAGTATGATTACTAATGCCTAATCTTTATCTAGAAGAGTAAAAATTATATAATATAACTGCTGCTGGAAGTGATATAATTTAAGGGCCTGTGCTTATAATCTCTACTGCCGCCTCTGCAGCTTTATATAATATATTAAGGAGAGCTATACTAACCACTGCGCTGTTCTATTCTCTTATATCTGCTTTTCGAGGTGCCTATATTGCCACAGTCCTTATCCAGTAGACTATAAACAATACCTTCTCCGCTCCAGTAAGTCAGGGTCTTGATATACTAAGGCCTAGCAGGCTGAGATCCGCAAGACCTGCTCTCTGAACCTAGCTAAAGTATGCTTAGAGAGTAAGTGCTTGTTACAGACCCTTGTCTAGCGTACCTTGTTGAAGGCGGACGCGCAAGGCAGAACTCATAGGATGACGACAATCAGTTACAGGAGCGCTAAGCACCTAAAGGATTATTCTATGTGTTATTTACCTATAGGGGTCGGAGCGGCCGATACTAGCTCCATCACGTGATACCTACTCCCGTACCTACTCCAGGAGTATATCAGGAGTATATCGACAAGACACCAATCAGGATAAGAGCTACCCCGGAGGCTACCCCCGGAGTATACGAAAGAGTAGATGGACTACTGGATATATAAGGACACTCGTTTCATGTACTTAGCTTAGTTCTCCGTGATCAATTCCAATTATTACTTAGGATATACATTTCAAGTTTTATCAGATTAGTATTCAACTCGTTCGCACTTCCTTAACTACTGTGTATACGTACTTAGTAGGCCTGGCCTTTTGGACTTGAGCTATTCGGTTGTTACTCAATTGTCGTTAGGACCTCGGATAAGGTCACCGTCTTGGATAAGTCCTTGGTATAGGACTGTCACATTGGTTGTCAGCTTACGTGAAGCGTGTCACGTCTCGCCTTGAATCAGCGAACTCTGGTCAACAGGTTTGTATTGTCTACGCAAGAGCAGCTAATCAGTTATATAGCTCCTGACCGAATACCCGGGCGTAACATTGAGATAAAAGATTACTATTAAAAATAAAACTTAATAGTTGTCGTTGGCGGATTCAGAGACGAGAGAGAGAGTTGAAGAAGAGAAGATTAGGTTCTAGAATTTAAAATTTTTTAGGCAGAAAATAGGGGACCTGAAAGGAAAGTAAATATAGAAGATTCATCTGAGGAATTAGGCGTTATAAGACTAAGGTCAGGATCACTATATATAAGCGATGAATAATCAGGAAAGAATGTTAAAGAGTAAAATAAAAACTATTATATTCTAATATCCCTTGAGGCAAACCCTTGAACTCCTATACTATATACTAGGTTTTGTCAGGATTATATCCTTTTTAATGTATCTGATATTAAAGTTCTCTGTAAGAGACTTGTAAGGCTACTACTTCTGCCTTCTACTCTTTCTTGTTAATTGCCTCGCCCACCTTGTGCACAGTTTATTGGTATCTTCAGATGTTTAAGTAGCCATGAAAAAACTGTAAACGGTCCTCGCATAGCAATGACAGAAAAAAGGAGTGGAGAATTATAAAGATATATTTATTTCTGCATGATCTAGTATTTATAGCCCGAATCTGCTCGAAAACCTTTTCTCTTGGCTTCTTCCTGCCTGGCAGGGCCCTTGTCAGCATATAACAGATATACAATAGTGGATAGACTGTATTACATAATGAGATATAGAAAGACAGACTTATCTATAGATTACCTAATAACAGCTTATCGAGCAGATTATTGCACCGCATTAACACCACATGTAAGTGCTGTATAAAACCCGCAGGGAGATCTGCATACATAAGAGAGACACGGTGTTGGAGAGCAAGAAGGGCAAATACAAACTTAATAAGATACTCCTCACCAAGCTCATTAAGCTTCTCTATTAAGGAATCTTCAGGTAGTCCATATCGGGTCAAGAGCCGGGTATAGTTACTTAGAAACAGCAGCATAGCAAAAATTGTCCTCTACAACTATAGGGAATGGGCTACGGCTTTATACACTAGGATTTCTCGCGCCAAGTTTAAGCAAGGCTTTAATAAACTAATAAGAAAATAAAAACAGCAGATATTTATGTTATACAAAAACAGGCACCGGTACTACACAGCAAAGACACCACACCACCATAAGCATGGCTCAATACAGATAAACACGTGCATCAGGGGAAAAGAAAGGCTTGTATAGCAGGCTGGCACCTGATTCCTAATTTGGCCAAGGACCTTGTCAAGAGCTGAGTGCTTCTCAGCTGAAAAGAGACAGGCGCCAGTATCGCCCGAAGGGGACCTTCAAGATACAGGACATTCTTTACGGCTTGAAGTTCCCCGCAGGCCAGATCAAGGTGATTACCAATATTGTTTATGAGGCTTTCGACAACGACTAGGAAGACAAGCACAGAGTTAAAATAAAAAATAATATTAAACAACTCGCTGTACTTACTGCTGACAAAACAGCCAGGGGCCAAAAACATGAGGAGTGTTATCGGTCATTATGAGTGCTATATATAAATGAGGGTCTAAGATAGTTTTAAGATTTACTATCATAGAACCCCATGAGGGTTAGAGTAAGGTTCTGGGTCATAGAACCTAACAAGGGCTCTGCCGCAGTCTATGTGGATCAAGAACCACGGGCTTATGCGGACCATATTGAGCTAGGCTTGAAGAGATTTGCAGATTGAGAGACAACAGAACAGGAATGGAGAAGTGACTTTTCCTGAATCTAAGCCAGTTTTAGAATACCTAGCAGCTCTACAGTCCTAGTAAAATGTTGGGTCTCACTAAATAAGCTATTCTATAATAGCCATAGGAATATTTGGCTCCTAGTTGATGGGACCTCAGTGTGGAATTCATGTCCTAGAACAACATAGAATCGGGTGTAATGTGTATTTTATCCTCATGTAGTGGCTGATGGATCCACGCTCACCACTGCGCAAGCTCCCATGTCAGATACATGCTCTGTCACCATCCTTCGCACAATGGTTCAGTCTCTGGCGCTGCATAAAAGCCAACCCAAGGCCTCTCACTTGATGCTATCATGTGTGCCATACCAACCCGGATCTACATGTTGAACATCCGAACATCCGCGTGAAACTTGTCAGCCAATCTTTTGATCTACCATAACGTATGTCAGTCTATAAAGATACCATACAGGAAGGCGTAAACAACTTACCCTCTTGTACTTTGTGACCGCACCTTCCACTCCATCTTTGATAAGGGGCCCTCTCAAGAGACCATCTCTGTCAATAGCCCCCTTTGTCTCAATCAATTTATCCTTGACATTCCCCAGGTCTAGAGCCTGGTCATCGAAGATTTTCCCCAGCATCCCCATGGCCTTAATGGCATCATCCATATTATAAATAAGGAGTGGGAGTCGATTGTCCAGCGCATAAACATCTTGCTATAACAATTCTTACCGGCATCACAAATTAATTTATTATAGCAGGGGATCACTGTAGAGTTAATTTGGTTCAGATTTGTCTTGAATGAACCAATAAATCAGGCGTAAGAATTAGGAATTATTAATTAATCCTTATAGTCTTTAATATGATTAAGAGATAGTCTATAAGTAGGATAAATATTATTTAAGACTTGGTATCTTGGCTAGCTGTTAATAGATCTTCTTTAGATTACTAGAGCCTCAGGGTCTCCCTTCTTTCTTCTAGTTACATCAAGAGAATCCAGGAGCAGGCCGGATTATAATTTCTGCTTAGACTAGAAGATACCTGCCAGGATTACTTAGATCTGTAGAATCTTTACTAATATCTGAGTCTCCCTCGGAGCAAATGTCCCTAACAGTTAACTACATGAGTTATTTACTTTTAATAAGACTGTCTCAGAGCATACATTGCCTTGTCCTGACCCAGTAACAGCTGGTACCCTTAAAGGGGTCTTCGAAGAGGGGTTCGGTGACAGTCAGTCTATCACTGTACGCTTATACTTGTCATGTATTGTACCATGGTGTTAACTATTCATTGTTAGCTTTCTCTATCAGCTTTCTCTATACCCAGCACTAAAAAGAGACATTATTGAAGAGAAACTGGAGTTTTCTGTTTTCTAGCGCCGCAGTCTATTTCCCCAATAGAGAATTCACAACTATGATATTCCAAGAATATTCCGGCAGATGAATGTAATAGATATCACTTAATTAAAGAGATTTTTCACTCCAAGCTAGCAGTTAGGTCTAGGCGCCGTTGCCGCAAAGCCCCTCAAGGAGTTAAGGGTAACATCATCTCAAAATGCTAAATAGCCGACTTACCATACTTTCGAGGAACAACTTATCAAGTTATATTACTATATAGCATGTAGGGACGGGCTCTGTATCTTGATTAGCTACTCCATACAGTGAGGGTAAAAAGGGGTGCACCCCATCCCAGTTAACTTAGTCCTAGAATCTGACTAATACCAGGCTAACAGAAGTCATACAGTCTCACTTTCTATATTAACTTCATCTAACTTTTGGAGTAACCAACAATCACTATCCCACCGTGTAAACCAAACTGGCTGTCCTGGTCTGTCCTAGTTTTGTTGCAATGGAACCTAACGATACCTTTCTCCGCGCCTTTCTCCATGCGTGCCTTGCTGGTGACCTATCGAAAACCCAGGAAGCCATCGCCACCGGCCGACTAACTGCCGAAAATCTCAATGAGGGACTCAAGCTGGCGACACATATTGCATACTCTGAGATCATGGCCGCTCTCTTCAATACCGGTGCTAGCGTGTTAGCATTAACAGTGGTCTCTCTCTCTAGACTAAACCTACAGTAGCACCTGAGCATTGTTTGTCACTTCCTGGACTATTGCCTTGACCCTAACTCAAGGCTTTCTAACAGTAAGTCTCTTCTTCTGTATATGTTAGTCTTAATTTACTAGTTAGCCAAAGACTCGGATCTGCAGGCTAACTGGCTGACTGACTCTGTAATTAACAGCATGTTAATTAATCCTGTATCTGCTTGTGAATTACTGTCAGCAGGCACTGACTCTAATCTTTGCAGGCTGAGGAAAATACCTTCTCTAGACCGCGCTCTTGTAACTATTAAAAAGAAAGATCTTTCTCTTCTTAATCTGTATATTAAATATAGAGCTATACTATCAGTAGATCTTCTAATATTTGCTATAGCTTCTTGTGTCTGTTAAGTAGAGCTCAAGACTCAGTTCCTTCTTAACAAGGGTCTTGCTCTAAACATGATCTCTGATAAATAGAACATGCCTCTACACTGTGCCATTTACTATACTAGATCTAATATTGTCAAGCTGCTGTTGGACACGGATACAGACCCGACAATTGTATCAGGCGGCAGGAAAACCTATGGCAAAAGTCCTATGCAGGTAGCAGAGAGCGTGCCAGATCCCGGTACCCGGAGGGCTATACTTAGTCTGCTTGATTCCCAGGCTAGGCAAGATTTTGCTTAGACTATGCGCCTTGCCTAGCAGTATCTGGAAGGTGGCATTGCTTCGTACCCTTCGGCTTCCTCTAATAGAGACAAGCGGAAAGACCCGAGGGCCTATTGAGGACATGTTTAGGGCCGGGTCTATTTCCCGATCAAGCATCCGCAATTAGTATCGTGCTTCCCTAGCCACATGGCTAACCCCGTCCCCATACCGTCCATGCACAACAGCTTTTTGAACTACTTACAGGCAGCCCCACACACCTGTTAACGTAGATGCGATCTGGCTACTCGTGGTTAGCTATCCGCGCACAATATCATGGATTCCAGGAAGATGACCAGAGTGAATGCGGTGCCAATGGGACAGTGGTGCACGTACTGGTAGACCGCCCATAGTTGCGCATTCAATGACAGAAGCTCCGCAAAGAAATAGGGGAAGTGGTGGATAACGTCACGGTGATTCTAGGAGGAAAGGGTCAGCCGGGCAAAGAAGATGGGTCTGGTGGCCCCCGCTCCGCCCAAAGCAGTACTCTTAGGGCTGTACTGGATTTTCTATAAGTAGATTTCGACGCCGCGGGACAACGGGGTTTGCCAAGAAGAGAACCACGGCGTGGAGGCCACCACAGGCCCTGACAAGGCTCAAAGCTCGCCCTTGTGAAGCGGTACGTGTAGATTAAAACAAAAGCATAGGATGGAGAGAGCCTGCATATCCATCCAATGGCAGAATTCTGGTTTGACTCTTAAGGTCTTCTGTCTACCAATCATGTGTTGATTGTTCTGTCTGGGCACCCAATGATGAGAGTCCGAGCAACCTTTTGCGAGCCAAAAGATCGTATGGTCAAACTTTCGAATATTAAAATTGTGGTTTCCACAACGTAGGCTGGGAGACAAGTTATAAGTGCGATAGCCACAACTGAGAGAAGTTCCTTATGCTTGATAGATATGGCTTATCATAAGGCTCTATATGGAGCTCATTCTTATTGGAATCGTCGTTCTACCTCATGCCATCCAGGCTAGCTTTATCACTAACACCTAAACCCTTGTTGGCCGGATCATCCCACTGACCGGTCCAATCAGGACCGCCAGACGGAATCCACAGCCAACAGCTTATATTGGCTTGTTAGTTGTATAGAGAGCACAGACTTGATCTATAAAATACGGAAAGGTAGTGAAATTGTTAGTGGTACAAATTTTAAGCAAAATTTATTTCAAGGAATGTTCCAGGTCTGGACACCCCACATAAATTATGCTATCTAGTCAACAGCGTCCTTTGAAAGCAAGTGTTCTACCATAAGCTTAACAATGCGATCATGTCCCCAATGATTAGCATAGGCCAGGAACTCTGGTCCAAATTCAGGTCCATGCTGAAGAATAAATCGAACTTTATCTTCGTCACTTTGCTTGATTGCCAGGAGCAGCAGTACGTCTGCCTCAGCCCCATATCGAACAAGCCTCCTGGTAATGAGCGCGTCCCTGTTATCAATAGCTATATAAATTGGTGTGATCTCATCATTTCCTGCATTTACATCCGCATTATTGTCCAGTAATAACTGAACAATGTCCTCCTTCCCTTCGCTCACGGCCAGATGTAATGGCGTCCAACCTTTGTCAGTCATAACATTCACGGCGGCATCATTTTGTAAGAGAAGTTCAAGGATTCCCACATCCCCAAGTAGTGTAGCTAAGTGTAGAGGTGCTAACCCTGCATTGTCTCGAGAGTTCACCCACATACCGGCTCTGACAAGGGTTTGGACAAGAGGGCGAAATTCTTCAATCAAAATTGCAATCATCAACGGAGTATACCCACGCAGAGTGACACACTCATCGCCGATAAGATTACGTCCCCCATATTTTACTAGAGTCTCAAGAGCCAACGGTTGTACACCGGCAAGTGCGGCATATATTGGTGTCAGACCTTGTTCTTGTGTCGCGTTTATCTGCGCGTTGTATCGAATAAGAGTTTCAATAGTGGCCGGAAGACCATTTCCAGCAGCATAAAACAGAGGGGTATTCCCGTGGCTGTCAGCAGCATCCACCTCCGCTCCATTATCTAGCAGAAGTTGTACGGTGGTGGCCTGTTCTCTTTTTCCACAGGCCGCAGCGTGCAATGGTGTCCATGCCGCAAGGGAGGTCTTGCGGTTTACTTGTCCCTGGTGCTGGATCAAGTCTTGCAGGATTGCATTGTTCCCGTCAAGTGCTGCGAAAAATACCGGTGTCATCCCATTCTTATCTGCTGCATTTGCATCTGCTCCATGACGGAGCAGAATATTAACAATCTGCTCGTGGCCTAATTTTACCGCAATATGTAGCGGTGTAAGCCCAGCATTGTCCTGTGTCCTGACATCGATATCGTATTGAGTCAAGGTCTCAACAATAGACGTATGGCCATTTTGAATAGCAGCAAAAAGCGGTGTTTGGCTGTCTACATCTATGGTCGATGCTTTAGCCCCGTTTTTGATGAGAAGCTCTGTGATCAACTTATGGCCGTTCGCTGCCGCCACAAACAGCGGCGTACGCTCGTGGTCATCACGGACATCGACAGTGGCGCCGTTTTGAAGAAGTATAGCTGAACCTTCTTCTGATCCCATAGCTGCCGAATAATGAAGTGCACTACGCCCTGTTTGGTCACGGCAAGAAATATCCGCGCCTGCTTCGAGAAGAATATGAACGATCTCTGCCGACTTGAGTGAATCATACTTGGCCGCAGCTGCTGCTGCCACAATGGGATAACCATACAGACCGCCAGGTCTATTCTTATCAGCGCCTTTTGTTAACAACAGCTGGACGGCATTCTTCTGGCCTCGCCCAGCAGCAGAATGGAGTGCTGAGCCGAACCTTCCTGCCGTCGCATCAATATCAGAGCCAAGTGAGAGGAGCCATTCCATAGTATCCAATAAGCCCATACATGATGCTATATGGAGAGGAGTTGGTCTGTTATCTTCTTCGGTTGCATGCAGGATAGAAACTGGCCACAGCTTTTGACTGACAATTTCTGACCACAATATCCAGCGAGTTGAGGAGGGATCGAGCAACACCCGAATGAACTGTTCTAATCTGTGAAGGCAATTGCCATTTCGAGCCACATGAGCATACCAAAACAGGGATGCATATTCTAAAAACCGAAACATCTCCTTTTTGTTCTGCAAGACATCTAAGTCATACGGATCATCCACGGTAATCTCATCAAAACAAAGGTAAGTGAGGCAGGTTCTAGCGAGCAACTCATGCTCTTTTGCTGCCTCTGAAAATGAAAAGTCTTGATCCGTTGCGCATACGCTGGTCTGAGACAGAAACTCCTTCACAGATGTGTGTATGAAGTGAACTGTATGGTTTGTGATGCTAGATGCAGAAGAGCCCCGTATATCGACCAGCGACTGGCAGTATTTTCGTATTTGGTCATTGACGTAGTATTCATCCCATGTATCCGGCATCTCATCGAATGGGTATGTGGTCAAAGAAGTGGCTTCTGTGAGAAGTGCCTCTGTTAACTCTCGTACAGTAAGAGGGCGGGCAGCGAAATATGTCCACCGAAGGATCCCAATAGCTCGCAACTTTTCATCAACGCCAAGATTCAGGATGGATTGCATCTCTCTTTGATACGTCTGCTCCAAACCTCGTGGCATACTACCCAGTGTGCGTCGAACCTGATTTTTATTCAATCCGGGAGAAAGTTGTTTCCCCATAAGTCGGACCCACAGGAACATGCCGCCACATTTGTGTGCAACATCCTTGGATATCTCATTAATAAAATCCTGATCTTTATTTACCCCGAGTCTCTCGTTAACGACGCTAGTTGAGTAGTCAATAATATCCTGTGCGGTGTCCTCAGTGGCGATGTTGTACTCAAGGAGGGCTATTGCATCCTGACGGGCTGAAAGGAATTGGGTATAGATATCTGCATCACTTCTGCTGGATATGAGGACTCTAGCTGTTGTTCCACTTACCGTGCTCCATAGGTGCGCAAGAAAGCTCGCCTTATCTTGATGCCATGGACCACCCGACATTACACACTCATCAAGCCCATCCAAAAAGAGCATACAATTATCCATGCCATGACATATCTGGTACAATATTTCCCATACTTCCGTCACGGTGGCCGCACGTGATTTGTTTTTCTCGCATAGCGGATACGCTATATTTACTGCGTCATCCATTTTGTTCACTATTTGCCGAACCCAGGAACGTGCAATTTCGTTCGGGTCTTGCTTTCGTTCATCCTCATGCCTGCAGAAGAAATATGCTGCTGGATGTGAGTGTTTCGACTGTAAACTTGTGACATGTTGTATAATGCTCGCAGTCAAAACAGTCTTGCCGCATCCCGGACCTCCACGGATCCACAGCACCTTTGAGACTTCAAGGGTTGAAGTTGCCCATCTTTTGAACTGGGGGCGCTGTAAGATCCAACGGCATGTGCCTGCCAATTTCACAGACAGAGCTGCATGATACTCGTCATCTGTCATGGTGCCACCAATCCAGGCAGCGAGCTCCTTACGCTGGTCATTTACGGAGGGCAGGAGGCTAGAAGCCGTTAATTGCAACGTTTGCATCTGTTCGAATAACTGCACCCAGGGTATTATCAGGCTGGGAGATGCTGTATTAACCACTTTGTTATCAAATGGCGTCTCGCCACTGGATCAACATCATTAGCACTTTCCTGTTATAGACTATGCGAAGGTACACATACCGACCTCAAGTTACTATACGTTGGCGTATGGAGAATAAGCTGGCGAGCGTATGCTGCTGCCGTAGCTGCAGCATACCCATGCCACTGGTCATTCTTATGAGAGTCACAGTAGTCTGCGATTCCGCGGATCACCAAGGCAGGCAGGTCGGCCAGGATTCCTGCAGCCTCAGTTTCAAAGCACAGAATGCCGTACTTCCCCGCCAATTCGTCTCTCTTGTTGGCGTCTTTGATCACCATTCCGCCCGAAGCAATTACACCTCTGTGAACACGGACATATTCAGGGCTCGCTTTTCCAGGGCCGTCACGCAACCTGAGCCTGGCAAGATCACACTTGCATTCGTCACAAGGGATGCCGGGTTGCTTATGGATATAATCATTGTGGTAGAGACGATCTTTTGCAGAGCCCGGGTGAAGATACTTTTCCAAAGCAGGGATGTCACTAGGTATGCGTTGAAGACATTTCGAGATTGGGTCGTCCTGTGTCTTCAGAAGGGCCCGCTTTACTGCCATGTCTTGTGCCGCTTGTAGAAGAACTACAGGGGGCGGAGGCAGAGCTCCAATGCGTTTGAACTGACCAACTTCCGCTTTGCCAGTGTCATATTGCACCACCCCTGGATATTCCCCAATAGGCTTGCTAACAACCACATCTCCCAGTCGGACCCAATCACTCTCGGTTCTAACGGGGACTCCACCTCCAATACCGACTAAGAGAACGTAATGGATACTTGGAAACGTGTTTCGCATTTGAGTGACTACAGTGGCGGCTGGGCTGTTGCCGGGCTGATGTAAACCGGCAATCACGATATTGTGGCCAGCAATGCTTCCCAGAGTGTAGACATTCTGGTCTGCTGGCTGTTGTGTGAGGCGATCGTGCGTTTCATCTAACATCAATAAGGCTGCGGTCTGCTCCACCTCCAGCGGGCATATCCACCCGATCGCATAGTCTTGGTGCCGTCGTTGACTAGACATTGCGAATATGATTTTCTCTCTAGCCCTCCACTTCCGCAGCAACAAACCCCACGGATAAGGGCAAGGTAAGGCAAAAGTAGAGCGAGAAGTAATCGCTCCCTAATGTGAAACACGAGATGGGAAGAGCCATCCGACTAGCCCTAGTGGCGCGCTGGTAAACCTGTCCCGTATCAGTGTCAACATGCCCCTGCTATCTCCAAACAGACAACTTGAATGATGAATGAAGGTTATGCTTACCCAGTCATGAGGCAAGGGAGGGTAGGCCAAGGGTAAAAAAAAAATACGAGGACGGCTTCAGCTGGAGACATGGGGGACAACGTGGTATTTTACCTCAATTTGACTACAGGAGGCCAAGGCAGACTGCAATCACAAAACCATGATTGCGAAACTCATTGGGTAAGGGCATCCTGCTTGCGCACAGAGGCACGAGCCCAAGCCAATGAAATGCCCGCGCAAGCATGTCGCTGGCCTTCGCAACATCGCCGATGACCAATAGTACGCCTACACTACCTGACTAGTTAAATCACTTGCATTATCACCGAGACTTTGCCTCTTTCCGCACTTTCCCCTGGCATTTTTAGTCAAAAGGTTGTCATGGTTAGCATGCCCTGTACGATCATATAAGTAGATGACAGGGTACATTCTACGAGAATGCATGTCATGGCCCACCCACGGTGTTGTAACAGTAAAGCAGCCTCGCATTTATCTATTTTAGCCTTAGAATATAGAGGACAAAAGACAAGAGTTTGGTACATACAACCATAGGGTGTGGAGAACAGGGCTTCCCGTCCGCTCAGCCGTACTTAAGCCACACGCCGGCCGGTTAGTAGTTGGGTGGGTGACCACCAGCGAATCCCGGCTGTTGTATGTTTTTTGATTTGTTGGGTTTAGCGCCCTTGCTGCTCTACCTTCAGCCCCTTCAGCCCTAAACAGCGCTCAGCCTGAACGTAGCCTGAAGCACGTCTAAAACTCACCCACTGCCCCGCCCGCTGATGTGTCCCAAAGGACCGGAGATACGAAAGGCCGCGACCGTCAGCAGCACACCAATTACTTTGATTCTTTGGGAAAGAGATCTCCTTCGCTTGACCCCCGTGCTGTGTCCCACTACTCTGCAACAAACAGATATTCTATATCGGGCGACTTAACTCAGTTCATCATTCGTTCATAGCTGACCCAGGTCGACGAGCGTGACCGCTTAGTACATTACGTCGACTTGGGTCTAAGCCCGTCCTTGGAAGCGGAGATTCGATCCTAGTAATATTTAACCTGGTATGTACGGACAAGCGTACTACGATTGGTTACGCCAGCAATGAACAACAGAACATTAAGATGTAACTAAGAATTTGACATAGAATATTCTTGGAAGTCAGCCTTATACTCCGTATGTTCAGCTGAGACGGTCTGTGCTTGATCGTTACAAAACGTGGAGCAAAGATCATCCATTTCCCCCCGGCTACTCACTCACTCTATCATCATGGTCGAGCACAAGGACTGTTGCGCATGTCTCTACCTGCCCGCCAGAGCTCTAAGGGCCTATATGTAACGAAACGTAAATAAAACACAACCCCCGAAGTTGAGGCCATCTCTGTGATGAAATAAGAGGAATAACAATCATTCGACCATCATCGGTGACCTGGCAGCCATCATGTAATGACGGGGCGCTTACATGGCAAATGTAAGATGAACATGGCGTACATTACTTTTGGATGCCACCATTTATGTGAACAGGAGATCCACGTCTGTTCGACGTGTGGAGAGGCAGATGCAAGAGATCGATTGTTTCACTCAAACCAACTTCATCACCTGCGCAGAAGCACGACACTGAAGTTAGCGGGTAATAGCCCTCTATGATTGGTTGTATGAATAGGGACGGTGTGGATCAGCGCGTCACCGGGTTCACGATTGGTCACGGTTTAGATTAAGGCACGGCCCGAGGCGCCCAGCAGCGATGTGCGAAAACGTGGCTCTCTCAGTGGGTATCCAACCTCCTCATACTCAATTATTTGAACGATATCCTCCTAAGTGTTTTATCTTCGCATCCAACGTACTCTTCCAAACACCAGAGCCTCGATTGTTTTTGAAACCATCTCTCTCATATGCAAGTATAGGCGGATGATGATTATATTTGTGGCAACACGGCTGACTTGCTTTAGGAGCTATTCCGGAGACGCTTTGATCGTCGACCCCTTCTGCGAAAAGGATTATCAGCAGCGTTCGAACCTGGATCAAGGACCACTTGGTTCACTCACGATAATCAGGCCCCAAGATATTGGAAATGGAGCACGGAGGAGCTGGAGGTAAGGCCTATCCTAACCAATTTCTCTACACCATGACCTCGCTAGAACCAGACACACTAGTTACACCGGAAAACTACATCCGGGCTATTATCTCACTGTCTAGGCGGCATTCAAGCACGTCTTCCTTTCCTGGGAGGAATTACGTTGATATTGCAGAATGGCTGCTCCAAGACCGCCGACTTCTTAAGTCGAGAAAGCTGGAGGAAGACTCTACTCTTTTCGCTTCCATGTCTGAACAGCCTCATGACCTAGTCGTGGTATATGACTGCGGAGAGAAGAAGTGGGACGTGCAACACTACCATCAAGAGCAACACGAAGCATTCTTTGCTGCAGTCTCTGTTCCCTCAGAGAGCCTAGGGCAAGTAGTCTTTATCCGAGGCTTTTTATCACCATCTTGGGTTTCAGTTCTTGGGAGTAAATATAACGTCGATCCAGAATTCTTTAGGCGACATATGGATTTCTTGTCTACTAATAATGAGAGACACTTTTTCAGTCTCCCGTCGCTTGCCAACTCCTCAAACGATATATTTCGTCTCTCTGTGAGCACTCTTGTTCACCGCGACAATTTTGGAAGACAGAACGTGCAGTCGCAGAGCTCGGAACTGCCCAGCGAACTTGGAAAATACAAGATGCACCAACTTGGGTCTAAAAATGTCTGCTGCGGAGTCTCGTTGGTCCGCGAGTATACTACCGTGTGCGCGTCCTTCTCTGTGATTGAACAGTGGATATCGGTTTACATTGCGAAAACATCTAGCAACTGGGCTGGTAAGACGTGAATATTCATCCATCGACGATAATGTTCGCTAGATGTTATACTCAGTCATCGTCTGGATGGACCATGGAAGACCCTTAGAACAGTCTCCGCCGTGGCCGTGGACAAGCCATATTGACGCAAAAGCAATCCCGCTACCAGTCCTTCAACATCATCCTAAAATGGCGTTTAGGACGACCACCAATCGTCTAAATGCAGATGCGAATGCTACATCAGAGTTTCAGCAAAGCACGGCATTGCTTCCTTTGCAGTACGATTCGTTAATCGCACTTGTTGATTTAGCCCGTCGCGCGCCCCAGGATCCTCTAGCTATATGCATCCCTTTGTTCGCACACGCGGCTTTCTCCGAAGTTCAATTCCTGAATCTTATGGAGTCCAGAATTCGGATTCAGATAGACCTGATCGTTGCAGAGCATCCAGCTGACGCATTGGAAACTCTTCAATACTTTACCAACATTCTCAACCGACATGCCCAGCAGCTTAAAGATAGCGCTCGTGTCCTTTGCAAACTCGTTGAACGAACTAGACAGGGATTAAATGGCGCGAAAGTTGAAAGTATGACGACAAAAGTTGCCTTGCACTCTGGTCATAGTATGCGGTTCCCTTTGGAAACGGAGAGGGCCAGAAATTTTTCTTCGCCTAAATCTGACGGTACGTTTACACCAGGAGGTATCATAGAAGACTATGATCAACTCTTTGTCCGTTGCATCGACTTGTCCAGGATGTGCACCCAGGGCATAAATCTAGCCATGAACAAAGCCACGATTGAAGAGTCCCGCAGAGCGATTGAGCAGTCCCAGAGGGTCAAGAGATTGACCCTACTTGCTACACTCTTTATTCCGCTTAGCTTTAGCTCCAGCCTGCTAGGCATGAATATTGATCTGCTTGAGCAGAATGCTGTGAAGTTTTGGTGGTTTTTTGTCTTATGTGTTCCTATAACCTTGGTTGCCTCTATTATCTATTTTTGGGACTTCCACTTTCTCAGGCGTTGCTGGGCGAGGTTCTGGAAAAGATGCCGTTGTAGCAGGCTGCATATGAAAGCCGAAAGGCACGAGAAGGACCCCGATCATATTGTTTGATCAAATCCCCATCCTCTTGTCAGCATATTTGTACCAATGTGAGAACAAGAAAATGGCTATTTATGCGAAGGTCACTAACGACATATGAATTTTTGACACTGGATTTTTTTCAGCACAGAATAAATTTCTCCACCGATTGAGGGAATATGATATGAGCTGAATCCGGGCTAGCCCTGCTTATATTTTCGTGATGGGCTTGAGATCTGTTAGTACTTTGCGGCCTCTTGTGCGGGTAGGAATCATGCCGGTGCGAGTGCGCACTCTGTAGCAAATCGCAGTATTAACTGACTCGTTAACTGACGTATTGAAAGAGGGGTCGGGGTGGGGACTAAAGGGGCCAAGATAGACCACGTCGACATTTACAAGCTGTTACCAAATCCCCCCTCATTCCTTATGGCTCCATGTTACTCACTGGAATCGTTAGTGTTCTCGATCACTCATGGCGCGTCCAGACACGGAGTATGTTGATGAGACGCTTAATCTAAGGAAACAAAATCTGACAAACGCTTCCACCAAGTTCCCGGCAATTCGTGCCTGCATTTTTGATTTGGACGGGCTTCTCATCAACTCCGAAGATATGATCACGCTGGCGACGAACCAACTCCTCGAGCAATATGGAAGGCCCGCTCTCACTGCGTCAATTAGAGCCCAGCTTATGGGCGTCCCAGACTCGACAAATGGCGACGTCTTCCACAACTGGGCGAAGGTGCCCATCCCCCGCGAACAGTTCGCCTGTGAATTGAAAGATCGAATGCGAAAGAACTTTCCGAACTGCAAACCGCTTCCAGGTGCGGAGACACTTCTGTTGAACCTGAGTCGCGCACGTAATGCTTCTGGGGACAGGATTGAGTTAGCATTGGCATCCAGCACCAAAAGCCAAAGCTTCGAATTGAAAATTTCGAGGCCGGAAACGAAACATTTATTAGACTACTTCCAGCCCGAAAGACGTGTCCTTGGTGATGACTCGCGGGTACGACAGGGTCGAGGAAAGCCGGCGCCTGACATATACTTAGTTGCATTGCAAACACTGAAGTCAGACACTAACACAAAGCCCATCTTGCCCAGCGAGTGCTTGGTGTTCGAGGATAGTGTGGCTGGAGTAGAGGCTGGAAGAAGGGCTGGGATGAGGGTCATATGGGTACCACATCCAGATGTGGCAGCCGAATACCAGGCAACGCAGAAGGATGTTCTGGCCGGGAAGACGGGGATGATACATATAGGTGATAATTCGGATGTAGGAGAGGTTGACGACGGCTGGGCTGAAGCCATATCGAGTCTGGAGGAATTCAACTACGAGAAGTACGGTATTGATGTGCGATTTTGAACGTGTCTACAGAGCAGGTCTAGTCAATGGCGGGGTTTGCCACATACTTGCAGGATCATACAAACTTGCTCCCACAGACCATAAGGTAGGGTGTGGATTGAACATGCTTCTGATTCACCACATACACACCTATTATTGAGTCCTATACGTACATCATGTTCCTGCACCTTACTTCCAGGGATACAAACGAATATCGACTGTTTTCAGAAACATGTTAGATATAGCGAGCCAAATTACCCCTATGGCAGTTTTGTTCTAAATACCGCTCAACGTGACAGATAAAAGAGCATGGGAGCGAACGTCAAGGGCCGTGCCAGCACCGGCCGCCTCAGCCGAGACGTAGGTAAAAGCATTCGCTAGGAGGAGCAGAGGAATTTGGAACTTTATTTTGGGAAGGCTTTGACTTAAAATGCGGGGGAGGTAGACTTGTAACGAGACGAGAATTTAGATCTGGTAGTGTATACTCTGATATTGTGCGGATTCAGCTAAGGACAGCGAGAACTCGGTATTTTATACAGCGAAATTCAAAATCAGCGCTCGGGTCTTATACACTTCCGTTGTTACTTGAGCTCTAATGCCAAGAAGGGCTAAATCTCTTTAGAAGCTCCAAGTAACCCCTACTCTATACTTTGGTATTATCTCGTATCAGAGTATATTATCTATATAGAGCTTAACGAAAGCGCGTATAAGAAGGTACCAAAACTCTCTATCTGTAAGTTATGGTCTTCATATAAAGAAAGATACTATAGAAATATACTATACTCATATCTAATCAATGATCCCAGTTATGCTAGAATGTTTAGCAATTCTGATATTAGCGGATATTAGCAGGAGAATATTATATATTTTTGGAATAGGGGAATAATTCACTTACCTTTCTACTAGCTTCCAGAAAGTCTGCTCTCGTTGGCGCACGATAACTTCGCATAATGGAATATTCTGATCGTGATGGCAGTATATCAGCAATTATGCTCTGTACTCTTCCACTCTGTTCTTGTTCAGCTTATCTACTTGTTCCTGTATTTTCCTCTCTTTCTCCTCAGCCCAAATCAAAGACTACTGGTAGTTGATATGAATTGCCTTGTTTTGATAGTTCCCTGGCGAGCACGCACTACATAGTTGTAGTTGTAGCTGAATGAAAGTCATTGTCAAATAGGATTCCCCCTCATATCTATCGGCATATCTCTGCCCGAGCCAAGACGTTTTGAAATCCGTCGATCAATGGGGCCGAAGTCGGCTTCATGGATTCGACCAAAGTTGTGACTATACCATTCCACTGCCTGTTTATCCGGACAATGGTCAAGAACATCATTGTCAACCTCGAGGTATCCTGTCATCAGAGATATCCAGGACCTCAGCGATTCACCCCACGCAGAAAACCCTGTCTCTTTTTCTTCATCAATCGCAGCCTTCACAAAGCTTTCCACTAACGCCTGTTCCAGTGGGTAGCAAAGATTGCCGTGGATTTTATATCGTTTTGTTGACGCTGCATCTTTTATTTCGCTCAAAGGGCGGGAGATATCTTCTTGAGAAACATGCGCAAAGGAGTTCGGAAACAAAAATAGTTGTAAACTCTTTTCTGCTAAATCACCGTGTGGATAATTAAACACTGCACAAGACTGATCCAAGCGGCTGTAGCCAGCATTTATTTCCTCCAACATCTGCTGTGGGTTTGGATGGTCCTCCATGACTTCCGGAGGAGGGGTGCGATTGGGAACATTTCGGTGGAATCCTGCACTCTCGAGCTTTTTCATGGCGGCTGTGTAGTCGTCGTCTTCCACGACAATCATGGGGGCCTACGAAGAGAGGTGGTTAGCTGGAACAGGACCGGGCTCAATTTCTACTACTAGAGGTACACGTTACTCCAACGGCAATGGGGACGCCTAGATACCACATTGCAAGCGCTCCCCAAGGAAACACTGTGAGAGGTTGAAGTATTTTGCTCAGTCTTATGGAGAGCCTGTCGGGCTCGATCTGTCTCTCGCGCCTAAACATAGCTGCAGTGGGAAATCTGATTCTGTCTGATTTGTCTCGAGCGGAGGTGGTCTTTTTTTCCGAGAGCAAAAAATATATAATGATCAAAAGGAGGTATTAGGAAGATGACGGATTGTAAAAAGTTTGTGGCGGAGACTGGGTATTTACGATAGGTCGATCACCCGCAACCCGCTATTAGTTCAGATTTAGGAGTTTCCGTTCCGATGCTGACCCACCCCTACAGACCATCCGGGACGACAGGCGGTGGTGAGCGGCAGACGGATGCTGCAATGGGAGCCGCTTTCGGCGTCCCCCTGCCGTCCGATAGAATACATAGAACTAGTAAATGCCCCTATAATGCAATGTATGCCGAGGGCGAGCGTCAATTTATTCCTATTACCCCTCTTCAACAAAGAAAGACAGGAGTTAGACATCTAATTGTATGTACATAGTTGCCTATTCACCTTTCAGTGCCAGATGATATATGGCTCGTTTCTTTCCGCGCGGGGGGTTATAGCAGTACACATCACGGAGATGGCATTCTAGATCCGTGATGCCTTGAAAGTCTTCATGGCAGGCAGGATGGTGACAATGGAACATACCTGATAGAGCTCTATAACTGAGATATGACTGAATATGTTTATACCACTCGCTGCGATCAAAATACTGTATTTATAAGCTGTTTTTGTTCGTTACGATATACATAAATAGAAACTTCTACCCTTAAGTTATAGAAAGAGAAACAGAAGCCTAATGTTAACCCACAGAATACAGTCCTACTGTGCTAGAATCTCTTGAAATCTCCTCTAGCACGCTCATTTCCATCCAAGTATTGCACGCCGACTACGGAAGGACTTCAGTTAGTAGGCAACTGCGAGGCTCTTCGGGAAAAGTCTCCTTCCTCAACAATTCTTCTGGTAATTCTCCATAATTCTCGCAATTCAAAGAATTGCTACCATGAGCAACTGTTAATGGCTAATTTTCACTGTGCTGGATTCCCTCTCCCGCTTCGCATAATTCCCTTTGTTCACGAACAAATACCGGCTTCATGAACCCCTGAAGGCCAAACGTGGATTGATTGGTCGTAGGTCTTGATACGCTTCTCTCTGAACGAAGATGTGTCAGAAGCCTTAACCCTATAGCACTAGCGTCGTCAGCGCGGGGCTGGTTTCACATTACGCATCCATCTTCTATTGGATGACATCTGACGCCCCGCTTCAGCGCTTGAGCCTCAGATGACCAACGAATTACTCTGAAAATGCCCTGTTTCTAAGAGATTATATTGTCAAATTATACATAACTTTGCATCAGTTCACTGTATCACCACCCAGCTTCCCGTTCTTACGGTTTAACAGAGAGCTGAACGGACTCTTATTTCATTTAGAAGGAGGATGCATGTTTGTTTGAACGAATACGATGTATTTTAGTCCTTAAAACCAAGAATATGTTGGCCTCCAAAAGCTGCTGGCCTCCGGAAGCAATCCTTAAGTGAACATAATTTTGGAGTATAGGTGTATACATACATTAGACACTAAGTATAACCAATCATAACTCGTTACCTAGGAATTACATTCCTGAGTATACCGACATGGGAATCAGCTCATTCCAGGACCAATTATCCCAAGTCGGTGAGACTCCTAGCTCTTGTATCTCAGGAACGGCAAACCTGAGACTTAGAGGGACGTACGCCGCTAGCCATACGGCCGATCTGGCTGGAAGCCCCAGTGAAAGGTCGGACCGGGGTTTTAAGCCGAAATCAGCCATAGGCTCGTGGTCTGATCACCGAGAAGGTCGGAGGGGGTGGAGCAGCGGCCCAATGTGGTAGGCTCAGATACCGGTGACCTGTGCAGTACGATCGAGTGCGAAGGCCTAGTGGTCTAGCACCAGAAGCGCCAGACCCTGTGCTTCGGACCGACTTCATCATAGGGCGCCGGTCGTACGACCACCATGGACGGAGGACCGCCAACTGGCGTCCATGGCGGCTGCCAGGCCCAGACAGTCGTCTGCCTACATGTTTGCGGCCCTTCTAGTCTCCCGACCGCCCAATGTAACTAAGGAAGATCCTTGGCCTCACAGTTCCACGTCGCGTGCGATCGACCTCATCGTGTCTTCGTCCATCGCAAGCTCCCCCCCCGAAGTGCATAAAGATGGTATTGGTGTCATCCTCAATGGCCGCCTTGAAGCATTGTGCGGGCGTGAGCAGCCGCAGATTCTTATCGTAGAACGTTGCCTGCCGGTTTCTCGCCTCCTTTCTCGCCACCCGTTCTACCTGTGATGGATCCGACCGATCAACGACCACCTCGTGCGCCGTCTTCCAACGCCCGTCGTTTTCTCGGACCCGGAACACGATCGTCACGGGCTGAGGAGTTGCCTCTGCCTGATGGGGCCGTACATCCTGCGCCCGCCGAGCGACGATCCGAGGCGTGAGTGTTTTGCGGTTGCGTCGCTCGCTCACACTCGAGGTGGGTGCGCTGGTCGCCGTCGGAGCTGGATCCTCCGGCGTCTGAACGGGTCCGGTCAACGCAGTGCCGGCGTTGGCTTTCACCCGCTTTCCAGGTTGGTCCTGCCCACGTGCTGGCTCATCACCGCCAACAGCCCGAAGTGGTGCTATAGACGCGACAAGCTGCCGGGTCACCACGAGGTCCCTTCCAAAACTCATCCGGACGGTGAAACTACCATCCTCAATCGCAGCGCGAATGCACTCATCGACCGCAACTTTGCGAAGTTGGCCATCGTAGAAACGCGCATTCCGGTTGGGGTCCCGTGCATATCTGTCGGCGAGAGTTTGCGCCTCGGTAAGGTGATCAAGGCTCACAGACACCACATCCGTAGTGCTCCATTGACTTCGCTCGTAGACCTGAAAGGTTATCGTGACCCGCCGCTGGGCCTCTTCCATCTCTTGGGAATCCGCTTCTTCCAACGAATGCGGAGTGTCAAACAGGGAATCCTCCTCTTCCTGTCTGTCAATCGCTTCGCGTTGAGCCTGTTCGGGGTTAGGTGTATTGGCTAGGTATCGTTCGGTGTCCAGTGGAGAGGGGCCCGCGTCAGCAACACCGGCCAAGTTTTCGTCCCCGTCATCACTATTCCATAATTCATCTGCGATGGCGGCATCCCGAGTTCCTGCCCGATTGAGATCTTGATGCGTCGGTCGGTTCTTCGCCCGCAGTTTCCGCACGCCATCTGATTTGCGTGGTTGCGGACTGGTTCTCAGGCGCTGACGGGGAGACTGTGGGACATTCTCATCGTCCCGTGGACTACCACGCGAGTTCTCCATCGCACTGGGCACGGGGGGTTCAGTACGTGGCGGAGCAACTCCAGCCCCTGGTTCCGGATGTCCCTGCGTTGGATGATTGGCAAGGGGTACACTTTCATCCTTCAGCTGGCTTCCCTCATCCCGCAATCGTGTAATCAGATCCGGCAAGTCAAGGGGAAGCTCAGTCAGAGGCCGGGGGATAGTCCCAGGTGTTTGTAGCTGGTCGAGAGCATCCGCGCGCTCCCGGGCGACTAGATCTTCTTGGGATTCTCCACCCGCTCCAGCGATGAGTTCCGTTCCGGGCGGAATTTGCTCTCCGACTGTTCCTTGCTGAGCTTCAGCTGGTAATGATCCTCCAGAAATACGCTCCGCGCCATCCGGCTCGTCGACCGACCGAGTTACTTCCAGTTCAGTGTGCTCTGCGATGGGTTGCAACGGACCAAATCCAGGCCGTTGCTCCGCGCTTGGCTCCGAGTTGGTCATAGTACCCTGTGCGATCGACTGGCCTCGAGCGGCAAGCGATCTTTTTGTCACGTTGCAGTTGCCTTTCTGTGTAGCATCATATGGTTTCCACGTCGTATCCTTAAGAACTGTGGAGATTGTTGGTGACTGAACAGTTGACTGGCGTGATAATGTAGCTGGTATTCCAGCACGATCTTCCACCGACTCGGATTGGGTCAGTGCGGAAGAACCCACGTCCATGGCCCCGTCCACTGCATCTGCTCCCTCAACTGGCACGCTGGACATATCCGTATCACGTGGCGCCCCTGAAGTCAAAGAAACCACAGTGGCTGTGCCCTCCACCCCTGGACTCCTACCCTCTGATCGGTTACGTAGGTCATCTTCATCGATCTCCGTATCATCCGGTTCCTCACTGCCAGAACCCATTCCTCTGCTACCTGCCGGCTGTTGTTCGACACTCTGCCGTCGAATCTGATCTCCTGCGTCAGACCTTTCACAATCCATATCCATGACCTCAGAGATAGTAGATGCCGCTCTTATGGAACTTGATATGGAAGGCTCTTGGAGAAGAGGTGGGCCGTGCTCCACCGCCGGCTGTCTTTCTTGGTGTCGATGCCATCGATCTCCTTGCCTCTGATGTTGTTCTTCAGGGGTTTCCGAACGATCCTGACGGCCATGGAATGACGCCTCATCAGAGCCGTTTATCGACATATTGTCATATGCCGGTTCCGACTCTGATCTCGGAACTGGGGATAAACAATGGTGAAAGAGGCTCGCTGGACGATGGATGCCCCGGAGAAGCACGTGGGGAGGTTGTTGGGGAGGGCTTGCCGAAAAAGGCGTAGTAAACGCCTCGTCTCACCTCCAGCGATGAGAGGTTTCTTTGCGACACCGTTGCCGAGTGTAGAGTGTCAAAGAAGATATGCGGACGGTCTAGTTGCTGGATTTGCTCCTGAGGCACTCCACAGCGCTCCTTTAGCTGAATTGCCCGTCCAGTGATATGCGCCACCGGTGCGGCCTCGTTTGGGATAGCGAGCGCAAAATAACCAGCAATCTGCTCAACAAGAGACTCGAAAGTCTCATGGTCATAGTGGTAGTGATCCGGCTTCCGTGCTTTGAGCAGGGCAGCCCGGGCAATCTGGTGGTCAGGTGATTGTCGTAGGATCGCCTTAATTGGTGGAGTACGAAATCCTAGCTGCTTGGCAAGGGTGGCCATTCCATGAATCACGCTCTCGTCCGCCGTCGCTCGTGCCTTTGCCCGCGTGGGATTAGCCTTTGGGCCGCGCTGAAGATCCTTGGCCATGTCCGGGTAGTGTCGCATCGCGTACATCCAGATTTGACGATAACCAGAGGATATACGTTCATCCCTAGATCCAGGCTGTCGTCGGAAAGAAGTCTCCGATGTCTGGATTAGACAAGATCCGTTGGAGCGACGAGATCGAAAGCTATGGACTAGCGCGCTTCGTACGGTCAGCTGTTGCTTGTTTAAAACAACCAGCCGTTTCACAGCATTGGCACAGAGTTCCAAGTAGGAAATATCGCGGAAAAAGGTATGAAGGGATGGGATGATGCCGTCGCACATTTCATGGGTCCGGATCTTCTCCCATATTCCCGCACGTTCGGACCGGCTAAAGTTGGAGAAGACCTCCCCGCCGAGGATTTTCCCCTTCACCGTCTTCCGGTCAACTTTAGACGCACGGGGAGCGTAGAGCTGCAGGGTGTCAACGGTGTGGAGGTCAATAAGGGCCATCCGAGTGCGGTCATAGTTGACAAGGGTTGCCCAAAAGTTCTTTACATGTGTCAAGTAGTGAATGAGTTCCTAAGACAATAAGTCAGGGATAGCCTACAGATAGCGACGAGTAGGACCAACTTCATCACACTTTAAAGCAAGGACTGTGTTTAATAACCCAAGGCTCATCCCATTCCAGAGCCCGGGGATCGCAAGTAACGCGTCAAATGCTGCACAGAGATGTGTGTTATCCGGAGAAGTGAGCTACCTTAGCCGCTTGGCTTTGTTCGGCGATAGTCGAGTCCACCAACAATTTTGAAAGAGCGCGTTCGCCTCATGCTGATACTGGCGGATTTTCCGGTACACTTCTCCATCAGTTGGAGCCTTTTCGTTTGAATATTCATCTATGGGTGCAGTCCTTAGATCAGGGCTTATGTCTACAAGAGAGGATTAGTATAGATTGGGAAATTATGCTTTTGAAATCAGACCATCCAGATATATGTCCACCGTCCACCACCGGTCTGAGGGAGGTAAGGTTTCCTCAGCAGCTTTCAATCTATGTTGCCCATGGAGACATTGTACTTGATGCCTACGAAAAAGGAGGCGGGGGTATTGCGGTTGACAAGTTTTAAATTCTTCGGGGGTCAGTCCTGCGGCACGGCATGCTCTTTCGAGGTGCTGCCTGGAGACAACAGCAGTCACATGATTTCGAATGTCGAGTCGCTGGCACCCATCCTTAGCAAAGATATCACGTAATCGTTCCACATTCTTTTGGTCAATTTCACGGCTTATGAGTGGCTGGAGAGAGATTTGGTTGAGGTCGATCTTGGCGGTGCCTTGGTACTTTAGGAGTCGTTCGACGGTTAATCGCCGTTCGGTATCTGTCAACAAATCTATAGCTTTAAGTTCACAAGTAACTTCGGCCTTTTTTTGTCGATACTCGGAGGTGAGGCAGAACTATTTATGTTCAGCTGAGTCGACGTTATGCGGTACTTGCCTGTACCCTTACTGGGTTGTTGCGGGTTGAGCGCTGAAGCGCTGAAGCGCCAATTTCACCACACATCAGCCGCGTCCCTCTTTGAAAGACCTTTTTATTTTCCATAAAGGAGGCCACCATCCGAAACGGATCCAGGAATATTTCACGCCGAGTTGGAAGAGGGCCAGAAGGGTATAAAAGCAGACCAGTCCCCGAGTCCGAGATTAACTGGCATACAACTTCCACTTTCCACATTTGAGAGCTGCTTCCCACATTATTTGTACCTCCATTACGACAACCCCTACCTATGGATGGCGAAAAGGCTTCGGAAACACATGTCGAACCTCCATAGAAAGGCTGCAGGACTATTCTATGCTGGGTTCGGCGAGTAGTCCCATCCTCATTGATTGTGAGGATGATAAGGCTAGTGGACTGGTTGACGCGGATGGTGATACCATCCAGGAAACGCCCAGCCATCGCTCACTGAGCTCTGTCTGCTACGGCAGCCAGACACAATCGAGTTTAGGACATTCCGGGTTCAGCCGCACCCACTTCTTTGGTTGGAAGGTCTCCATCCTATGGCGAGATGGTGGTGCGGCGATCAACCCGCGGTGAATGCGCCTCAACAGTGTCTTCGCCTGTGGAGGACATGGAGAGCGCCGTACAGAACCCATGCTTCGGTAACCTGAACCGTGATCTATGGACGAAAGACTTACAAGGCCTAGAGTGTACAACCGAGAGTAGAAGACAAGCGGCGTCTGATGGGGAGCATATCCATGGCGCTCGGACTGTAGCGGTGGCATGGCGTTCCCATCAGCTAAACAAGATAATACCTGGGCTCCAGAGACCGGTATGTTATATCTTCACTGTTAAGATCGTTTTGCTGGATGAATGAGTACACCAGATACTCTATTCGATTGCCCTCGCTCAATGCCCGTGCAGCCACTAGGCAGCCAATCGATTCTGTGACAAGCGTCCTTACACACCGGTCAACTCAAGAGGGTGGGTTGGAGTTTCTTTGCCTCAGAATGGAGTGGCATTCCTACTCCGAGTTGAGATGGCGTGCTCCGCAGCTGCTCACTCACTATGTCCATCATGCCAACTTCCAACATAGTCCCAGAGTACGTAAAGACGGGCCGTTTCGGAACTGACCCTAATGTCAAAGCATCCAAAGTGAGCCAGGGCGCAGTAGGTTAGGTCACGTTGTGTCTCTTCGCATTTCTGTATGGCCAACTCAATTCATCCAACTTGATTTCTTATAAATTTGAATCCAAGCTTTGTGAATGGCAAGTTCATCGGCACATGCAGCTATTGGCCAATATGAAGTCGCTTCCGCCCGTGTACCTCGGCCCCACACGAGTGCTGCTCTCGTAACCTCATTCGCTTTTTCATCGGCCGGCTATCCAATTGGGAACGATGAAAGTCAATGATCAACACCCGCTCTAGCTCGGCGTTCCACAGCATGTTATCCGGCCGAAGGTCCTGGTGTAATACCCCGAGTGAGCAAATCTCCTTCTGTGATCGCGAAACTTCATGCCTGATCGTCTCAACATCTTCCAACTTGTGGATGGGTTCACCGCCCCAACCCATCAGGAGCATATGGCTGATCTGGCCAGCCCCGTGCAGGAAGTAGATCATGGCCAGGTCGATTGTGCCGAGAAAGACCGGGACGGCTCGCCCTTGGGCTCTCCAGAGGATACAATAAATATCCGCCTCTCGCTTGACCTTATTCCACAGGTAAGACGTGGTTCCTTTTCCGACAACCGTATACCCATATGCGGTGCACGTGATTTTGAAGGGCGCTCCCGATGCTCCACATCCTCCCATGGGGGTACAGTCGATGTCGAGATTTTGGTCCAGTTGCTGCTTAATCCGCCGAACCAGACCGCTGGCGTCAATCAAGTATTGGTTGCTGGTGCCACCCTGTCGATGGAGCTCGACATTCGGGCAGCAGTCATCCAGTGTGCCTCCTTGCTGCAGGCCCAACAGACATCACTGGGTACAAAATTGAGCGTTGTGTTGGTACCGACCGTGTTCATTCGGCCGGGTGCCTGTCTGACGGGCTGATCGCTGCACTGATGGAGATGATGGAGATAACGTAACCTGGCTGAAGCCACGCTTCCGCCCGCCGGGAGCGGAGTCCGTATCCGAGTCTGGAGAATCCTCGCGCACCATGGTATTCGGCGCGCAGTGGGCTCGAGACCGGGTCAGTATTCAACATCATTGTGTAGGAGATTCCACCGGAGAGGACAACGGGAGGTACTCGGAGACCGTCCGTCCGGAACTCACCGAGGGACTATATTCGGAGCTCGGCGGGTTTTGTCGTAATTCTCTTTCCAGGATTTGGGAGCGGGTATGATCGAAACTCGTCTTCCAGACCGGTAGCTGCTTCCGTGCCTTATTTCGCCAGGCCTGGTCGCGGACCGGCGCGCCAAAACACAGCAAACACAGACACAATACCCGTGCAATGGTCATCAACGGCTGATCAAAGCTCTGGTCATCATTCAGATCGATCTCCATGTTTGGCTCACACAGGTGGTAGTACAACGTGCCCGGCTCATCGTAAGAGACATATAACAGAACCAATGCCAATCCGTTCGTCAAATATGAGTACTCGAGACCTTCCTGGATCATGACATGGTACTCTTGAGTTATAGCCGATCCGGTCAGCCAGGCTGCATTATACGACAATTTCGCGGATTCCTCCGTGGGGATGGAATTGGGCTGGACCACCTCTTCCCAAAAGTTCATCTCTCGCAAGCCGGCGCGCAGGTTCTTGACGGACAGTTTATGAGGTGGCTTATACTCGACTGTGGTAAGAAACGTATTTCTCTCACCGTCAACGCGGCGGATGCAAAATTGATCTGGTCTAGAACACCGGTACGTCAAGGATTCAGCCAGTAGGGACGGATCAGCCTCAGTTTAATCGAGGGCGTTTGCATGATTGTCAAACTTGACCCCATCGCCCAAGCCAAATTGGTCTCGGGCAGCAGGGTTCTTGCAAAGTTCTGCGATAATGTCATGAACATAGTTCTCCACACCAAATCGTTTATAGCTTTCCAGATCCTGTTCACTACTTATAGCTCTTTCACCAAACCTTTGCCCCAGGTCCTCCAGCACAAGGCGGGGCGAGAATAGTTGCGCGGCGGTCTCCCCTGGAGTCTCCAGATAGGCGCAAATAGAGCGGTAAACCTCCTGTTGTCTGGCGGCACAATCTTCCCAATGCCGAAGCCGCAACGGACAATATTTCCCGGTCGGCGGGGGTATTTTACCAGTCGTAGAGCGAGACGGGGTTTCAACTCGTAGCTGCAGCGAGAAAAGGGAGTGGCACAGGCGAAGGAGCTCGAGAAAGGTCGTTGGCCGTGTTCGTTCTCGTCCTTGGTCCCGCTCTTCCTCTGCCCTCTTCTGACTCTCTTCTGCCCGCTTTTGATTCTCCTCTGCCTTTCTTTTGTCTTCCTCTGCCCTCAGATAAAGCGCCTTATAATCTGGAGAGCTGGAACTATCCATCTATTGGATAAGTCGTGAACATGTACAGAATCGACGCGGGTTATTCCGACAAGAACCTAGAACAAACGGGATGTCAACAAACAGGATCGACTGGAGAAGTCTGGCTTGGAGTCGGCAACGAGTCAATATAAGGGAAGTTAAGAGACATAAGACAACCTATTCTGGCTCAAGGTATTCGTACATCATCAACTAATTCGTAAAGGCGGAATCTTCCAGGGCATTTGTTTTAGAAGGGGGACCAAGGGAAGGTGATATACCGTCCTGGGAGAAAGGGCTGATTAGCGCCTACTTATCACGTGATATACTGATCATGTGGACCGACTCGTGTGGAGACACGTATTATTATTAGTGCATATTGGCCGTGCCAAGCATTGATCCATGACCGCCCGTCGTCGGCCGAGGGTTATTCCCTTACCGACAGCGCAATGAAGCCAGCAAAAACCCTTTTCCTATCTACCAGTGTCTTTCTCAAATGTGGTGGGTACCTAGTTTATGGTTACTTTTGATGGAGAGAAGGAATAAATTATGAAAATGTATAGTAAACAAGGATTACATGCTGTCAACCAAAAAGACCGCTATTGGGAATATAACGATATATCCGATTAGTCAGCCATCGCCATGACGATTCGTGATTTCTACCGATTTCCATGATTCTATTTATATGGCAATTTTCCTATTTTGACTATTGATATACGTGTCAAGTTGAGCAGTATTTAATAGTGAGATAGAGGCAGAGATTCAGGAATTCAGACCCTTATGTATTGATTTCCTTGGCCATAGAATTGCTAGTGTATTCTGAATATAATTTATGTTAACAGTTATGAGCCCGGAGTTGCCCTTATTGAAGTACTAGAAATTATAGAGATATAATTCTACCGCTATCTAAGCTGAAAGGAGCTGAACTCAATGATTGGACTGCTAAATTGGAATTAAAGCTATTCAGAATACTATATACTAGTAGAGTTACTGAGATATTACTAATATAACCAATGTCTTAAGGGTTCAGATTATTCTGGCCAGCCAGAATAACTGGAAAGGTTGGATTACTGTTATAAAGAATATTATAATAAATAATGATATCTGGGATTATATTAATCCAGATAAGTCTAATAATAAGATAAAGCAAGTATCTAAAGAATCTGATTTTCTGACTGAAGACCTTAATAATAAGTAGTGGAAGCGAGTATATATAGTATATCAGTACTAGCAGATAAAGTATAATTAATATTAATAAAACATGTTAAATCTATATAACTATCTATATTTAACTATTGCTCAAGACACGCAGAGACTAATTTAATATATAATATTAGTTCAGAATATACTATTACGATTGAAGAAGTGATTTAAGCCAGATAATAAGCTATACTAGATATATATAGAGAATAGATAGAATACTATATACTCCAGTCTAAGTTACTCTAAAAAGTTAGAGATATAGCTTATTAATTTTGAGAATACTGTATACAATTATAATAAAATTAGTCTACTAGATATATAAGAAGATAGATTTATATAAGCTTTATTTAAAGCTCTATATCTAATTAATCAATCCTATACTGCAATAATAAAGCGTATGGTAGTCAGGAAGCAGGAGATATTGAGTCTATCTAATACTATTAAGGATATAAAGTCACATTTTATAACTGTATAGTGATTTAGCAAGAAATTAAGCTAAGAAGAAGCTATATTTATAATATTTTAAGAACAGTCTGATAGAGATAAAGAATATAATTAAAGGCAGTAATCTAGACTAAAATCATATAATAACTATATATATAGAGAGAAGTATTTATTCTCTGTATGCCCATATATAAATAAGTTAATTAGACAAAAGGACTGGAAGCCTTTAACTAATATATTATAATAATTTAAAAAGATATATAGAGGTTCCTTGTCTTTATCACAAGCCCTACAGGCTGTAGAGAAGTAGGTAAAGAAAAATTAAAGACTAGATAAAAAACTAATAGTATATAAAGTGCTAATTATACTATTTGGCCAGGCTAAGAAGAATATTATTTATATAGTAAATATAGCTTATCAGAACAGATATATACTGCATGACAGTTTTATTGTAGACTCTGGAGCTAATATATATATATATAATAATTACAGCCAATTTATTAGTTTCTAATTACTTAATAATAGATTTCACCTTCAAGCCAGTAACTTAATAATAAATATTAAAGAATATAGAACAGTTAAGGTCTACTATATATTATTAAACAGAAATAAGTGTATTTTATTTCTTAAAGAGATATTTTATATACCTGATTTCTATACCAGTGTTATATCTATAAGCCAGGTAAAGAAGCAAGATTTCTACCTTAATCAATACTGTAGAGTTATTAAAGATAAGGATAGAATATCTTTATATAAGCTCTTTACTATAAATAAGCTTGAGATAATTAAATTTAATTCTATTCCAGAGAATCAGAAGTCTATATTTATAGTATAGAAGAGATCTAAGAGAGAGCTTATTTTAACTGTATCTAAAAGTTATTGGCATGTATGACTGGGACATGTATATAATAATATAATTAAGTATCTTAAGAATAGAATAATAGGAGTTAAAATCATGTCTTTATCTTAATTAAATAACTCAATATATAAACCTTACAGAATATTAAAGGCCTCAAGGCAGATATCTTGCAGAGAGATTATATAAGTAGAGAAACTGTTTAAAGAGATTTATTTTAATATAATCTAGATAACTAAAATATATAATAGAGATATCTAGACTATCTATTTTATATACTGTATAACTGGCTGGAATATACTATATATATCACTATATAAGAATTAACTAGTTAATTATATTGAGCACTTTATTAACTAAATAAAGTAATATTTTAGATATACTATAAAATACCTATTCTCTGATTAAGATCTGATACTTAGGAACTGATATTGATAGTTAGCTAAGAAATATAGAATCCAGATTATCTATTTAGCGGCTTATATATATAATCAGAATAGTAAAATCAAGCGTGCTGGAGAAGTAATTATAGTATAATCTTATAGTTTAATTATATAAGTAAAGATTCTATAAGAACTTTAGCCAGAAGCTATATAAGCTGTAGTCTATTTAATTAACTGGATACCAGTTAGAGATTGAAGTATATTATTAGAATACTAGATCTTATTATTTAAGTACTTATATAGATAAAAGCCTAATCTTACTAATATTTATATATTTAGATATAAAATATATATCTTACACTATAATATTCTAAAGAAAGATAAGATAGTACTACATGCCTGGATAGAGTATTTAGTTGGATTTAAAGCATCAAACCTATGGCGTATATAGAATCCACAAGCTGTATACTATAACTTTAAGGTTACTAGTTAATAGGATATAACTTTTAATAAAACTGAATTTTATAACCTGTAAAGGCCAGTCTTAGATAATATCTTGGTAAGCGAGATATCTAGAGTTGTAAAGCTTAATAAACTGATAATTTAGGAGTCTCAGCGTGTAGTAGAACTATAAGACACTAAAATTGAATTGAATAGTGAGAATAATGAGCAAATTAAGTAAACTAAGCAAGGCCAGGAGAAAGGAAAGTCTCTAGATCAGGTAGTCAATAATCTCTTAACACCTGAGTCCACACCTGAGTCTACACCTGAGTCAACATCTGGGCCAATAGATAATGGGCAAATTCCTGGATAGTTTCCTGATAAACCACTGCAACCAGAAGAGTCAGCTGAATAGAGTCCAGAGAATTAGCTTATGGAGTTTACTCATGCTCATGAAATAGAGCTGGAATCCCCATGTATATAATGAGCGCGAAGATTACAAGATGTAGATAATACAAGCCTTATTATTGAAGGAAGGTGTACTTACAGGACAAGGCAAGAATCTGACTATATATATCATGCCTTTGCAAGTGAGATATACTGTCCAAAGGAATCAAGCTAAATAGGTAGGAAAGTTAATAATCTACTGCCACTACTAAAGAATTAGAAAGAAGTATTAAAGTATTCTCTCTATAACTATTTTAAAGCTGCTGCTCAGTCTGAGCTAGAAGGGCTGTAGAATTATAAGATATTTAGAAAGATTTAAAAGCCGGAAGAACCAGTATAGATTCTGCCAGTTATATAGGTCTTTATATATAAACTTAATATAGATAGTACTTTATACAAGTGTAAGGTATATCTTTATATAAGAGAAGATCTTTAGATTATGACCTGTAAGAATAAGATAGCAGCAATATTGGTAGCAAGAATATTTAGAATATTAATAGCTATTGCAGCAGTATTTAACCTGGAGATTAAGCAATATAATACTTTGAATATATTTATTAATAGTAAGCTTAATAAGATTATCTATATAGAATATCTAGATAGATTTTGCAAGTCAGACTATATTCTATTATTAAATAAAGCGCTATATAGCTTATACTGTATACTATGTCTATAGCAGAAGAATTTCTTAAAGACTTTACAAAACCTAGGGTTAATATTAGTTAATGAGGATATATATTTATTTACTGGTAACAGGGTAATTATAATATTTTTTGTTAATAATATATTAATTTTATATTATATAGAGAATAAAGAGCTTGTCCAGAAGATAGTGCAAGGACTGAAATATTAATATAAGTTTTAAGAGATTAATAAGATAAAGATATTTCTTGGTATTTAAATTATTCAGGATCAGCCAAATCAAAAGCTATAGCTATTATATAAAGCTTATATTAACTGGATTACCAAGAGATATCACTTAGCAATTAATAGACCTTTACAAGTGCCTAGTTTAGAGATTACTCTGCAGAAGTATAATAGAACTGTAACTACAAGTTAGATCTATCAGTATATATAGAAGATAGGATCTCTAATCTACCCCGCTGTGATCATATAATCAGATATTATAAAAATAGTATTAAAATTAACTAAGTTTAATATAAATCCGGGACTGTAGTATATTATAGCTATAGACTACTTGATTCAGTATCTATATAGAACCCGAAAGCTTGCAATTAAATACAGTCAAATAAGCCAAGCGAATAGTGATGTCTTTATGGTTACCAGTAATACTATATATACAGATAACTTAGATCAAAAAAGCTCACAAGGCTATATCTGTATGCTATATAGTGGACCAGTGGATTGGCAAGCTGCCAAGCAGAAGACAGTATTAATATTAACTACTGAAGCAGAACTGCTTGCTTTATTAGAAGCTATAAAGAATATATTCTGGTAGAAATATCTATTTAATGCTATTCAGTTTGATCCGCAGCACCAAATAGCAGTATTCTGTAATAATTACCAGACAATTTACTTATTAAACAATAAAAAGCCATTTATCTTAATATAGCTAAAACATATTAATATTTATTAGTATTGGCTTTAACAAGAGATCCAATTAGGACATATTGCAGTTTAATAGAAAGAGACAGTAAGAATGCCTGCAGATAGATTAACCAAGGCCTTATCTATACAGAAACACCGAGAGTTTATCAAAATGCTCGGAATAAAGGAGCCAAGTTCTAGAAGCTTATACAGGTATTTAAGTACCTGTAGCCCATGATAGACAGGCATAGTAGCCAGTGTACTGCATATTCAACATCATCATCATGAGATTGACACATTTCAACACTGCGTAAGGATCATGCCGATGGCTGGGGGGGTGTGTCAACCAAAAAGACCGCTATTGGGAATATAACGATATATCCGATTAGTCAGCCATCGCCATGACGATTCGTGATTTCTACCGATTTCCATGATTCTATTTATATGGCAATTTTCCTATTTTGACTATTGATATACGTGTCAAGTTGAGCAGTATTTAATAGTGAGATAGAGGCAGAGATTCAGGAATTCAGACCCTCATGCATTGATTTCCTTGGCCATAGAATTGCTAGTGTATTCCGAATACAATTTATGTTGACACATGCTTTGTGTTTCTCTGCCTAAGTTGTCTCGACTTTCAAAAAAAAGGTACATCGAGTAATATAGCTCTGGGCGGTTGGCTATGTCTCAATTCAAGGAGAGGAAAAGCTTCCTGCCTCGCTGTCATCCTGGCCCCTCTAGATAACTATTGGTTATTTTCCAAAACAGAAATGACATTCGCAAATTGCCACCGCAATTGTACGTTTGTGCATGAATCGCTGGGTACATCCCAAAGCCACCACTCCTTGAAGTATTAGTCTGACTGGCGATGTCCATCCAAGCAGGTGACAGTCAGGAGCTACGGTTTTTTCGATAAACATGGCAAACTTAAGAAATAATTAGCCTTTCAATGTCAAAGAGCGATGCTATTGGCACTGTTAACACTCTTAATCTGACTCAATATAGGACTTGCGACAGGTAAGCTCTCCGTTGCTCCTTCACCCTGGACACTTCCTGCCTGAAGCTTTCCTCGGCGGCCGACAAACTAAGGTTGTCAATATTGAGTGATCTTGATACTGAGCGAAAAAAGTTCCCTTGGCTGTTGACTCCCAGGACAATGTAGTAAGGCCTTTCAGCCGTGCCTTCGGTGGAAATGGAAGGGTGTGGTATTCCAGTAGCCTGTCGTATAGCACTGGGTTTGCTTGTTGGGTCTGTCGGTACTCCTTGGGCAACCCCTCTGCCCATTACGGCCATTTCTGCTCTTACCACTGTGCTGCAAAGGTCTCCTCGGTATGATTCTTCTAACTGTCGAACAAACATTATCGAGTATAGGATCTCCTTGGCCTGGGGGATGAGCCTGGGATGGAGTTTTATTGCATCTATTGCATGGACAACTCGGAAGCCTTCCGAGTGCAAGTCGAATATAATATAAAGTATCAATGCAACAGTCACTGTTCATGACTGGATCAGAGACTGATAAGACAATTATAGTGGCAGGTCTTACCGGCTTTGTCATAGTTATTCTTGCCTTTGAACTTTATTGCGCGAGGCCACCAACTTGGGACTATCCCGCGCTTATGAGAGTATACCTCTCGAAAACGCGGCTCAATATAGCTCAAAAGACATTTCAAAAGCACGCTTAGAGCCTGATACGTTAGCTTATCAAGCGTTTGTTGAGACCACAGACGGGTCTTCTTTGTCTCCTGACTATAGAAAGTCGGGTTCTGGGTAATATCCCAGGGGTTTACCAACGTGCAAGATCCCTGTTCTTCGTCTATAAAACCGGGATATGGCACTTTCTCATTTGGTATGTCCTGGGGAAGGTAGATCTCTGGAATTTCAATTGTTGTGGATATATCTATTATCCTCTTAGTATGGTATGCCTATTTATTGGAGGTCTGCTCACTAAGTAGCCCGTCTCTGAATTTCTTTTCATATTCCGCCATTGAGATAAGGGCCTCTGTCAACTGCTCGCATCTCGATCCTTGTAACCTTCGTACGTTCTTGCGCAGAGAGTCTCCGGCAGTCTCGTCGAGGGCTCTCGTAATAAGCTTATAACAGTCTACTAGTAATCAGCATCAACTCTTAATAAATGTTATTAGCTATAAGACAAGCCAACCTTCTCTCCTTGACCACCTAGCCGTTCCAAACCATGCAGCAACAAGACCTGCAAGTTCTGTAGTAGACAGCCTCTGGAAAAGCTCTTGTCGAGCTTTTCGCATTTCTGCCACATTCCAAATAGGAACTATGCGACGGAGGCCTGCGTAATACTCCTTAGTGAGACAGAACCATGTACTTTGACCTTTATTGATACTCACTGTTGACTGCAGACATATTGCAAGAGACTTAGGTGTTGAGATTTTACGTGAGTCGGTGAGGGGTAGCAGTTTGAATATTCAACAACGTAAACCTGGAGCAGAAGTAAGGGGATAAGGCAGGTTAAATATAGAAGTACTACTATACACAAAAGTACATGAGGTTTCCGGACAATTAAGATTCACTGTACAAAGCTAAAAGTAGAAAGAAAATTTCCTCCTAATCGGCCCCAACATTGTAGGTAGACCTAGACAGGGTTTTGACATACAACCAATTCCCAGCCAGGTTACTGACCTGCTCTTCTTCTTCTTTCTCTCCTATTCCAGTACATACATCCCTACAGGAACTCTAGATCCAACCAATTAGTTTTAAGAGACCGTAGGTCTACGACTACGAAGGATTCTATCTAACTCGTAAACAATCTTCAGTGGTTACCATATAAGGCTCAGAAGTTCTAGAATTACTGCCTTTACTCCTTCCTAAAATTAAAGGGTATCATGTGTGGCCGCCTGATACTATTATAGAAGTCCGGTCGATAAAAGGACGAAAAATGCAGTGATCAACACTTGTACATTACATCGTTATGACCGTGTTCCACAGTGCCGCAAAATAAAATCCGGGCTAACTGGCTGTGGAATTTGTACAGGATATTGCGATCTACAAAAGTGGTGACAAAGTCAGAAAGTGTTAACTACCATAAGGGTAGCGTTGCGTGGGAACTTGTTGGATGTTTCCCTGTCGAGTGCTAGGATTCTGCTCCTGCTGCAACTGTGGCGTCCCTGGGAGATGTGACTTTACGGCCCCACTCCATTATATCAGTTAAGAACATCTACTGGCCAATTGAATACATTGCAGAATGACACTTCCTAACCTAGAAGTCCATAGCGCCACGTATATAGACTGCGCTAGATTATCATGTCCACGGAACAATAGTACTACCAACAGCTTGAAAGCCTTCCTTGATGATAGTCTGAACTGATAGTCAATGTAAGCTATCCTTTATTCCCTACGTGCTTTAATCTCGCTTAGGCATTCATATTGCCACAGGAAGTTTCCCCATGAATATCGGATCCTAGTACACGTCCCTTCACCATCTTCTTTCCTGGCTTCATCTAGATCTTCTGCCCCTGCAATATTTTCTTGGTGACTAAATGATCGGAATCGGACCCGATTTGGCATGATTTTGCGCTTGACTTTTTTTTACACGGGAGACTGCCAGGCATTATGCCCATGTAAATATCAGCGAATATTATCAAAGAGAGGAAGGGAGCATGTGGTAGTGGGGCTTCTTGGAGACTTGCCTGTAGTATCTCCATGAATTCTGTCGCAGGTCGTAGACACGCTCGGGGAGGATTCCCAAAAGTAAGCAAATATAGTAAGCAACACAAATGATCGCTATAAAGAGAATCGCAGCCAGGCACCACATTACGTGGGCAATATCTTAGGATAGGCTGTGTTTTACGGAGTTGGTGTTGCAAATGCTGCTATAGATTGTTGAGCCCCAAGGACACCTGACCACTTATAACTCATGTAGCGGAGAACCACTCGTTGGACTTGAGAGCTCTCGACTATTCTAAGCGAAGCGAGATCTAGGGACATGTATCCCACTGGGGCCATCTTGCTCTAGAATCACCTACATATCCTCCTCCAACAATACAGGACAGTTCGAATTCTCTCGGAGACTAGACCTTTCCAGGCCTATGTTCTTCCGAAGTACACCAGTTACTCCACATAATTCAACCTAGACATTAACTCAGACACCCGCACCCCATCATTTGAGACTTCATTGATATAGCCTACTCTATGTAGGTCATGCACAACGAAAAACCTTTATAACGTTAATAGACCACATATTTTGAAATAAAGATACACTCACACCCAGTAAACACATGGACAAGCTCCACAAGAACGACCCATCCAACTCGTTATGTGAGGTGGAATAAGTATATGGTCTTTTAATTCCTTCATAGTAATGGAATCAGAAGTTAAGCAGTATCCGATACTGTCCAAAAATGTGGTTGGCGCTTCGATTCTCTGGAGACCAGTTTCAGTAATGGTTATTGTACATTTGTTTGACCCGCTCAATGTTAATGTCCAGTGCTGTTCGCATTGCGCTGTGTTGATCCGCTGTACCTGAACAAGAGTAAATTTGTCGTGTATGTTATCGCTTGCGAATGTCATGGTAGCTCAATTGTGGGAGTATAAGGAAAGCAGCTTATAATGAAATGAGAAATAGATATAATAGTCGACTGGAAGTAAATATAATGCAGAGTCTATGTAGCATTAGGATGGCGCGGGGGTGTTATCCAAAACACTTGAAAGTGTACGGAGCCATGACCCAGAGATTGGCAGTATAGTACCATTATATGACCGCGAAACAAAATAAGACAAGTATTATGTGACTTCGTGTCTCTTGCTGTGGGGTACCATTCCGCTCCCCGTACCTTTGAGAAATTGCTCCATTTAACGCTAAAATAGTGTCCCTATATACAATGATCGACTAAGATGCTAACACCATTCAGAGACTAAAGAAAGTATCCACTTTTGGCTTTCCTTGAGCACAAAACTATATCTCCGAGATTCGTTTTCTATCAGACAAACTTGAAATTAACCTTTACGAACAGTTCTTTACCTCCGCTTAAACCTTCCATAGAAATCACTGCGCAGAGTGTCTGCTGACTGTTTCCTGGCCACGTAGATCATCATGCTGGACTTTGAGACTCGTAAGCCTTAGGAGGTTCAGTGTGTTGGGCTTTAGCACTTACAGGATGTTATATCGGAGTGTAAAAGATACTTGTTCTTTGTATACTTTTCGATAAAACCATTTCTACACTAGCTTAGTAAAAATGGTACTACCACGACATCGTAGGACCCACATGAAGCCGCAACAACTGTGTGTTACGTCTGGATAGTCGCTTGCGTTGACCTCATATGCGATATCTCCCAGATTGGGGCAGGTATAGTTCGGTGAATATAGGGTAGAATCCTGAACTTGCGGGGCATCATTCTCAATCCATATCAGCTTGCTGCGTTGATTCTGTTGAGACAGACGGTTGAAGTGATCCACGGTTAAACTGGCGTTGCTTCCATCGTAATGGAATGTCAGGATGCAGTGCCGCGTGCAGTGCTTAGAGGAAAGATAGGAAACCTGAACAAGTTTTACTCGGGGGGAGAGACCACGACAGGTCGCGAAATGGAAGGTGTCCATGTTGGAAGCTTGATGGCGAAAAAAAATGACGGATACTCTGGGTGGTTTATATATTCCTGTCTACAGAAGCCACACTGGCTATACATGGATTGAAAATCCACATTTATAATGAATATCCGGCCATTCGTCCTTGGGTACAAACGGATACAGTTTTTGTTTCAATGCACCCTGCTCCTTCCCATTGAAATTTGGCACCAAACAGCCCATCGTTTTCGTCTTCTCTCGGTACTTTACACGAAACAACATGAAAGGTTCTTGAAGAGGATGCTAAGAAACGCCCAAATAGCGGAGTGGCTCAATTTGATCCTTGGTCGAATCATCCAGCATGTCAAACACACATTATACCTGTTTCTGCAAATTATGTTTAAATCAGCATGTTCAGGCCAAGGTCTCAAGCAGCCGCCACTTACTGGTTTGGGTAAATCATGGCTCCGGGAGAACAATTATTTCTCCACTATCCCTGGAAGTCGAGGTGCCTTTGACTCGGTCCGTTGATGCCTGATCCTTGCGCAAAGTTTCTGTCCTCGCCGCTATGGCCTCTTCTTCTGATCCTGCCTGTGAAGCTGGTTTGATGCGCTGTATCTTGGGGGACGAGGAGGGATTGGATTGTTTCGGGAACAAACTATATTTCGGACTCTTCACTAGGGCCGGTGGGTTTGGCTGGTCTTCCTCATAGGATAATGGTCTTGGAGTTTGATACTCCGAAGAGCCACTCAGTGGTTTATCATGACTCGTAGCAGATTTGCTGTCATCCTGTCTGCCATTGTCGCAGTCCATCCAATCTACGGGGGAGCGTTGACCGAAACAGAACCACCCGAGCCACGGTGGGGTTATTTCCTTCAGGCATATGCCATTGAAGCAGGTCATGATTAAGGAGCAAGTCCAGTAAAGCTGTAAGTTGGAAAAAAGAGCGCCAATACTGTCTGAGGATGATATCGGTTTGTTCTTTGATAGAATATGCGGTGTAAAAACAAGGCTTTTCACAGTCTTATATCACTGGATAATGGTTTCCTGGCATATTAACGACCAGGGTGATTTACTATCGTGTACGCTTCTAACGCTTTTTCCTGTTTGTTCTTTCTCTTCTGCTTGCTACTCAAGTGGCGATGATGCTATGGATGGAGAATATTGATTAGCCATAGGGGCACTATTTTCAAACCTAACTTGAAATAACAGGCTATTGATGCCCTGAACATTTAGATACTTTGAGTCTCGGGTAATGCATTTCCTCTATACAACCATTGGAAGGGCTAGCTTTGATAAGCAGAGCTAAGAAATACACCTTTCTACTTCCGTCTAGTCTTATGCACAGGACCTCAAACTTCTAAATAGATGCAAAATTATGGAGTTTTACGCGGAGTCACTAAGATGACACGGAACATAATAATAGCATTGAAATATAATTGACACTGGGATAGGGAATCAAGAATGCCTGTATAGCCGAGTAACTTGGTTTGATCTCTAGTCGGCTCATAAATAATATTTGTGCTCCATGCCCATTTCTCCCATCTAGATTTATCAGCATGTCAGAACCAAGGTATCAATGTAGCTTCAACTTACGGTTTCTGATAAATCCGGATCTGGTAGGAGGAGTATAGTATCCCCCGCCAGCCTAATGTGCTGCAATGTCACAGGGCAATTGTCAAATGGACTGGATGGCCTTGTTGGTGCCTCTGGAATACTGGCTTCTCCTTTATAAAGAAAGATATTATCAGTATTTACTCCTATCATAATAATACTCCCAGCAAATTTGCCGAGTAGAGTACATAGTCAGGTGTCCATACCAGTATTTCCAACAAGGGTACTTCTGTCTGACACGCTATCAGTGGTCAAATCCTTTGTCATCACGGTAATGCGGCTTTCAGAAATGATATTCTCCGTATTGTCATGCTTGACAGTGGTGGTCTGCCGGAAATACTACATTAGATATCTCCTAGTTACCTGGTGATTGATACTTACAGTTGTTTCCTCATAGATAAGCCCATGAGCGGAGCAGGGAGTCAGGTCGGAGTCTCCACATCCCAGCCAGTCAATGAAAGCACGCAACTAAGACATGATAGACAGGTGTAAGATTTTGAAATTGGGCCTATCTGTTGTATGAAAGGATATGCAGTGAACAATCTGGACTGCGTTGGCCTATTAAATATAATCATCCAGTAATGTGCGGGGAATCACACTGGACTTGATAAATCATAAAGCTGTGAACCAATGTGCATCGCACTCGTCCAGATAGCATCATTCTGGTTCTCAATCCATACCGGTTTGGCATGTTGGTCCCGTTCAGACAGATGTCTGGTATGATTATATGTCAGACTGGCATGTGTATGCATCGAATATAATTGCATCATGCATCACCTTTCCCATGTGATCTATTGCAACCAGCGTCAACAGACAATAATAGCACATATTCGAGGTTAGGTTTTGGAGTCGAGTTTAGCTGACGCCTAGTGCGACTAATATTGGCGACTATCTGGCCTATCTTTGGACGAACTAGCCTAGAACAATGTTAGTACAATGTGAGCCCAGGCTTTGCTAGGTCCGGGAGTAAATAGCCTGCCTCTTGGATAAAATCAATCTCCGCCAAGTAATCATCGATTTCCTCTACAATCTCATAATTCGCAAGGCTTGCTCCTGGATTTAGGCCCGCCTTAACTAAGCCTGGCCAAACATCCTCTAAGTATCTCGATATCTTTGAGGGAGCATTGGGATCAGGATCCGTAACAACTACTTTAAGGCCTTTCGCTAGGAAAAACGCAACCCAGCTTGCGCCTATAATACCAGTCCCGATCACGCCTACCTTTCTAGCAGCAGACGGTAACATGTTATAAAGAGAGCAAACGAGCGTTATGGAGGCAAGCACGTAATGAAGAGCTAAGGAAGCTATGGAGAAAGGTAGCAGGAATTGACGTATCTCTTAAAATGCACTGCACTACACCAGAGCAGAGGTGGTCGTGTGAGTAAACCTAATTGTTAAGGCAACATTAGCTTACCTCGGCAGCAGAATTATTTGGTACAGGAGTTGAATTTGAACATTGTATTAAAACGCTACACTAACCCTAGTTAGGCTATTCGATCCTAAATGAGGATCCCATTTGAACATAAATTGACACGCGATGCGATTATAGTGTAGGCCATAAGTTTAAAGTGATACAGTGTAGTTAGCGGTGCAATGATGAGAATATTTTGGACCGGTGTGCATCCGGCTCGCGACATCCCGAACAAGTCCGAGGCCGAGTCTGCGATACGATCACCGTCGAACCACACAAGCATTTCCGAAACTACACAGAATCCTAAAATTAGTTGGCCGTGGCCATGGACCAACGCCGAGGTACCCGCGGAAAATAGATTCCCGCCTTAGGTACTTCGGAATCGGCCTACCATTCCAAGAGTCCTTGTTTTTCTCCTGTCAAATGGGACATCCAGGGGTGTCGTTTCTCGCGCTAAACTTTTCCATAATAAATTAGCAGATGCATTGCGTTAATTCAATGATTGAGCTCTGACTAGTACAATATAAATCTTTACTTATTATGTCCCGTCTCCTATTTTGGACCTGGTTTTAGTTTAAAAATTGGCACATTTCACAGCTCGTTAGAGAATATCTTGCTTCTGCTTTTATATCCACCCTCCAATTCAGACGCATGCAAAAGGAGATTTGCAATCATAAAATTTAGGCCTTTCACTGTTACAAAGGTTAGACGCTGCCACTTTCTTAAGTAATTTTGTGTTCCCTAGACGACAATTCTTTCCTACAGTTGTGTGCCGATCTAACTTGCTTATCTACACTGGCCATACCGAAAGGCTTACCTTAGAATCGGTTCCTTTGAAGCTGAAAGAAAAAAAGTGAACGAGCTAGGAAGCCCACTTACGTCAGTCATGCGGCGCGGCATACTAATATTTATGACCGCAAGCGTTGTGCTTATATTGCTTTGGGTGCAAAACGTCCGACAATTGATAGAGTTGCTGTTGGAAGAGGGATTGGCTGACGCCACTGGCGTCACAGAAAAACCAACGTGAGACACCAGCATGGTTAATCTGCAACCTCGGATTGTCCCCAAAATTATCCGCAAGACCAACAAAAATGCAATGTTACCCAACTTATACCGCCCTTCTTTAAAGCGAGTTGTGTTGACACGCAAGAAGACGACGAGCATATAGTATGGTGGCCGGTGATATTCTAAATAGGGGATATGGACATGTATATGGGGTAGTTTATAGCCTGGAGAAAAGCACACTACTTTAGATGTGGGTAGATGTGTATAACTTTCTGAAAATCAGAAGACCCTCATCAGAACAATTATCTTGTCTGCAATTATCATAGAATGCCTTTTACAGTATACTTTGTAAGAGACTGAGACCCTAGGCATAGTGACATCTCTGGTGCCACTGTAGCGGGCTGAAGCCCTTTAGAATACTCAGGCCGTTGCCATCGTTTGCCTATTCGTCATGTGGTGTATTTCGACCCCTCCTTCCTGTGATACCTCTTTTCTCATAATTTGTTGATTCTCTCTTTCTTTCTTCTTCAGCGTTTTCTTCTTGTTTGATAGCTATGCTAGTTTATCGAACGTTGCGGGTCTTATTCCTTACAGCCACAAGACCTTCACATTCGGCCTATATTGGTGCTCTTTTGCTTTGATGCTCTTTTGTTTTGTTTATTTTTTCTCTAGTTTCTCATGGTCCCAGTTGGTCTATGTGGAAACCCTATTATAGATAGTAAAGGTGGCTATACTACAAAGAATTGGGCGCATAATCCTATTATCGATAATTTAGCAAAGTATCGTGGAGAGCGTTTGCATAAAAAGAAGGTACCTTTTAAAGTATTGGCTCCGGCTGGAGTAATGCCCAAGTCTCCTTATTATCTGGTATATAAATAGGTAAGTTGCAGCTCAGTTCTTACTATGTTCATTGTCTTATAACCAATTACTCACTTTTCTTGGTCGTTATCCTGAATACAGGTGGGGATCGCCGACCTAGATTTGTTCCGGTTACCACTATCCGTGCCGGCTTCCCAGCCTATCGGATCCCTATCGAAGATGCCGAGGTATATTGATTGGGTTTGCCCATAGAATGCGACATTCCGGGAAAATCCAGTAAAATTATGGCAGTCCAAAAGCGAGATACGCTTTAAAAATCTTTTGCTTACGAGGTCTCTGATTGAGTGATGTCAAAAATTGGAGCTCTACACTATAAATTTACCCCAAAAAGGACGGAATATGTTAAGCAACCAGGCTCTGTTTGTCTGTTCTTAGAAATAAGCGGACAAACACTGAATCATGGTGCTTTTCTGGCGGAACCCAGAAGCCCACAACTCCCTTGTTGATGAGAACTCGGCATTTGGCATGCCCAAGAACTCTTCGCGACAGGACACCGAAGCCAAATGGATGGCTGGGCAGCTAAACCATCTGACACAAGAGCAGGACAGCAAACTGTTGAGATTTCGGAACCTCTGCGAGCAGCATGGATATTGTAAGGCCCAAACCAATGATGAATGGACAGATAATGACCGTGCCATACTTTTGTGAGTGGCCTTTCGTCTCTATAAACCTGTTGCTTGTAATAGCATAGGATCTCCTAGAGACATTGACATTGACGGATATACAAGACGATTCCTACGAGCACAGAGGTTCGAGATTGATAATGCACTAGAGCAATTTCGGGATGCATACGAATGGAAAGCAGAACACGGTATCAAATCATTCTACCAAAATATGGACGTGGTGATGTACGAATTCTCTAGGCAGATGGTGTGTTAGGTCATTTCCGTGCTACCTGCTGCAAGTTCATCAACGAAACTTTACTGACAGGCAACGCAATAGTTTTCGCAGTGGACAGGACATCGAGACTCACGAGGCCTCCCAATATATGTATTTCCACTGAAGCATCTCACCAAGGAGAGAATGGAAGCTTTTGTGTCCAAAATGTCACCATTTTCTGTGACACCATCCTCCTCGTCATCACAAACACCGGGCCATTTGATCGTGTTTCATGCGTTGTACGAGAATATGTTGGATTTTGTAATGCCACTCTGCAACCAACTTGAAAGGCCACACATGGAAATTCCTGTTACAGCATCCACACATATTATTGACCTAAGTGGGGTTACACTAAGGCAGTTTTTTGACTTAAAACGATATCTACAAGGGGCCACTTTATTAGCGACAAAGCATTATCCCGAGACGCTTAGTCGTATATTTGTAAGTTTTCTGTTAACGTTCTTCGCTCTTCTGCTCTATCTATTGGAAGACTGAGCCTGACTTGCAATAGATCCTCGGTGCCCCGCCACTATTTCGGACAGCTTGGCAAATAATTAAAAACTGGGTGGATCCTGGCACTCTCTCGAAAATCTCAGTCCTGTCTCCATCCGAATCAAGGCGAGAACTACTAGCCTATATAGAACCCTCCAGCCTCCCAGAGCAATACGGAGGGACACTTAATTGGAAGTGGGGAGATATGCCCAACCTGGATGACCACGGAAGGAGTCTAGCTCCTTCCCTATATCAGAGTGATGCCAGTGGGTCCGACTACTTCATTAAAGGCCCTGTCATCTTCAAGGATGGCGCTATCGAAGGGTTGGGCTCTGCCGAAGGGAAAATAAGGAAGATAGTCATACCAGTGCATAAGCCAAGGGTAATCGGTTGAGCTTAAACACACTTATCCCAAAACGTGTCTTATACAAAAGTCATAATTTTCTTCCATCCTTTTCTCAAAAAGGTGGTCATGGCAAAGAGGATGCCAAGGTGTATTCTTTGTTTCTATCTGCAGAGCGTGCAACCTTGCACTTGGTGTGGGGATAGAAAGAGTTAGGGAGTCGACCAGATAACATCCTTTACTTCCTATGATCATAAAAATTTACCGTTTCCAGTATACGTCACTCTTCGAACCACTATCTGTGACTATTTTTTCAGCAGTCCACAAGTGTGGTAGAAAAGGGGACCAAGGATGGGTATAGCAAGAATATCAAAGGTATCAGGGGCAGGAATACTTGGATTAAATTATTGGGCACCAGCAGTGGATGAAGTTGTCGACAAATTTGTAATTGGATAAACATATGTCTACAAGTCGTCCCGGTGAAGGGTATATCAACTTGCGTTACCAGGCCGCGGAACAAAAGGAGTTTCGGGCCGCGGTTTAATCTTCTCCATTCCGCGGTGCGCGGGATACCGATTGAGCTAACCCGTTTAATGGAAACCTAATAGTCGCCCGTAGCTAGCCGTTTACTTATGGCAGCGGAGACAGCAGGCATAATACCGAGTGCATAATCCCAGTGCTTGCTCTTCTGCTCCTTTTCGTGATACCGATACAGTCAATGAGTTCTTTTTCCTGGCCGCCGAACTGGTGGTGTGTTCTAGGAACAATATCCCTGTCCAATGGGATCTTTTGCTGAACGCCAAGACGGACAGCTACGATCATATGTGGGCCATGATCGTCACTGGCAGAAAGCATCAGATTCAGCAAGGAAATCATGGATCAATGAAACGTTGCAGATGAGTCTGTTTGCGCATGCCCGAATCTTTCTCATACACCTTCCTCCACCACGGGCTGCATGTTGTTCTTCGGTGCTTTTAGCAAACGTGATCTGGGGACAGGGTGAGGAAACGATCCTCTGAGCCCTGAGAAACAGTTCAGCTGTTAGATCCCTAAGAACTGCAGGTCTAGGCTTCCTTGGCTCGGTGACAAGCCATACTCGGCATAATGCTGTAAAAGTGTTATATCAAATGTGGGAATACGGTCGTTTTTTCTTTCGACATTCCTGCCCCTACCCTGCTGATATGGATCTCAAGGGTCGCAGCAAGGCAATATTTATTGTCACCTTGATCTTCCTGGTGATACTACCTTTCACTGTTGCTATGCGATGCTATGTTCGATTGGAGCTCATCAGACCTTTGGACCGGACGATATCCTCATGGTGTGTGCAATGGTATGTTCCCAGGTATACGCTCTGCTGTGTACGGGCGATAAACAGCTGACCTTTCTAATGGCGCTGAATTAATGGTGGTGGTTGGGCCAAAGTGCCTACGTTTTGGTAGTCTCGCTAGCAAGGCTGTCCATCGCGACTCTCCTGCTCCGGATAACCGTTCAACGGCGTGATACCCTGGTTAAATACACCATTATGGTCCTAACAATACTCGTAGATATCCCCTTCTGGTTTGTATTAATGCTATAATGCTCCCCGTGAGAGAGCTCTGGAACGGATAGTACTAGCTATAGTATTAATTTGACATACCTGTGTAGCGCGGTTGCCTGTTTATGCGATTTTACCCTTGAGCTTTATCCTATATACCTTCTCAAAGATCTCCAGGTAAGTCGTCGCTCCCGATGGGGCTGGGGCTCTGGCGCTGGGATGCATATAGGCGCATGATTATCAACATTTCTATGCTCATTTTAGTCTGCTAACTCTCCAAATAGAGCCTCTACAGCTGTAGTTGTCCGCATCCCCTTTATGTAACTGTATGATAGTAGCGATTTCCTCTGTATGCGATTCGATGACCCTTACTGGTACATTGTAGGCAATACCCGAATGTGTGTGCAGACGACACCGCTCCCATTTCTATAGCATCCAACATTGAAGCTGGTCTAGGCATCACTGCCAGGAGTCTGGTCACTCCCCGTCCACTCTTTCACTACTTCAACAGAATTAGGAGGACCATAAGTAGCAGGGACTGGCGAATCTAAGCAATGTGCTGGTGGAAAAGATTGAACGTGGTGAAGCTCCATCTAGTCGCCTAGATAAAAACATTATTGCGACCCGCGAAGAGCCAAATACGAGAGAGATTGGCAAACGAACTGGGAGTCCCATGATTATCCCAATGCCAGCTGGGTTTCGATCGGATTGAATTGGATTCCCTAATTCAGGAATTTAACATCAAGCTCTTCAGAAGTAATAATATGTGCCATCGTACAGAGATGATGTATTCCAAGACTTAATCTTGAAAATCATTGCTGCTACACATACAGCAGCTTGATCCATTCCGTTGTCGAGGAAGGAAGCGCCTACCATGGCTTTTGCCATATCAGCAATGGTAGCTGCACCAATATATCTCTGGTTGGCTCGAGAGCTACTTTTTGACAACGCTGTCGATACAAAAGCTGGCCGCCACCGTTTCCCGTTAAACGGTCTAGTCATAATATATGATGTAGGAACAGCTGTCTCGCTATGAGGAACTTAATGATTGCATCCCCAATAAACGCCATCGAGCGAAACTCAGACCGATGAATGATATCAGTTGGGTTGACTGCAATGGACAGTAAGTCCATTCGTTCAAACTTGGCGGTCAGGGAGCTCGAAAAGATTCGGTCTTTTAATCTTTGAGCAAGCAGGTATACCCCTATCTGATGAATGATGCTGGGAGCTAGCAGAGCAGCTTCCGCAAAGACGGATGGAAGCCGATCAACCAAATATTTTTCACCTGCCAAATGTTCTAAACACGCATTGGCATCAATTCCGGGTTTGAGATCCTCTGTCGGTGTAGCTGTCGGTATTTTTTGACCATGGAGAAAGTTGCGACGTCGGGTCAAGGGGCGTATCTTCCCTCTGATTGTCAAGCTTGCCTCTTTACTATGGGGGCTAGAGCACTCTTTTCCTTCTAGCGGTTCGACAAGTAGTGGACGACACATTTCCGTGACTTGGCGCAAGAGACCAAGCGAGCCGGACAACACTTGACCCCGCTCTAAGCAAACAGCCAGGCTTCTCGTTCCCGAATGACGCTCAAGAAATTGAGATATCACAATGTGGTCCGTATCTGGGACAAGAATGTTAACATAATCGATGTTTGCTGGAGCTCCGTGGCCTCGATGTACAGACTGTAGAATTAAATGTGTCACCTGGTGGCATATTGAAATGTCAATGGTAATTGTTTCAGCCGAGCCGAGAACTGCCGTATATTCCGTGCAGGATCCCAGAAACAATGGAATACGAATATCTATAGTAAATAGGTTGTATAAATGTTGTCATAAGGTAAAGACTAACGCAAGGTAGAAGTATTTCAATTTAGATAGTATCCAGATGCCCCGAGGTGTATAAACTAGTGCTAGAAATATATCCAATGTTCAACTACAGGTAAAGAAATTTTTGATGATGAATAGAGGTGATAAGTGAGAAAGGGTTTCTTGGATATCATACGATGAAGAAGTGCCCAATCACCTGAAGATTTAAGGATTAGAGAATCAGAGCCGTAGATCTTGATGGTAGACCACCTGACGCACGCGTTAATACGAACCAAACTCTAGGTATAGAGTATTATCACTGCCAACCTAAAGGTCGCACTGGGTTAATATTCATGCGTCTTTCTCATCAATGTCACCACTAATGTTGTTGCTGTTGTTGTTGTTGCAGGTGCGGCTAGAGGTTGATGAAAAGTCCCAAGGACGCAGCAGCTGCCCGCACAGAAGCTTGCCCACATGGGTCTTATCGATCTCCTGACAGTCATTCCGGATCTGCGACATGAGCACGTTTAGGAAGCTGAGGGGGCTTTGACGGAATGTTGTTCTCGTTCTATGTTGGCCTTCAGTTGTTATGAAGCCATCAGCGGCAACGTTTACGATTTCCGGTGTTTCGAGAGAGGACACACCGAGAAAATCGCACATCTCGCGATACTCGCTGTATGATCCGATGTACAACTGACCTGCGAAGAGGTTCAATTGTATCTTCAGCGTCTCTGGGATCCGAAAGCTGTAAGAAGTTTCTGGGACGTTGTAGAGCGTCAGTTCGTCTAGCGAGGGATATCCGCAATTTTGACGTGGAGCATATAGATGCATCCGAACCGACTTCGACATGTTAGACATCCCTTGTATTTGGTTAGCCTCAAAGGGGCTAATTATGACCATGTTCTTCACTACGGCATCTCTTGACAGAGGACCGGAGCATCTTGTAAGGATCCACTGTACAGGCCGTTGATACGAGTCCGAGACGAAGCGTGATCCGCTTGGGACTTTGATGGTTCTAGCGAAGTCGGTAGTAACAAGAAGCCCAGCTGGAAATTGAGACACATCTAGATATTTCGCTGCAGTTGTGTTGCTTAGTGTTTCGAACGCAAAGTTGAATGCATCCGAAGGTTGCTTTAGGACGCCCGTTGACACAAATGAAATCAGGTCCGGATGCACGTAATGATCTTCCGGTTTTGCTGGATGTGGTCTTTGGACTTGCCGCTCCTGCTCTATCTCCGGTGCTAATTCACGTTCCTGCTCCTCTTGTAACTGGGTAGACGCATGGTCCAATTGCCCGAACTCCTGACATCGAGCTCGTATGAGGCTAAGATGTTCATCATGAACCACCCCGGAGCGAGAGAATTCATGGCATCTGTTCTGGGGTCGGTACCGCCTTTCAAGCGTCTGAGATTCTGGTTCGAGAAAGCCCTGCGCTTCACTGGCAGACATCGTCTTTCTCTCATCTAGACCTATCTTGTGCCAAAGTTTACGTTGCTTGATATATCTCTCTCCCTGGACCGCCCACAGAGGGATACTGCGACGCAAAGCAAGCCAGGTCTCTGATATGGCCCACCGAAGTACATCCGATACCTCGATATTACATTCATTTTCTTTCCCGGTGAGGGATAGTATTTGAACTTTTATCTCCTCCGGGATATAAAAGGCAACTGACTGCCCTCTTCCCAATTTCCGCAGTCGCATGCATGCTATTTTTATATTTTTCTCGTCAGCTTGCTTTCATACTTTCGAATACTACTATCTCACCTACCTTGAACTAGCTTGTCCTTGGTAATAGCTGCCCCGAGAGTAACAGCTGCGCGGTAGTTCTGTGGAAGCTTCAAGTCGATACCTCGTGTGTGAGCCTCATCGAGAAAGACAAGACATGTCTCAAGCTGTTTAGCAAATGGTGAGGTTTGTAACAACTCAATACGACCATGACGGTCAACAACAGAGACCTCGTCGTTCTCGTCTACGAATACCACAGCCTGAACTGGACCATCATCCTCAATCATTTCCAACCAACCTTGAGCAACTTGTATATTGCTGAGCTCGAGGATCTGTGCCCCTACGTCGAGAATTACTTGGATCGGCGGATCTGATCTTTTCACCATAGCCAGGAGGCCTTTCGAACCAAGTGCAGACCCCTTTATCTGCGTCGGAAGAAGGACGACTGTATTTTCGGGACGAAGCAGGTATTCAAGTACGAGAGCATTGGTATGATTTTGCTCTGGGAGATCTAGTTGCTCGACACAAAGGGGGAGCGTCTTTCGAGAGTCGTTCGTCCCGCTGAATCCAACAGTGGGATAAGATTTTACCTCCCCTATATCCCATCCTGATGCAGACAATTTGTCTGCGAACTCTTTCAATTCCTTTGGAAAAACAATGTAGGAAAGAAAATAATCTATAACACCCTTGGAAAAGCGAAGTGGCGGAAAGATGTAGTTTAGACAATGATGTCTATCCTCCAGATTGATACCTGTCAAGTGATAATACGAAGTGCTGAGCGTTGGCGCATCATCTATCCATATTTGGTACTCCGTGTCCGCTTGATCAGACTTCAACAGATGGTTAAACGCGACGAAAATCTCGTCGTCACTGAGGCCTGAATAATAATATGTGAGTTGAGTTAAGATAATGACCACATCGGGGTGACTAAATTCCGATCTGGGGGCAGGGCTATCTTTTGCTCTGTATGGTACTGAGAGGTTTGTAGGTGGATATCTAGTTGAATCAGGCCCGTAGTTGACACGCCAGCGCTTCTGCCCGAGGCAGAAGGATAAAACTCCTTGAGCAAGTAGCCCTCGTAGCAGAAGAAGGCCATCCTTAACGGTGGCCGCCCAGGGACCTGCCGTGCCATTGCCCTCGACAGTAGATATGGCAGTAGCAGACGGATTAGCTTCGAGAAGATACGACATAACAGCGTTTCTTCTTGTTTGAGATAGCCTCCAAACTGGCAAGGAACCAATACCATTGTCGCAAATGTGCCTCCCGATCCGGTTCAGAAGCTCCTCACCTGCATCGCTATGAAGCAATCGGATCCTAGGGAAGCCTCCTGAGGCTTGCTCATCCACTTGTATTGATTGAGGGAAAACCTCCTTGACTTCCGAAGCATACAGCCTAACCAGACCAAGCAGTTGTTGGATGACGATCCATCTCTGTGGACTCAGCTCCAGGGGTCTTTGTGCCCCCATAGTGTAGACTAGCTCGAACTTAACGCTAAAGTTTTCATCGCTTTCGTCTACAATATCACATGAGTACTGTTTGAGTAGCCTTAAAACCTTGAGAAGAGCATTGCCGATGTCTTTTTTCCCAGCAATGAAGGACTCTATACACATCAGCCTTAAAGAGAGCAGGTGCTCTGGTTGGAGAAGAAGGACACCACCCTTCACCATGCATTCTCGACACATATTTCCTAGCTCATCTGCCTCTGATGCTTGGATTTGCAGGGATCTCGAGATTGGCATGAGATAGACTCGTCGGTCTAATAGACCACCAAATTTTGAGAGGAGCATTTGGAGCATCTGCCGAGACTGCGGCTTCGCCACGAGTATACGAACCAGACTAGCTCCATTTGCACGCGTGGCCGCTACCATGGGTAAAATAACAGATGACTTTCCTTCCCCCATATTTAGCTGCATCACAACGTTTCGCCCGAGGCTACAATTTCTCATCTGCCCGGCAATCTGCTCCTGGACGTCGCGTATGAGGATACCACTTTCAATCTCTAACAAAAGAGACTCTGGAAATTCTTGAGGATCCCAGTTTGTATGGCCTGGATTCTGAAGTTCCCGAATCAGATCGTCGGGGCTCATGCTCAGGGCCACCATTCTCTTTGCCCACTGCAACCTCGTGATCGAGCATCCATAAGTGATGATACATGATTTCCATCCATCAGGTAACTGATGCCACCTATGGCGTGTTAATTGCTGAACGACAAGGCTTGGTGATATTCTAGGGCAATGGCGTATCCGAAAGAGGGCCGCTTGTATCTTGCTATTTGTTGGATTTTCTTTCCTGGAATTATGCATGACCGGAGAGGGCACTATACTTGACTCAATAGCAGCGTATATGTCATTTGTGTGCTTCTCACACATACATACATATTCCAAGAAAATACGTCGCAACTGCGCACCATCAAAGTCTGTATAAGCCGGCTTCCTTGTATCTTGTAGAGACCTGATACTGCTACGCAATTGTTCCACGTAGTTCTTTTCGAATTGAGATTTTGCCTGTGATACTAGATCCATAACAAATTGTTCGAGGCATGGGGTCTGCTTGACATCTCCAGGGGAAGTGCGCAGAAGCCTAGGACACTCTGGCCCTTTTATTTCCAAGATCGGCGGTTGGCCTAAAAGATCATCGAGAGTGAGAAATCCTCGTCTGCTTAGTGGAAAATGTACTGGACCCAGGCACTCAGGCGCATTCAGGGCGGGCGCCTCAATGTAATGGGCCGGTTGGGAGGACAACACCGCCGCGATGTTGCTAAGGTATTGTCTAAATTCGCGATTCGCGAACCACGTTTTGAAGCTGCTGCGTGCCACCACCATAGCTTTCCCAACTTGAAAGTACTCTCGAAACCCTGGGGTAGCATTTTCGGTGGGTGTTGTTGGGGATAAAACAGGCCACTGAGTTTCGAGCTCATCTATAAACTGATCGCGGGCTTGTGTCCTGCGCTCTTTCAAAATTCTATCCCAACGCTGCTTGAATTGCTTCGCGGTCTCGTGGTGGTTACGGCTAATATTTTGCTCTGGGATCACCGTCCGCTGAACAGATTGGATGCAGGATTTAAGACTGCTGCCGTCAAATTCATATCCCTGCCCCAGTTCGTATAGGTTATTCGGTGGGAGAGTAATACGTGCCATTTGTGGCAGCACGTGGAACGAGGCGAGCGTGGCAAGAACAGGCATGCTAGTACCTTCAGCAAACCCCAAGGTAGCAAGCCATATCATGAGTTGAAACCTATTTAACGGCGATTCTTCCGAGCATACCATCCCATGGATGCTGCACCAATACAGGGAAAGAAAAAGATTGGGCTCCACGAGCAAGCCCGCATCGTACTTCATGTCTCCGATATCGAGTGGGGCACCAAAACCCCACGTCTTGTTCGATTTTGATATAAACTTCCAGAGCGTCGAGACCAACTCACTGGCTGTGAACTGTTGCATACAAGGAATCTGATTGTAGACTATGCTGCAAAGCTTGAGGACGCGCGAGACCGCTGCCGAGTCGCGGTGATCATCCAAGCCACAGTAATCACGGTCGTAATCCTTTGTGTATTCCTCGGCCCCGAATGTAGAAACACGAAACACAGACGAGCGAATCTTGTCACGCTTCTGCAAATCCCAACCCACTGGAGGAAGCGGTGGATGTGCCGTTGCTGTGTTTGGATGAAACATAGCCATGCGGCGATCATGTTCGAAAATTGCAACTACTTCCTCGCGGAACTCAGCATGTTGCACCAGAAAGCCGAGTTCCTTGCGCCATTGGACCTTTTGCATTACACGCTCATTTGCAGGATAGTACGTACGAGATGGGGTGAGCTGTGCAATGTGGGCCAAGACTGCGCAGTTTTCCGATCGTAGACGCTCAAATGATCTCAGTGCAGCAGAGCGAAGGATGGACAAGGCTTGCTCAGTCCCCGTCTTCTGCGTAAGTGGATCGGGTACGCAAAATGATGTCAGAGCATGCAAATAACAGAGTAAAAGCTTGCTCTGTAGACTCCCATTGTCACTCAAGTAACCTAGGTCTGGTTGTACTGCGTATGGGTGAAGGTCAGTAACGGCCCGCCAACCAATACTGACCTTAACATGATCGGCATCCTTCTTCCAGTCTACTGGACCCTCTGGTATGAGGGCCAATCGCTCATGGTTGTCCTTGCCTCTAAGGATGAGTTTATTGTGTAGGCCAATTAAGGTGCCTAAAGACTGATCGGCATCTATCAACATGCCTCGATACTGTCGAGAGTGAACCGAGGAGCTTCCTGATTCGAGGTCGAACTTCAGCCGAAGCCGGGGAATGTCAATCTCCAGGATAGAATGCAGGGTATTGAATTTACATTGTATCCTTCGCGGTCGTTCAATTGGTTCCAGAATATCCGATATCAATTTCGCCGTGCGGCTCCTCACGTTGATCATGAACACACTGTCTTTCTGGAGAACCCATCCAGTCCGGGAATGATTTCGGGTCAGCCGCCAATAGGCAGGAGAGGATTGCCATGGTTCTTTCACGGGTCGAAACTCCACATAATCACCACTTGGATTAAACCAGTGTACACACTCCTCCACAAAAGTGTCTGGGAACAGATTAGCTAGCAAGCTCGGCTGTATGAATTCCCACTCCTGGCCGTCTCTCATCGCCCGCACGCAGAGGCTTCCTTCCTGCGAACCAGAGATTTGTTGCTTTCCCAAGTGTACTGTATGCCCCATGTATTCCTTCTGGCAAGAAAAGCTCATTCCCGGACGGTCACTAGGCATCACTTCTAACAGCGACTGGCCAAAAAGCGTTTTGTAACTCTCATCCTGTTCGTAGTCTCGGGGCAGACGAGCCAACGGTAGACCGTTGATGAGCAGCTCTCCTGTTAGTAAGTTGAAGTGTATAAGCGAACCTTGACCTTCAGCCGAAGAGCCCGTCGCCTTGCTGAACAACCAAGGGTCAGTTCCTCCTTCCACCATGGACCAACCGGACCAACCCGGACCTGGGCGGTACGCTGCCCATGTACGTCCGATAGCTGCTCCAAGCGCCATAGTTTTTCCCAGGCAGATTTGGCTCGCAAGGAAGATGTAGCTTCGATGTGACAATACCTGCCAACGGCGATACAGCATTGTAAGTAAGGGTTCCGAGTCGGCTGCAATTGCATGCCACTTGTCGTGAATAGCCATGGAGCATTGTATGAAAATTGACGCGTCGGACTCGTCTTGGAGCATCTGTTCCAATAAGGTGCCTTCGGAGTCAAAGGACCCAACACATATCAACGCAATATGAACATGCCGCGCAGTAAAATTGGCTCGGCGTCCATCGTCTGTTGCGCTGCTTGCTTTCGTCCCAAGCACCTCGACCCATCTGAAAGCTACGCTTCGGAGGCGGCTCAAAAGTAGCAAACACTGATTGTGAATTTCGCGGCGAGTGGATAAAGATACTATTCGTAGTACAAGAGAGATAAGTATGTTTAGCACTTGTACTAACTCCCAATTCTCTTCAATCCTTTGTATAGCCTTATTTACCTGGTGCAGCATTGCACTGGCGAATTTTGTGTCTTTCAGAATTTTATGCCCGTTTCTTAAGGCTGAGTCTCCAGCGGGGGGCCCTGCTTGGTTAATTATCTGGAGGACAAATATTGCAGTTTCCGGTTTCTTAAACACAACTAATGGCATGGCTAACTGGTGGAGAATGTTTTGCCATTGAATCTTGATGCCACATGGCATATTACACAGCGCCTTGTATTCTGCCAAAGACATATCTTCCGCACAAGCATTCTGCAACGCGATAACCATGTTTGGGGACTCACCATTCGGCTTATCGGCTGGTCGGAATAGAAACCGCTGCAGGGGGGAGCTTGAATGTGGCAATTTAATCATACACGAGTTAGCAACCTCATGGGTTGACTTAAATTGGCTGACGAAGGACTGGGTACAATTGTCGAAGTATTCCAGGTGCAGGCCGTTCGCAAGACATACATCTGCCTCGCTCACGGCGATGATCTTTTTCGCCCGTCGATGCGTCCGTTCGTGGGGTTTGACTTGCGAAAGAAGGCCGATCCGACATGCACCGTCGGCGGGAGTATAAAATGCTGACAAGCCACTATGGCTCTGGGGGCTATAGTGTGCTATTGGATTCACTATTGCCAGGTATTCGACACGCAGAATGTCTAGCATAAAAAAGATCGTAACATCACGCCACCATGCGAATGGCTGGGGGACTTTCAGTTCGAACACTGTCGACTTTGCTTGCAGGTGATTTGCCGGGAGAGGCCATTCGTGAACTTCAATTTGCATGGAGTCAGCTTCTCTCTGATGCCTACATCTAAGACACGAAGCACGGTGACGTCTCTCCCAAATGTCGAATTCCTTATCAATAGCGATTTCATCATATGTACACTCCATAGAGTCGACGAGGTGGTACAAATGTCTATATTTTTGGTGTTTCTGCATGAGCTCAACTAGCTTCTCTGCACGCGCTCGGCTTGCGTGTTCTTCGATCATGGTATGTAATCTATGATGCTCCTGGGATGATTGGAAGTACCGGACCGAGAAGCAGGAAGGTGTGCCAAAATCCCGGAAAATTCCTGGTCCGGAGAACTTGCAGCGCTCCTTTCGCTGCTGCAAATATTTTTCAGCCCGAGCAAGCCTCTCCATCTGGGACCGGAAAGGGAGCAGAAGTGATTGAAATACCTGTGTAGGGATACAAGTATCATAGTCGTGGAGGATCATATGTATATGGGCGGCGGATTTATCACATGCGATCCACAACTCCAGAATAGTAAGAAACATGACGGATTTAGCCTCGGGGTTGGAGGCATAAAATTCAATTGCAGCAGTGTAGTAACGGTCTATCAGGTCAGCCAACTGGCCACACGTGGACTCGCTGGCCAAATGATTCTCAAGCCAGCCATCAAGTGATGTAGCAACCCACTCCTCAAATGCTGCGAGATTGTATGTCCGGTATCTGTCATTCACAGAGTACAAATGTCCTGGGAGTTTCTTGCTTTTATAAATCAGCAGCTTTGATTCGGGTACGAAGTCAACCCACGGTAAGGCTCGCTGCTCTCCTCGCCTTTTTATGCCTTGAAGATACTGATCAAGGGCAGGCAAAACGCAGTACACGTCGTCGTGGAAACTCAATTCAGTCAGAGAATGTAGGTCTTTGTGGTAGTGGCTCTTCTCTTGAATACTGCACCAGCGGCTTTGGATAGTGTCGCTTGCTATCGCGAGGGCACGCTGAACGGAGGTGAACCAAATGGGCTCGGCGGTCAAATTCAACTTTTGCAAACGGCGACCAATTTTAGCGCTCATAGCGTATATAGACTCCACTGGCATCACCTTTCTGGACCCAGTGAGAATATCGCTCATGAGGTAGATCATAAATTGTTTGTAGAGATCTTCCGGAACCACGCTATTCTCTGACAACCTACAGAGAGCCAATTGTAAGACCACACGAATCAGGAGCCAGAGCGAGGACCTGCGCCATGGATATCGACTTTCATGCCACATCACCTCTTCACGAGTGTGTTTCTGGATCTGTCTTTCCTTTACCCCGATGCACATTGGGCGTAGGAAAGCCATAAAAAACTCCGTTACCATCTTGGGATCGGTGGTATCTCTATCCTCATCGTGCTTCCCCCCCGCTTTCTTCACCTTACTCATTGTTCCTGGGACAGATTGGTGGCTCAACTTTGCCAGGGTTTGGGCGATTGTCTCCTGCAAGCCTGGCTCTGTGAAAGTTGATATATCCAACGAAAGTGTTGGCCCCGGAAAGAGTCGTTTCAGCCGGCCGACAGTCGTGACCACGGCTTCGTTGCGAGCAGACAACTCCCAGGACTCGACGTGTATCGCGTCACCCACTCTAGTCATTAGTACGGCGGCATTTTGGCGGTGAAGATGTATAGGAAGAAGCCCTCCTGCAACCAGTAAGCAGACGTCCGTTACGGTTCCAGGCAATATTGTTACCTTCAGTTCCCAGCTGTCCCAGGGCCATTTGGAGCATTTCTTCATTGACATCGCCATGAATCCCACAGATATGCCTCAAGCGAGTAAGCATCGTGGTGACAGCAGCTAAAATGCCCGCCTGTTCAGCAGATTCCTCACTTGCGAAATTCTGGAGAGCCTGTATGGTCCGGTCAAGTAGGGTTATCTCATGCTCAGGTGAGTAATCATCCCCTTCGGGGAGCTTGGGAGGGAGAAAGACATGGTGAAACATGTACAAGTGCTCGGTGAAGGACATTCTTAGTGCTGCAGATGTATGAATACTTTGAATGGAAATATACTAGATTGTTTACAGAAGGATGGTAGACATACCTGACCCTTTATAGAAAAATCGGGCTAGGCGATCAATATTGTCCCTTGAACCAGCTAATATGTTGTCTGTTATCGCAGAGCCTGTGAGTGAATTTCTCTAGGCCTATCCCTTGGCTAACGGAAGGTCATAGCAATCCAAATAAAATATCTTGTCCCCATACTTTCCATGTGACTGTCAAATTCACTAATTGCCTCCATTTCGATGCATGTGGCTTGATTACCATAGTATTCAACAATCTACGTACTTCCGCAGGTGGTCAATTCACCAAGCATATGTCAAGTACCTGCGATACTAGGTGATTTCATGGGCGCATTCAATAAGTAGCGAACTAGTCAACAGAACCACGAACCTTTTGATTCGCTGTAGAAAGAAACTAACTAAAAATAAACCGGATTGTTGAGGAGAATGGAATTAGTGAATATTAATTAGTTGACTGAGCCATCGTAGGAAGGGCCATGGTGAAGGTCCTTCGGAGACTTTGCCCGGGCCTACAGTTGTACACGGTCTCCAGTAGACCTCGGCAAAAACATTTGGAGGGCCGGTACCCCCAGCCCTCCGCCCTTTGCCTATCCTCGCCCGGCCTTCGGCCCTCAGAGGGCGCCTTCAGGGGCTCTTATCAGCTCTTATCAGCTTTTATCAGTCCTTGTCTATTGAAATACTTTTACTTTTCTTTTATTAGTGTACATAAAAGTTATATTTTACTTCTTGTTTTTGATACACTATTAATATATATATATATATATATTATATTTATTTAGATTTAAATTCTACTTTAAATAACCCTTATAGCTATTGAGGGCGGCCCTCCGCCCTCATTTTGCGGGTCTGCCAGCTGCCCTCAGAGGGTCGCCCACGGGCTAGGGTGAGGTCTACTTTGGGTATTGTAATTTTGTAAGTATTCTGTAGGCTTACTAAATAGTTATAGAGACATAGTTAGTTTGCATAACTATAACGATAGTCAATAATTTGTCCCTAAATATGAGAACAAACTTTCGCACTTTGGACTTTTGTACTATATGAATACTAATTTGTATTAGACCAGTACATACGACCACAGGGTGTGGAGAACAGGGCTTCCCGTCCGCTCAGCCGTACTTAAGCCACACGCCGGCTGGTTAGTAGTTGGGTGGGTGACCACCAGCGAATCCCGGCTGTTGTATGTTTTTCTTTTTTCTATTCGAATCTCATTGGATTGTCCTTGCTTAGTATTTTGTTTCACCCTATTCACCCTCGTTCAAGTTAACTAAGTTATAGCTGTAAAGGATTAGGCCCATCAGAGGTCTAGGCAATCAGTGAAGTGAGCGGTGGTCATGTGCTACCTACCCTTTGTCATATAAAGGTAGCACAACATGATAGCTTCATGTTCTCCTTTTTCTTTTTCCCTCTTTAGCTGAGTCTTTTCGTGCTAGACCACCTAATCAATTCCTTGATTCAGCCAGGGTCCCTTATAGGGTCCACAATATTAAGGGAAGAGTACATCTCGCTAGTTTTCTGAGTCCCACCCTTTCCACCACCATCTTTGAAAATTACTCCGGTATTAACTCGCAGGGAGCTCAGCTACCTACTCAGCGATTTAAGAATGAACGGCCAAGCTTTGGCATTCGCCAACCCTAGAGCTGAGCATATTGCACTTCGAAAGGCTCCTCGCTGCGTTTATTGTGGCGGACGTACAGAGAAGGAGGACTGTCAGCCATCCAATAAGAACGGTAATGCGTATCGTCCATACTATAGCTGCTCTTCTTGTGAAGAGTTCGCTTGCTTTGGAGATATGCGAGGTGTGTTGGCAGAAAATCCCACATGCTACTGTGACCATGGAATGCAATTCAGCAGACGTGGCATAGCAGGTCCGGATGGCGGAAGAGCGAGATTTCCACGGTCAATATTCTATCGGTGCGCTACGGGGGGATGTTTATTCTTCGAACACATGACAGACAGTCATGGTAGGATCATTATTTATGATGGTCCTGTCACCCCGCATGATTTGGCTTTTTCAGGGCTCTAAGGGCCTCGTTCTCGGCACAAGGTATGTGCTGTTGAGGCTCTCTGGTCTCATATAATAGCCCAAAGTTGTCTAAAACCTTTAATAACATTTTAGATTACAGCGACCCATATCAATGCTGCAAATATAGAGAGCAGTAACTCATTTATTTTCAACATTCTGAAAGACTATTCTGATTCTCAAACAATCAAAATCGGACCTTGCCTTGTCTTTGGCTTCCCCTTGCTTGCACCTGTGTAGCGTAAATATCTGTACCGCACTACATATCATCGTTCGGTTTATCTCTACGCTGCTAAAATATGGGGCAGAAGGAGCTTTAACCGCCCCAAATTTCTACTTTCAAGCACGCATGGCGAAAATGGCTTTTGGCATTCTCCTCCTTTGCACCAACCATGTTGATACACCATTCGATAAAGATGACAAATCCTTGATCGAGATCTCTTTCATAGTAACTCCAGTTATGTTTAATAAATCTTTTAAGCTCAGCAGGGAGTCTTGGTGCCATGCCGTCGTGACAAATCTTGTCTTGGATAACCTTTGCAGGCGTGCAAGAGTGATGGGTGAGGAAGCTGGACGCTGCCGACGAAGAACGTGCAGGAGGGGCACAGAAGTAGAGTAGCGTTGTGTACATTTATGTGTGTATGTACACAGTAGCAACCAAGAGGAGACTAGCCTGTTCTTCTGAATCCTACCCTCTTGTCACACCCAGATTCATCTACATAAACAAGGTGGTATGAACAAAAGTCTGACATAAAATCAGAGTACACATCACGTAGATCCGCATTTCGCTCTCCTGCTTTATACTTGGCAGCCTTTTTTGACCACCCTTCACGCTTCAGAGTGCGACTAATGCTGCATGTGGTTACTGAAACTCGTCCCATAGGAAAATCGCCATCTCGTCAAGGTATAAATGGGGCTTCTCGAGGAGATGATCACAGAGGGCTTTAATCATAATTGGTGTGTCTCCGAGGATGGCCGCCGTTACTTGGTGGTGTCTTCATATTCCCAAACATTTTCACGTTGGTGACATGCCTAGTGATAGTACTTGGATGGCAGCTAGCCGCGTTGGCAATCTACGAGTGGGTAAGTCCATTGCTCAAAATCATATCACGGATAAACTCCAGGGTTGACGGAGCCAGGTTGTGGGCTATCTTAATTGCCCTACGAGCTTGATCGACGTGATCCTCTGGAAAGATCCTTGATAAAAACTTCTGGAGATATATCCACGTGGCATGAAGGGTGTGCCTGTATGTGGGGATACAGGTATTGTAAGATATCCTGTGTCATGAGACAGCACTTACCGTGCAATACAGAGACATGTAACAAGGGCTGTCAGAAAGACTTACTAAAGAGACTTAGCGTGTTTTATATGAGGGTTCCTGAAAGTGTCTAAGAGTATAAGTATTTATGCTACTTCTATAACCAGCTATAGACTATTATCCCTGGCAAGCACACTGGATAACTGTTATTGTTAAGTAGTTAGAACAATAGATTTCTATCTTCTTATAGTGTCCAGTGTCAGTACTCTCTCGTTATATGAAGGGAAAGTAAAAAGAATCCACGGGCAGCCTTGATTGAATATGCCGACTGTCTGTTCTACCAGGGATGTGTGATCTAGCGATAAACCTCGGTAAATTCATTAAGATACAGCCACAGATATTCAAGAGGCCTGCAAAGCCGAGGATACAAGATTGGTTAGTGAGGGACTGTTATGGTACTCTGCAGATTGAGAAAGAATAGAAGCAAAGAATAAAGATATCTTTAAGAGTAGAGATTCCTACACAGCACTAAACTACCCCACCTAGTCCTACAGTTAATTTGCCTAGGAAAAGGCATCCTACAGAGCCTACTCCAATGTTGGAAGATGTAGTTATATTAGATGATCCTGTTATGGTTGCTAAATTGGTTAAATAATTGAACTTTCTGGGGCTTTTTCCCGTTGAGCTGAAAATCCTGTTGAGCTGGGGAGGCCCCAAACCGGAAGTAGTGTGGGGGGTAATGGGCCGAGTATATCTGAAACTGATATTAGGTGCTAGTTAAACTGGGTATACTTACTTACTGGACGTGGGAAGGTCCAAGGCCTTAGCCAGGCTGATTTAGAGGCTGGTAAATATCTCGTTGGGAGTTGGACGGAGTGAGAGGAAGTCGCATGAATATGCGTTGTGTTAGGTTATTGAATGCCTTGGCCGTGGCTCCTTATCGATCGAGAGGAATTTTGGCAGTAATAGAACAAAGAGATTCATTCCTAGTAAATCCGCATGCATCCCTGTTTCTCGCCAGCTATAGAGAACTCCGGTAAATATATAATCACAAGCTAATTTAGGGGCCCAACTAACGGTGCAAGAAATATTAAATAGCGTAAGATGGTCCACAATCTTATTACCAAACTCCCAATTCACCTCCTTTTGGGTATAATTCGAACGCAACATGGCTTGATTCCAAGGAATTCTAACCGATCAGTAAATCAATAAATTCTAGGGGGAATGGTTCTGTTACATTGGTACGAAACACCGCAAACATTATATCAATCCCACTCGACCAAAAGTACCAGCTGATATCTAGTCGTACTTTGGGTTGGTTGCGACGTTTGATTAGGACCTCTAGAAGAATCATAGCGGGATCTACTAGTTCGAGAACGTTTCAATTAGGTTTGGCGCGCAGAAGACTTGTATACAGGACTGGGGACACAATATTCAAACATGTTAGGGTGAGATATAACAGGCAGGAACCATGGATCATTTAAATAAGCGAGATATACCTCCTTTGTTAGCTGAGCTTTCTCAAGCGGTGGTTAGTATGGACGGTCGGGTAACTCTGGGTACCACTCGGGAACCTGGCTTCCAGCTACCTCTTTCGGAGGGGATGGAGGCGCCTGGTTCCTTGGGGGTATTGTCGCGAATTCTGGATGCACCGTAGGTGTTTTGCTTTTTCCCGACTGAGACTGACAATATTTAAGGCAAGTAAGCGCACCAAGCAGTAAAACCGCAGGAACACCAACGCCAACTCCAACTCCAAGTGCTATCTTTGCGGTGGAATCAAGGCCAGGTTCAGATGCCGACGCTGGGGAGGTTTCTGTTGGAAGAGACGGCGTGGTACTTGCTGATGAGGAATTTGGTGAGGTTGTTGACTTCGGTTCGAATATCGAAGTCGCTGTATAAAAAGTTGACGCACTCGTAATGCGTGCCTTTTCGGTTATATTGAAGTAATTCGAAGTAAATCCTTCGGGAGTATTGGTATTTATCCAGAAGAAGAAGATTGGCGAGTCTTCAAGGCTGAAACCATAAGTGTGCACCGTCCAGGTGAAATTTGTCACCCCAGTGTTGTGTACCTGGGCTTCAAATTTCGGCTTGGTTGTTAGTCCGATAGTTCAACGTAGGAAGGAAATAATGAAAACGAAATACCAATGTGTACAGAATATGTTTCCCATATTTGCTCCGCTCCTTTGAGAAATACTTTGCTGCCACATAGAGACGTTAAAAGCAGTTAGAGTTGTCACCCATGAAATCTCTTGCTGCTCCCCGAGAACCCAGATGGGGTTCTCAGCCGAGTCAGCGGCAGGGGGATTCACGAATCTGTTGGAACTCTTTCCATTTCCCTGTGCCACTACGGTTTGTCGATCACAAAGAGTATCATCAATAATATATGCAGAAACGAACTGGGAGGCCATTGATTGTTCATGGTGGCTCAGACGAGTGGGAGGAGTGGAGTATAATTCTGAAAGAGACGATGAGAAAAGGAAAGTCTTAGGGCATTGTAGGCTCTTGAGGGTAGCTGTCAGCACGCTTAAGATGTGCTAGGCAAAAGACGACTTGTGTTCATATTTATGGCGCAGCTGCATTAGTGGCCTTTCTAGGAGGGACTAGTACCAACTTGGCGTTAGATTAGGACTAGTATGGTTGATGGCCATTTGATAACAAGGAACCCTGACACGATAATTCTAGGGCAATGGAAATAAGGGCGCTTCGAGTGAGCCCGAGCAACAGCTAGGCTGGGTATTGTTTTCTCAGCCTAGCCTATCATAATGATTTGAAGGAAGTCCCCTAAATTGCTTCTAGATCAGAGTATCTCGGGCATGTGCCAGGTACACTATATATAGTCTCCCTGATTCATTCGGAAATCGAAGGCCCATTGTACATTAGGCGGAAAGGGAAAAAATGCGGCAAGCGCATAATATACTGTGGGAATGCCAGTCTTAAAGAATAGTGTTTATACACTTCCTATGATACTCTAATGTATACCGGTATTGTCAAGCATCTTCAACGCCCCTTCCGGTAACTCCAACTGTGTGGGGTCTATTTCATAAGCCGGCGCGTCGTCCGATACTGCATGTACTGTACGTTCACCGGTCAACAAGCGGCCAGCATTGTACATGGTACTGTATATAGATCCAACTGGTTTCTCCTTTTCTATCCAACCATCGTCATTGTGGATGTCCGATCCCCTTGCCTTTGGCCCAGCCGCCTTCCAGGCTCCAATTAATGATGGAAAGGGAGCAATACACCTTAACCAGCCTTTTTGGCAGTACCGACTCATTGCCACATCGAACTGAGCACCGTCACCCTCCGGTGTCAAGGAAAGAGCTGAAAGAATCTTTTGGGCTCCAAGATAGGTAACCGCGTATCCAAGAGAACATACTCCCTCCTCTGCCCTTGCCACCAAACGGGTGCCATTGTCAGCACCCACGGGAGGGTCGCGCCAGTACGGCGGTAGCTCAGGGACTGGAACGACCGTGATATCATCAGTTGTCACATGGATCGGACCAGCCCTGAATGTTATCCCGCAGTGCCCTATCCAGAGAAGGTCCCAGGTGTCACCATAGGGTGAATGTTTAGGTCTAGTATCACCTTGCACTATCTGCGAAGCGGATGCAAATCTTTGAAGCTGTTTCTTTAAGTTGACATCCCAGTCCGCGTCATCCTCAAGGACGAATGCGGTGGAGACCCGATCCTGTACTATTCTAAAGTATAGCAGTCGTTTTAGCACGAATGGTAGGAACTTCTAGAACTCTGCCCATCTTCCCATACCTTTGCATGACATTCATATGCGCCCGCCAGCCCCCGAGCTCACCTGGTAAATAGCCAGGGTCCCAATTCTAAGACAAAATCGCAAGACCTTAGTAACGGCTCCATAGGGTGTCCCGAGCGAGAGTGATACTTACTGAAGGATATGCTTTTTTGTCAATATCCTTTGCAAACACCCCGTTCATGGGCTCCGGATGAAACTGTACGATCGAGGAAGCCAATGTTATATAATCGCGCTTGTCCGGCCTGTTCGGCAGGTTGATGAAGAACACCCTCTCGAACTGGTTCAGAAATACTATCAGCGACTAGCATGATCATATGTGCTGCGCGTAGGCAGGATTACCCCAAGAGACTCATTTTTCACTGCATCTAGATCGCGGAGGGTTGCACCGGGCTCGCTTGCACTCGCTCCTGTATACGATGGATGTGGTAGCGCCCAGAAAAGCAAAAGAATTAATACAAACAGAGTAGCAGCCTGTAATAAAGGACGATTGATTAACTTAATTAACCTGGCGGGGTTGGCCATTTTTCCTGATAGGTAAGGAGGAAAAAAGGTCGCCCGTCAGCCCGTGAACATTGGCGGCGATAAATAAAATAAACGGACTTTGAAAACATGCAACAGTCCGCGACGCCATTTTAACACGCACTAGCTGACCAGAATTGCGCTAACAATGATGGAGTGTCAGAAAGTAGGACACAGTTAAATTTCTGTCACTTGTTCTAAAACGGTTTCCCGCCCCACAGACTGCTGTTCAGGTCATTAGCCAATTCTTTTTCGGTTTTCCTCCAGGGCAGTCTATCTAGTTGATATCATATTCCCTGTAAGCGTCTTGGCCAGCGCTTATCATTACGCAGTCGGGCATGGTGAAGAGGAAAGCACTCGTAGACTGGATGCTTTGTCTTTTATATAACCGTAAGTCCTTCTGTGATGCCCTAGAAAAGCACCCCTACTCGGAGTGAATATATAAAGATCTGGCACCGATAACAGGGAGTATCTGGAAGAAATAAAATAACAGAATGTGAGAATGGGACAAATACCACCACGGTGTGTATTTTCCAAATCCTTAAGCTGCCAGGCGGGCGTCGGCGAGGAGAAATGATACACAACATGTAGCCACCCACGTTTAAAACAAGCCTCTGCTATAATTATTGATCGTTCTCTACTCACTTTGGCAGCTATCGTCTGAAACAGAGCCCCTGAACCATCATCCAGAGAGGCAAATGGGGCACCCCAGGGCCAAGGGTCTTTCGGGGATATCACCCAATCGTCGAATGTGTTGCGGAGTCAACGTTTAAGCGCCCGTAATTTGGACCAACCAGACCCGCAGGTGATGATTGCCATGGTGATGTCCACTCATTATTGGTATTTGTGGTGGACAAATAGTAGACTCCAACTGATCTCTTACCTAAATCGCCGTGATCGTCAGCTGGGCACGTTGCTATGAATCAGAATACTCGCCCCCGGACACTGGATTTTCCCTAGTCTAATTATCATTTTCTACCAACCGTGCATTTTAAGAAGCTATTTACAGCACTTGCCCCCCCTTATCTACACAATAAAGTAGCTCTCCGCCTGGCCCGGTCTCCCATCTAAGCTCTGTCTTCCTTTTTTGGTTCTCCGCAGCCTTAATTTGGCCATTGCGCAGCATTTCATCGCATTGTTTCCTAGCATCCCACGCACACCTCCGCTGCTCTTTCTCTGCCTCTGTAATATCCCGCGATTTTATATAGATATTTATATCTTTGACAGAGAGAGGTCCCCCCTGTAAGAAACTGGCGTTTAGTTTTAGAAGAACTCGCCTACTCCCTGTTGGCAAGAATACATGTTATACCAGCAGTAGTCTGGGCAGCTAATTCCGCCTGGATAAGACTAAAGTAGAGTTAAGATGGCACTCAAGCTTAGCTATATTAATAGTAGCAGTGGTGAAGGCCTCTTTAAGAGCGGCCATACTCTTCTGGACCTTGGGAACATCTTGTGACAACCTTTTTAGTGTCGTTGGTGATAAGTTAATAGGAGAACTTGACTCTGGCGGTGTTTAGTAAATATTCCCCTAATTCTGCCTCGAAATTGTAAATATTTCTTAATCCAACTTTATAGGTCTGCAGCGCTGCTTCTAAACAATTAAACCAGTCAGTTATTGTCAGTAAACTCTCAGAATCCATTCTCTCTGCCTCTATTAGCTTCTGTACTATATGACTGTAATTGTCAGGGAGGCACTTGATTAAGCTATAGACCTAGTTTTTGCCAACACGTCGCGAAGAACCACTGCGCGCTAATATTTCATTTGCACAACTCTCAATATCCTGTGATCTTGGCGGAGCAGTAGCATCATCAAGAATACCTATCCAGAAAATTAATGCCTGCTCCTGAGTCTTATCCGGCGCTTTATTTGGACCAGTGCGCGCTGAACGAGATTTGCAACCCTGAACGCGTCCCTTTAGCAGCTGGTAGGAAACACTAAATTCTCGTGCCAATAGTGCACTTTTTGGTTTCTTGCGCTCATGATAAGCGCGCAGGGCATTATTGAGCCGATCCTCAATTTTGCTGGAAATTTTAGACATTTTGATGGTTGGTAGAAAATGATAATTCGATTAGGGAATAATTAGACCGGGAAGGCCCGAACCGCAGAGCGGTGAGGGCCCGTGGGCGAGTAGCACCTTACTAGGCCAATTAGTATGATTTGGGTCCTTGGCGAAAATTTGTTCCTGCTATGGGGGCGTCATCGGAGGTCTGTCCAGTCGTATCTTTTTTATCTAATATTATTACACAGTAGACGTGTAGGTAGACGTGTAGATAGAGTATAGATAGTGGTATTCCCGCATATCGCCCCGAGTGTTGGATCCCGTATCATGTGACAATCTGATACACCATATGTGTAATATAGAACTAGAAGGCTATGCAGCTGGTGCGCTGGGCAGTATGAAGGCAGCTACTACGGTTATAAATAACCGTACCTGCTCACATAGATAGTTAAAAAAGATCATCACACTTATACCTCAGTTTAGAGTTATAAATCCGAGACGAGGGTTAGGAGTATGAATCACCATCATCATCGTCATCATCATCGATATTGCAAAGAACTCGGGGGAAGAGCTTAATAGGGGTCTTCGGTATAGGAGGGCTGCAATGTAGAAGTATTGACTATACACCGACCATCATATAGATCGGAGGAGCTTATAGAACAACGATATATTCAGCTATCTCATTGGGTTGTTCTCATTAGGAGTGTAGGGTCAATCCCTATTTATCGTATGCGTAATTGTACGCGGCTCCCCAGAGGATTGGCTGTGACTAATCCATAGATCCACTGCTTCGATATAACCTCTATCCGTGACAGACCCGCTAGTCCAGATATAGCTAGGCTTTCTATATTTATGCCAATGAAATCAACTGGCAATGCATTACTCAGGATAAATTCTATCCATCCATAGACTGGAGGACCCACACCTTTATGAGAAGAGAATAACAGCACCCGGGCACCGTTTTTGCAATTTAGTGTACTGCATACCTGCAGGCGGCTGCAGAATTGAAGGCGCGAGGCATTCCGCTTCGCCTCCAATGGATCCCGGGACACTGTGATGACCCTGGAAATGATGCAGCTGACAAGCTAGCCAAACTGGCAGTGGGCCCGAACAAAATGCACCCTTTCTGCCGCCTTGCCTCACAAGAAAGGGCGGTCATCCGAAAGCGGATCCTCGAAGAATGGGAACGCGAATAGAAGACATCCAAAAAGGGGGGCCACCTCCGCCGGATCGACACAAAGTTGCCATCAATCTACACCTGACGACTATACGGTCCGTTGCCACGAAACCATGCCTATCTACTTACCCAGATGCGGACCAGTCACTACTGGCTGGCACCGTATGGTAAGCTGTATGGATTCCGAGAGGACGATAAATGTGAATATAGGGTAAAGGAAACAATTAACCATGATTTTCTTGACTGCCCAACACGAGAACACCACGACAAAAATCTCAAAGGTTTCGTACCCGCAGACCAAGGGGCCCGCATGAACAGGACTAACGGCAAATGGCCAACACAGGCCCATAGGCGAGGCTTGAAGTTCACCCGTAAGAAATGGGAGCATGTAAAATAGAGATACAAGGGTAGAGGTATAGTTGTAGTAGCCTGCATATCATTTATTATTATTTGCGAGCGGTCAGGGTAAACGAAATCATCCATCCATCCATCCTAGTGTACTGCATACATGCTGCGCTCTTCCATGTGAATGCCATAGTATGCTACTTTGCAGGGCATTGTTTCTTTAAGAGAGGCGAAGGGGATAGCGGGACCGCAATTAGGGTCTTCCTAACAATTGCTCGACAATTGCTTTCCAGGATTCCAGACTTGCTACCCAGCATTACAGAAATCATTAAGGGAGACCCCGGGTTTTGGCCAAGCTACTTGAAGAGCAATTCGAAAAGCTCCTTCTCCATCCTCTGAAGCGATTAACCAACTTGAACAGCCCAAGGCCAACCTTGGTTATCGTGATTGATGCGTTGGATGAATGCAGCAATGACAATGATATAAGAGCTATTATCCAACTTCTGCCCCGAGTACAAGAGTCAACTCTGGTATATTTGCGAGACTTTGTAACCAGCCGACCAGAACTCGCAATCCAGTTAGGTTTCCAGGATGTTAAAGACAATCATCAGGATATTGTTCTCTATGAGATCCCGAAGCCTATTATAGAACATGACATAGCCTTTTTCCTGCGTGGCAAGCTTGCTGTGGTCCGGAAGGAGCGTTCACTTCCTCTGGAATGGCCTGGAGATGCCAACTTCCGGTCTCTTCTTACTATGTCAGTTCCGTTGTTTATCTTTGCTGCCACCATCTGCCGCATATTTCAGGATCATGATCTAGATCCTGCGCAATGTCTTAGTGAGGTTCTTAAGCATCGAAGCAAGGAATCCAAGTTAGATGGAATCTATCTCCCAGTCCTCAACCGGGTGCTTGCTACTTATAACGAGGGTCGACAAAAACAGGTTGTTAAAGAAATTCGGAAGATACTTGAAACAATTATTCTTCTTGAGAGCCCACTGTCAGTTGTTGCTCTCTCCAGACTACTGGGAATATCCATCACATCTGTTAATGCCCGACTAAGCTCACTGCACTATGTCCTTAATATACTAACTGATGAAACAATACCTGTTAGACCTTTTCACCCGTCTTTCCGAGATTTTCTTCTTAATCCAAAGTCAAGGGAGAAAAAATGAGATGCATTGCAATTTGACATCTTAACGTCTTACTGTCATGTTTTGTCGGCTAAAGAAGAACATGTGCAATCTTCCAGGCTATAGAGTCAAGTGCAGGAATATTGATACTCAACATATCCATAGTAATTTACCACCAGAATTGCAGTATTCCTGCCGCTATTGGACACATCATCTGGCAAAAAGTAAGGATCCTCCAACATATTTGATATATTTGTTTCTTCAGGAGCATTTTCTACATTGGATTGAAGCAATGAGTATAATGGGGATCATATCAGAATCTCTAGACGCCCTTAACACTTTACAGTCAGT